AAGACAGACTATTAAAAGATATCAATTTATAAATTCTTAGTAGCTTTTGGATATTATTGTATCTGTTGTAATGAATATATTATTTTTGTTTTAAAAAAATGTTAGGATTTTCTCCTGTGTCATGGGTATGGGTGCGTTTACAAACATACAAATTCACATACACATGACACCCAGACCTGAAACAACAATTTGTGGATCACACAACGTGTCCTACTATATCGTTACCACAGGGTTTACTGAATAATCTTAGTATAGTATACACAACATCATAACATCACGCCTTTTTATCCCCGAAGGGGAAAGCAGAGGTGCACATTAACTCGTTGAGTACCGTCATTATAGACACAATTAAAGAACAATAGGTTGCAGTCATCGGTGACCGCTCGGTGTTTGACAGTTTAAGGCACTTAATGCCACTGTACAATGTAACATCAAGTGGGCCGTGTGCATTTTTGCCACCGTCGTGGTACAAAAAACGCCCACTTTTTACTATTTATGTTATGAGTACCATGTAATAGGGGTGAGCCTTGTGGCGTATACTGGACACGATTGCAGATTTCGTGCTACTACTGAGTTTTTTTTAGTAATACTTTTTCTGACCCGGGAATCGAACCCAACCCCATGCCTGGCAGTCGCACTTGCGACCACTCGGCCGACATCGCAGTCTATAGTAGTATAGTATAGTTTCACTATAAACCAGAACATTACTTCTAGTTATCGTACATCCGCCACAAGTTAGTATTTACGCCGAAAGTTGTCTAATGTGCTGCTCGCCTGGTAAATTACAATTCCCTAGTGTAATAAAACATATTATTTGAATTGTTTCTGATTAAAAATCTGTTTGTAATTAGATTTTGTAAATCTTTTTTCTATTTTACCAACTCAACAACACTTTTTTTGACGGTGGAAAATAATCCAATGACTTCTCCCGCCCGGGTGAGATGAGAGGGAGTGTCAGACTCTTACTGCCTAAAAACCACCCCGTTCCTACTTCTGCACTTCGAGCCACGGCTCCGTATCGGCATCAGCCCTATTGGGCACTACAGTTGTTCTATCTATGTTGTATTTGTATTTACATACACAATCACATAGATATACGACATACGAGTACCCAGAACAACAAATATGTGGATAAGACAGAGAAATGATGTGCAGGAATTAAACTTGATGAACGTTGCGTAGTAGCCGATAGTCACTGTACCGCGCCAATCGAGCATTCATATTGTTCTTGTATCATTTACCAATATACAAATTAATTTTGGTAGTGATAAGTAGTATACATACATCGATTGTTATTAGTAAAGAGGTTGCAAGTGTAATTGTGTATTTATTAATAATAGAAATTCTCTGATCATTAAACTATTTCTGTGTATGTCAACTGTGACTGGTCAGCTCAGACTGTATTATTTATTATTCACTAGCTTTTACCCGCGGCTTCGCTCGCGTCACAAAAGGATAAAAAGCCAATGTGACATATACCAATACACACAGCGCCATCTATACCAATACTTTTGTTTTCCCTCGGGAATATCCAATTTTTCCGGGATAAAAAGTACCCAATTATTTAATTCGGATTTCTAACTATACATCTGCAAAAATTCAAAGCAATCGGTTTAGTAGTTACGGCGTTAAAGTGGAACAAACAAACTCACTTTCCGATTTATAATATAAGTAAGGATTAAGTTTTTTTTTCGATCTATTTGACTGGGTTTTAGTGTTGTTCTCGCACAATCCAAATAATAAAACTATGTAACTAGACAATTGTATTGTGAACCTGATTGAAAAAGAGTAGGTAACCTATGAAGTTTCTTGCTCATTTTTCTCCATAGGAATCTAAACCTTGGAATGAGCAAATAAATTCACTTTTAATTTTTTCTTGACGTTCAAAAGAATGAATTGAAAAGAGTGAATTTGACTTTGGCAATAGGCTTACCTCCTTCTACATGGAACTCATAAACGATCTCGAAAAGTGGGTGTGACATCGTACACGCACACTTCTACCCACATCTTGTGGGATGGGCGTGATGTCACGACACGTATTGTTTTGCAAAAATATTCATGTTTCCGATTTTAATTTCGCTGCGACTAAAATCTCGAAGCGACTCGTGTTGCTATGAAGTGGTTTTATCGACCAGTTCGTTAGTGATATTTTAGAGTTCCACAGTCGTACTAGTCAACATTTTCTTTTCTTGTGTATCAATTTTGCTTTGTATTTTGATCTTGTTTGTTTATTTAGTTTTCTACTGTACCAGGCATTGACTGACATAGATTGTAATTTTTAATTATCTGTATAGATACAATACAATGATAAGTAAAACTGGGCCTTTGTTTGGTTCAGCTGCATTTATTATTTATTTATATACTTATACACTTATATTACACTTTTGTATAACATACGATGGCGGACTCAATATTGTTCACACTAACTACGCATCTAAAAATATTAATTCAATTTTTAAACTAAATTACTGATTTGAAAAATCCTATCATGGGTTTATAAAGACGGATTTAATAAAGTACAATAAATTCAAAGTAAAAGAATATAATATTATAAAATAACCAGAAACGAAAAACGAAACCCAGTACTGTGCGATACGACACGCATTGCCCAGGTTTTTCTAGTTGTCTGTAACGTCAGCAAAAACAGTTTAATTAATATTATAATTTATTTTATACCCTAATATATATAATATACGTATTTGTGTATGTGTAATATTTAATAATAATTGTCTAATATATTTTATTTATTTTATTATTCTACAGGATATTCTTTTACATTTACCTTTTTAGATTATAATTTAAACATTAAAATTAATCGTTCCTATCTATATTAGCTAGGTATTTAAATAAAAACGTGCCAACTGACTATAAAATAGTATAATAGTATTAATAGATCCCAGTTTTATTCAATTAATATGCTTACTTACATACTAAAGAGTGCATTTAGATTCTCTAATCGACTGTGTGCTATTATTATCTCAAGGTTTTTCTCGTGTGATCGCGTCAGGGTCACGGGCGAGGCTGGTCATAAACCGTGGCTTTAGTATAGGACAGAGATGGTGAACTATTGGCACTCGAGCCATTGAAGGCACAGATTATAATATTTTAGGGCACAGATTATAATATTTTAGGCACGAGAGTGACCTCTGACACATAAAACTATGATTATAGATCGGCAACGCATTTGTGGGAACTGTCTAGTATTTTAGGTGTACCTACTTAGACTAAAGTTAAACTTACTATCAGACCTTCTGGAAACTTATTGCTACCGTGTAATAAGTGGTATGAAAAGTAGAATTAATTTGCTGGCACGTTTACGACCTCAATTCATATTTCTTGTGTTTAATCCTTTAAATGTGTAAAGGTTCATCATTCCTGGTATTCTGTGTAAAGGTTCATCATGTGGAAAATCATCGAATGACTGCTCCCGCCTGGGTTAGGCGGAAGGGAGTGTCAGACTCTTACTCACTAAAAATCACCCCGTTTCTTCTCCTACACTTCGAGCCGAAGCCCCGGTAACCCGTTAGGTTCTCCGCGACTCCGAAAGGACATGGGTAATAGGGGCTAATGTTTTTTTAACGCTCACCGTAGGCGTAGTTGTAGGAAGGAGTTTTACTGTCCAATCACTGCAATCACAGCACCGTCCAATGGTGTCACACTGGCTAATTCCCTATTGTACAAAGAATAAGAGGTTTACACATTGGATGAACAAAATTACGGTAGGCCCCAATGGAACGGGGTGATTTTACAAGCTTATACTTAAATTATTTATTATGTTTTTTGGCTTACTCAGGTAACTTTTTGATGAAGAACTCGACTAGTTTCAAGCCATGCTAGAAGCGCGCGCGTCGCGACTTGCTGCTCATGAATATGAGCCTCTAGCATGGCTTGAAACTAGTCGGGTTTTTTGTCAAATAATTACGTGAGTAAACTGAAAAGCATAATAATTAATTTAGTATGTCTCACGAAATTTACAACATAAATAGCTTGTATTTAACTTGCTATGTGTGTATGTACAAATGTGTGTGAAGTAGAATCATGCGACAAAATTTTGAAGCAGATATTATTCAACCAATTATGCTGAAATATTGTATACACGTTTATTTTGCATGTAAAAGATTTAAATTTATTTTATCAGTAAGAGTCTGACACTCCTTCCCGGCCGCCCAAGACGAAAGTATCATTTGATGATGGTCCAAGTTCATAAAAATCTATTTTTCAAACCAATTCAAACCAGTATTTCGGGAAATGCATTAGCAATTTTTTAGACACCGTTATATAAGAGCAATAACAAAAATCTGGAGTTGCGCCCAGTATTTGGCAGATCAAAATAGCTGGCTTAACATAGATACATTTCAAATACATTTTTCTAGAGGCGAGTTCCGGGAATCTACATAAATATTATCAGACTAGACTTCTCTTACGTACATATGAAAACACTAAAAATATTTAATGTTTAGAATTCGCTAAACATAGAACTGAATGTGTTGTATAGGCGGGGAACAGTTACCAACAATATTTATCAAGCATTGCTTCCCTATAACAAATGACCCGGATCGCGTTAGCTGATCGAAACATTATTAGCACTAAATTGTGTTCGTTTTATCGTTTCCGCAAACATTAGTTGATCATTAATCAAGAAGCTGATCATTTATTATTTTATTATAATATTGCGCTGCTCGTGTTAATAGGTTGGACAGAAATGTTTAGGCGTACTCTATAAGTACACTGTAATAAAATCAGCAACGTTTTAGTTACTATATAGATTTATAAAATTAACAAAATCTTACAGCTTATGATGTCATTGTTTGATTGGTTTCAAGCCAAGCTTGGGGCTTATCATTATCTACAATATATGAACCATTTCTTTTGTGAAACTAGATAACTTTGTAACTGCATTTGTCCATAACTAACATACATACATGCATGGGATTATACGTATATAATCACTCACAAAAATAGATGTTATCGTATTTCTTCAACAGGTTCTCCGCCTTCAATCAGCCACATTGTCCCACTGTCAGCTTGTTCATACACTTCCACTGCTGCTTTACCAACATCCTCAATAGTTTGCCAAGGAAGAGAGTTTGCGAATTTCACTAAATCTTCCGGTAACTCCTTCTGTAGTTTCGGATCTCTTAATTTCGTAGTGAGTGCCGTTTCGGTAAACCCTGGACACAGTCCCAAAACACGTACTCCAGTTTTGTGAAAATTATCAAGATGACCCAAAGATTTCGTGAATCCGAACACTGCATACTTGGCTGCTTGATACACTGGAGCATAGGGCGCTGGTCTAAAACCAAATATTGAAGATATAGTTATGATCGTTCCACCGCTTCCCCCATTGTCCTTTCTCATATGATCGTAGAACTTCATAGACCATTCTACAACAGATGCGGCGTATATGTTCATAATTTTTCTGCAATCCAAAGTAGGAAGTATACCAGCACTCAAAACTAATACATCAATGGTATTATAAGTTTCAATAATTAGTTTTGGAACTGTCTCAAGATCAGTTGTGACATCACACTTTATGAACACAGCTTTGTCCTTCCCATGCTTTTCTGTCAGCATTTCTACAGTTTTTGGTCCTTGTATGTCGTTCATGTCCAGTAGAATGGCAGTTTTTGCTCCATGGAGTAGGAACCAGTCAGCTATTCCACTTCCTATACCTTGAGCTCCTCCCACGACAGCCACAGTTTTATTTTGAAGCGATCTATTCATTATTGTGATTGTGATAAAACTAAGCCAATGTTCGATATAGAATACTATTATAAGTACTTTTAGAAAAAATATCTTTGTTAAGAACCTTGATATCTATCAACATTATCAATATGATTATATAGAAATTTAGATAAATGGTTTTTCCTGTCAAACTCAATAGTTATATAGGTATTATTTATAAACATATCATGAAAAAAATTTGTTGTTGTCTGGAAAAATTATCATTATTAATGATACCTATAAACCAAAGACCCTTTGTGTTTTTTTTGTTTGACATTAATGATATTAATTAAGAAAGTAGGAAGTAGATTCCTATGTTTTGCCGCTTCATTTTGTTCTTTTATACATATAATAAAACTGTTGAATTGTAAATTCTGTACAATCAAAATATTAAAATAATAAATAGTAGGGGATGTTACTAGAAAGATGCCGAATACAAAAATATGTTTAAAAAATGTTGTTTGCCTGTCTGTATGTTCATGTATCACACAAAAACTACTGTTCCGATTGACAGATGATGAAACTTGATATAATATGATTATACTTTAATATCATGGGTATCACACTAGGTACTTTTTATTCCGAAAAAGTATATATTCAAAAAAATAAACTTAATTGTGAGGCTCGATCCCTAGGCACAGTTACTATACCTACCAAACGTAAATATAAATCTGTCGAATGTTAGATAACCCGCAGTTGAGTTTATGTACGGTCAGCGTAAAGTTCACTGTAGGGCCGACGGTTGAACCGATATTATGAATGCGAAAAAAAGACGGCTGCAGGGACCAGGATGAAATTTGGAACAGATTGATACAGATTATGATCTGGACAATTACATAGGCTACTTTTTACTTCTGGGAACGCGAGCGAAGCCGCTGGCAGAAGCAAGTCGGAAATTATTTTAAACAGGTTAATAATGAAAATGTGTTATTGTTTTGTAAACTGTAAGCCAGCTAGCGACATCTATCTGTAGCAATTAAGAGTGTCAGTAACGAGTGAGTCCTTGTCATTATCTGAGCACCTTGTTATTTTTTATACTTTTCATCGTATCGCCTGGGGTATAATGATCTCTAATTCATCAGATATATAAAAATGTATAGTTTCTATACCTGACTAGAGTTTGAGATATTGAAATCAAGACTTATATCAACGGAGCCCAGCACTTCCAGGAGTAAACTCTCATGGGCTGTTTCTGAATAGCTCACACGAATTTTTTTTTTCATGGGGTAAGTCGGTAAACGAGCCTGATGGTAAGTAATCGGCGTCGCCCATGGACACCTGGAACTCCAGAGGCGTTACATGTGCGTTACCGACCTTTTGGGATAAGGAATTTGAGGATTGTTGGGATTCAAGGATTGGGGAAAGGGCGCGGGGGGGGGGGGCAATTACCGGGCCTCCGATAACCTCACTCACACAACGAAAGCGTTGTTTCACGTCAGTTTTCTTTGAGGCCGTGGTATCACTCCGGTCGAGCCGGCACATTCGTGCCGAAGCATGGCTCTCCCACACTTTCACACGACATAGTGTCTCTAGTTACTCTAGTGGCTTAACCAACCAGTCAGGCGTAAAAGTATCACCTCGTAAGCCTATCGATACAATTCTTATACAGCTAAGGCCGCGCCTCTAAGCCTGACATCTGACGGCGCGTTGTAAGCGGTTTACATGTAAATTAGTTCATGCCCGGGAGCTTGTTAACTATAACAAGGAGGTTATTTTCTCTATTCGTACGTACACATAGTAAACTTCTTATGTCAATATTGGTATGAAAGTGATTGTGTGAACTTAGAAAAATGAGGCTAACATTGTTTCAAATTGATAGTCATCCTGTATAACTTGTTATCTATCATCTTTGTCTGTAAAGTGTTCACAGCTAATGGATACCTATAATGACTTTAGCAAATATTATGTTACGCCAGTAAACGGTTTTATGATTTTCTAATTGTATTTTTTTTTGGCATAAGCCGGTAAACGAGCAGATGGAGCACCTGATGGTAAGCAATCGGCGTCGCCCATGGACACCTGGAATACCAGAGGCGTTATAAGTGGGTTACCGGCCTTTTGGGGATTAGGAGTTTTAGGATCGTTGGGGATTTAGGGATTGGGGAGATTAGGGAAGGGGAGGGTAAATGGGCCTCCGGTAACCTTACTCACACGACATGTTAATTTAATACATATTTTTAAAGGAGACGGAGGGAGGGGAGTTACCGAAAGATTTGGTGAAATTCGCAAACTCCCTTCCTTGGCAAACTACTGAGGACGTTGGTTAAGCAGCAGTGGAAGTGTATGAACAAGCTGACAGTGGGACAATGTGGCTGATTGAAGGCGGACAACCTGTTGAAGAAATACGATAAATTCTAACTTTACCCGAATGTATGCAGTTACTTAAGCAAGAGTGAGTATGCAGATGAAAGTATATTTTTTTAAAAAGTCGTTCATAAGATTTATGCGATTCTTTAGTATGTTTGTAGACACATACTTTTTCATATATAATTATCACTGCCAGACATGGAACAACAGTTCATGGATCACACAAAACAAACCATGTTGCGCATCAGTCAAGTACGTGTTAAACATTTATTGTTAAAAAAATGTCTGTGTTTTACTTGTGAATATTATCATGTCATTGCTATCTATGCGATTAACTGCATGTGAGGTCTGAAATACTGATTAAATTGTTACCAAGACGTCTATATTTATGTTTTTTTTTTCAGTTTGACTTTAGATACACTCAATTATCGAAATTAAAATAAGAGTAATTATTACACTTACAAGGATTATCGATGTGTATACCTACTTGGGATATAACTGCCCAATTACTGAATCATAATATCATCCGTTTATGCTATCACTACCGAGAAGCAATAATAGAAATATTGTTTTAGGAAAACATGACAATAGCACATAAGCAATTAACACACAGTCAATAGCAATCCTTCCGAGTCTACTGCTAGACTGCTAGACCATGAAACTCTTCTACAAAAAAGGGGTTTGGCATATTGGCATTCTGCAAGCAAGCAGGTTGTAGATAATAGTTTATGGTTGTTATATAAACTATACTAAATTCGGGTAATTAATATATACTAAAATCTTCCCGTTGCCTGCCTCGATGGCCGAGTGGTCGCATGTACGACTGCCGGGCAAAGGGACTCGGGTTCGATTCCCGGGTCGGAAAAAGTATTACTGGATTTAAAAAAAAATCTCAGTAGTATCACGAAGTCTGGAATTGTTCCCGGTGTATGGCAATAGGTTCACCCCCTATTACATGGGACTCATAATATAAATAGTGAAAAGTGTGTTACTTCTGTGTGCACCCCTACCTTCGGGGATAAAATTCGTGATGTTATGTATGTTAAGACCTCCTAAGTGTAACAAACACTTTTCTAAAAACCGCATCAACATCGTTTCAGTCGATTGCTATAAAATCGCGCATAAACATACATACATACAGGTCAAACCAAGAACATCCTTTTTTTTGAAGTTGGTTAAGGAAAGGATCACCAGGTTTGTCAGAGAATGCTGATCGTTGGTTAGATATGCGCTGGATAGTATATAGGGAAAGTAGGTAACAATTTATGCTATCCTACCGTCATATCGAACAAACAAACTTTACCTATCATTTATTATGTTTACATAAGATTAGATAATATTCACATGTGTTTGACAACAATTGCGCAAAAAATGCATTTTTGAATACAAGAACAATAATTTCCTATCAATGTAGGCGGGTAGATAACATGTACATCTTTACTAATATTATAAATCGGAAAGTGAGTTTGTTTGTTTGTTTGTTCCGCTTTCACGCAGTAACTACTAAACCGATTGCTTTGAATTTTTGCAGACCTAAAGTTCGAAGTCCGGATTAAATAATAGAGTAATTTTTATCCCGCAGAAATTGATATTCCCGAGGGAAATATAGATGGCGCTGTGTGTATTGGTATATATCACATAGGCGACTTTTTATCCTTTTGTGATGCGAGCGAAGCTGCGGGTAAAAGCTAGTGTTAAATAATGTACAAATTATTATACATGTCGCATACAACGGACTGAGAATAATTTCATTCCACCTATTGCGTGTTATCGGTCACAGTCAAGGCAGTTTCAATACAAGATAGTTTCCGCGATTTTGTTTGTTTGAAAATGCATATTGATCATTTATATCAGAGCTTTTTGTAAGTGTGCTACCGGCATTTTTCTAAGGGATGGGGCGTCAGATAAATTCATGAAACAAAATACAATATCTTTGTGTTTGTTAACGCTAATTTTCTGTGAGGCCTTGGTGCCACTCATGTCAAGCCCGCCGATTTTTGTCAAAGCATGATTCTGCTATGTAAAAAAGAGTAAAAGACTTGATACTCATAGTGCTATTCTTGTGTTACTGCATAATATTATAATGTATGTTGGGTGTTATAGCGTGCTTTACAATCAGTTGCAAGTATTGTGGCGTGCATTAGAAATAACTCTGGCAGTCTAGTCCTTGAGAAGCGAACTAATCATAATACTAGTTTTGACGTGATACGATTGCAAATACACAGACAGACAGACAGATAAAATTAGGTACAAACATTTTGGCATGTGCTGCTGTACTAAAACTTCTCCAGATAAATTTTGTTCAGTACATTTACTACGTCTGATGTTGGCCTGTTAAAATATGTGAACAGTATAGATAAGACCAACAAAGGCATCTTTGAAAGTCAAGGACGCAATTAAACGATAAAAAACTGACTAAGTGCGAGCTAGAGTCACACGCGAAAAGTTCAGTTCATTACATTGTCTGTAAGAATGCCAAAAATGGAAGCCACGTTTAAATATGTACTTAAGTAGAACTTTGTTCATTTTGGCAGCAACAGAACTATGTTATTTATGATTATTATGTTGGCATGACAAGTAGGCTGCGCGACATCACCGCGATTGCGCACGCTGCTCATGAGGAAGAACCCCTCTGTGGTTCGAAACTAGTAGAGCTTCTCTCAGTATATTCACGTGAGTAACTCGCGATTTTTAGTTAGTTATGTTAGTTATCAGGGTGGCCATCATAGTCAAATACAGCCTGGTGATAGACAGTGGAGTCTTAGCAGTAAGGGCCAGTTTTTTAACCGACTTTAAAAAGGAGGTTTTAGTTCTTCCTGTCTGTATGTTTGCGATTATTTATAACTTTCATGAGACATATCTCGCGATTGGCTCAACCGATGTTTTTGTTACCGAGTGTGATGCACTTAGGAGAAGATCAATATATTAATTAACCGACTTGAAAAAAAGAGGAGGTTGAAGTTGATTTTTAAACGCAGTTTATAAAAGAAGACTTATTTACAATTTAGTGCACGGAACTCTAAAAATGTAAAGCCAAAAGTGCAAATTCTTATACTTAAAAGAGATTAAAGTGAAATGACTACAAGCACTGTTTGCCTATCGTTGAGATAATTTTAATAACCACTGCACACATTACGTAAGTCTCTCTGCAGATATTCTGGCCAGGCTTAAACCTTATATCTTTATGTATTTTACAAGTGTATCAAAACCACTTTTTACCAGTATGTTACGAATTTCATGTAAACGGGGGCGTGTCTGTCACTAAACATTAGATACAATAGGGTAGTTTCCTAAATTTGATTTTAATGTCCGTCTGGTAGATTATTTTAAGACATTAGACACGTATTTTTTTCTTTTCTCACAAAATTAAATGCTTTCGACGATAATATATTGATTTGAAATATCGTGTGACGTCACAGCGTGCTACAAAATGTAGCACGTTGTGAATGTGTTTTTAGGAATGGGAGGCCATTCCTAAACTTAACTCCATTTTATGTAAGTATTGTAACTTTATACGAGTAAATAAAAAAATGTGTCGAATATTTTTTCATTATGTAACTGACGGACTAATTAGATTTTTAATTTTCTTACCCTGGCAACTACCCTATTATGAACTCTGTACTCATTTGCTTTGCTAGTCATGCTTACGACTACTCAACCAGTGAGGCAGTTTTATAACGTTTATGATATTATCATAGTTTAATAATAAGTCATCAAAACATCGCGCCTTTTATCCTTCCACTGTACCTCTACAATGTAACGCTCACTTTTAATGTTATGAGTCCCATGTAATAGGGGGTGAGCCTATTGCCGTATACCGGACACAATTCCAGATGCCGTACTACTACTGAGCTTTTTTTAAAAAACCCAGTCTCTTACCCGGAAAACAAACCCGAGTCCCCTTGCCCGTCAGCCACTTGCAACCACTCGACCAACGAAGAACTGATTTATAACATAAATAATTATATTTTGTCGCTATGATGAGCGATAATGTTAAAATTAAATTAGTAATATAAATTCATACAAGCTTTCTGATAATATTAATTATGTTATGTTTTACGTTACCTATATGTGTTATTTATTTTCACACATGGTCGTAAATTGGTGTACTCAAACATTGCATAATTATACTTTTTTTTTTTTTTTTTAAGGGGGGAAAATCATCTAATGACTGCTCCCGCCTGGGTGAGGCGGAAGGGAGTGTCAGACTCTTACTGACTAAAAACCACCCCGTTCCTTCTCCTGCACGTCGAGCCGGAGCCCCGGTTACCCGTTAGGTTCTCCGCGACTCCGAATCGGCATCGGCCCTATTGGGCCCCATCTGTGGTGGTCTGATGGCTCTTTGAGGCGCGCGCGGAACGCGACGCGCCGTACGCTCGGGTCTGTTTCTGGTCGGACGGGGAGCCACCCATGCTCGCCGTCCGCAGGCCCGCGCTTACGGTGGCCGGAGATCGGAGATCGGAGATCGTCCCGCGATCCCCGACGCCCGGTGTGTCCTTCGCGATGGCTGGGTTGCGAGGAGGCAGCGCTTCGCTGCCTCACGCGTCCCGCCTCCTCCTTAGCCAGCATGACTGCTTCGCAAAAGGAGGAGACGGCATCCCAGTCCCCCTCGCTCCGCATCATGGCCTGCACTACGCCCGGACGCGAGAGGTCTCCATCGCCGATCACTTCCCTGAGGGTACGGCGGTGCTCAGCCCACGCAGGGCATTCCGCAACAGTGTGTTCCACCGTGTCCTCAGGGTGGTCCTCGCAGTGATGACACCCGGGCGTTTTCCTCCCGCCCCATCAGACACAGGTAACCCTCCCGAAACTTCCATGTCCGTGAGGACCTGCGTCAGGCGGTAGGTGAGGACGCCGTAGCGTCTCTCAAGCCACTCCTCAAAGAGGGGACTTACCGCTGCAATGGCAGCGAGCCCAGCATAATTATACTAGGTCAGTCATTCTCCTACATTACACATGCGTACGATATTCAAACTCAAAATGTTGTTCTAAAAATAATTCTAAATTATTTTCTATGTCGTCTAACTCTTGGCAGAATGATCGTGGTCGTTAAATCAGTTGTAGTGGGAAACTCTTATAGCAATAATTCGCAAAAACAATTGTCCAACATCTTTTATTGTTTTTAATATTTATCAAAGAATATTAAAAAGTGAGTGAACAGTGTAAGTACTTTTTAATGTCTGTAATTACCATCTTAGGTATGATGATTAATTTTTATATATCACACTATCACACATCTATAAGGCCGGCAACGCACGTGAGACTCCTCTGTGTTGCGGGTGTCAATGGGCTGATCATTACAATCTTTAGGACGATGTTTAAAACGTTACATCTCAACTATAAGCAGGTTTCTGTATTAACTATACTTACCTACATTATTCCCAGATAAATGGAGTCTATTTGCTTGTTAACATAATTTGCACACTTTACTCAGACGCGGATATGCGGTCATAAACAATAAGTGCCAGTTATAATGCATATATAAATATTATATGGTTACATACATAACATGGATAGTGTTAATGATGTGTTATTCTGTCCGTTAATTATAATGCAACTGCTAGTTAAATAGTCTTTAGTTTAGTCCCAAAACTGAACTTTTAACAATTATGCGAGCAGCTTTAATTTATCACTCATTTTTACATTTTTTAAAAACTATGGTCTGCATTTACCACTTATCTGTAACATCTCACACTTTTCTGTTAATTTTATCTATGTTTGCAAATAAAACAATTTTATTTGATTTAAATATTATTATACACATTATTATTATTCTAATATACACACTAGTAACATCTTGACTATAGGAGTTCTTCCAAAGTAAATAACAATATCCAAATAACAAATATTCCACTTACCAATTTTAGGGGAATTACCAATCAACAGTAAATATGGACGAGAGAGATTACCACTATCTAAAGTGGTTTTTATATATTTATGTAACAAAACAGATCAGACCATATTATAAGATCAAATGTCATACAATCTCTGTTTCACTCAACAATAACAATATATCTGTCTATCAATGACTACGTGATTCAAATAACATATATAACGAGTTGTTTACTCAACGGCTGCACCGCTCCGCCCGATATAAAACACGGTCAGTTCCGAAATCTACTAGTTTTACAAGTGCGCCCGACAACCTCACACTATGGAGAAAAGCTTAGCAAACAAAGTTGTGGTCATCACCGGCGGAGCCGAAGGTATCGGCTACGAGGTCGCCGACAGATATCTATCTAAAGGCGCCAAATTAGTTTTCCTTCTCGACATCAACGAGAAACTTGGAAATGAAGCCGTCCAAAAACTATCCGCCAAACATGGAGCCAACAAGGTCATATTCATGAAATGCGACGTCACTTCAGACTTAGTACCTGTATCGAAAAAGATTTTCGAAAATTACAAGGTCGACATCCTTCTCAACAACGCTGGAATCCTCAACGACCGCTTGCTGAAGAAGACCATCGACATCAACGTGACTGGAGTTTGTGAATGGGGCTTAGCCTTCTGGGACCACATGAGGAAGGACAAGGGTGGAAACGGAGGTACCATTCTGAACCTTGCCTCTATCTACGGCTACAGAGTTGACCCATTCTTACCTGTTTACCAAGCTTCGAAGTTCGCTGTGATGGGATTCACAAAGTCTCTGGGACACAAGGCCAACTACGAGAGGAGCGGTGTACGAGTACTGGCAATGTGCCCTGGATTTACTGAGACCAAACTGACTGCAGCACCACAGGCCTGGGACATGGGACAAGACAAAGAATTCGAACAATTCCTCAAAGCACAAGCTTGGCAGAAAGTGGAGTCAGTGGGCCAGGCTGCTGTGGATATCTTCGAAAACGGTGACAGTGGAACTGCCTGGCTGATTGAGGGAGCAAGACCTATTGTTGAAGTTGCTAAGTAATTCAACATTATGAGGTTGTTGTGCAACACTACATTCTGGTAATTATAATTAAATGTTGTTATTTTGTTAAACATGTTTTTATTTTAAACTTCCATGTATTATAATTTCTCCTTGATCTTTCCAACTCTGTGCATTAGAAACTGCGTCACAACCATTCTACGTTAAAGTTATTCTGAAATGTTACTGGCCAGACACAAACTGTGATCTATTTACATCTGAAATATAATGCATTTAGAAATCAATTGGTATAAAATTGTAATACTTGTGTACCTCTGCCTATCCCTTTGAATATTTATTATGTAACGCAATTCATCATCATCATTCAAATAATACATCATAATAATCGTTCTATGAAAAAGTAAGTATGTTTTTTACATATAATCTTGCTGAACCGGGTTCGCACACACAACAGACTAAATACTTACTATGCAACGTTATGTGTTTGCAATTAGAGGTTTTGTAGATATCTTATCATAATTGTTATAAGATAAAATTTTGTTTTAGTACTACACTTACGTGGCCAACATTTTCATTTTATTAGATATCAAAACAAACTTTTGAATATTTTTTTTTAGGTTTTCAAAGTTAAAGAATGCGTCATTCCTTGATTTGGTATGCTAAAACATTTTAAAACCACAAAAGTACTTTTTCTCTGTGAGAATTAACTCACAGCACCTTGTGAAGTAAGTTTATGTCTCGGTTACTAAATCAATCGTTTTACTAAAAATAGAAACAGACAAAAATAAAAAAAAACGAGTAGAGCTAGGTTTACCTTCTTTTTATTGGATTTTTTTTCATTTTAACCGAGTCATTCGTAAACCATGTTTGTGCTAACATATCTAATTTACACGTCTCAGCAGTAAAAAACGAACAAATAATTTTGAGTAGTTTTCATGAAATCGCTAATGCATGAGCATTTGCTTGGCGAAGTATTTCTCTTTTATTTGTTCAATAAAATATTGCTACGATTAATTACATTACACCTTTTATCTTTTATACATAGATACATAATTGCACATAAATATGTACACAATAACTATATATCCACTTCTCACAAGTTCTGTCATGGATGCTATGTATTTATTAATAGTAAGGTAACCTTATTGCCATATCTTAGACATACTTTTAGACTCCATAGTCCATGTTATTTACTGAGAATTTTTGAAAAGTTGTAAGTATCCTAATAATACTTTGCAAAACCTGTAAATACGCAGTCACACTTATCTTGCGATCTCTCGATCAAAGGGACGGTCTAATTATTATCGATATAAATTTGCTGTGATAAGTGGCACTACGCTTATAAACGAATGTTGGCTAATAGACTGACATTCTTATATTGTTATTGTCGCTGAACAGTGCTTACACACACGACATGGAGCGAGACCCTAAGAACAAAGTTGTTGTAGTGACAGGCGGAGCGGGAGGTATAGGATACGAGATCGCTGACAAGTTTCTAAAGTACGGAGCTAAAACTGTGATTATATTAGACATTAACGAAACTCTTGGAGCTGAAGCTGCACAAAAACTGAATGTTAAGCACGGTGAAGGTAAAGCTGTTTTCATAAAATGTGATGTCACAAAAGATCTGGATAAAGTATCGGATGAAATATTCCAGAAATATGACGTCAACGTCCTTGTAAATAATGCAGGAGTATTAAACGAGGTTAGTGTAAGACAGACGCTTGAAATCAATCTTATAGCACTAATTGATTGGAGCATGAAGTTTTGGGAGCATTGGAGAACTGACAAAGGCGGTCATGGAGGTACGATATATAATGTATCCTCTATTTATGGATATGAAAACAATCCATTTATTGTTTTCTACAAAGCGTCAAAGAGTGCAGTGTTGAATTTCACGAGATCGTTAGGGCACCCTACTAATTATGAGACAAGTGGTGTGAGAGTGATTGCAATCTGTCCAGGTTTTACTGACACTGTGATACTTACTGGTGAAGTATGGGATATCCACAATGAACGTTTCCAAAAAGTGATGAAGGAAGAAGTTGTGATTCAGAAACCTGAGAGAGTTGGTGAGGCTGCTGTGGAAATTTTCAAGGTTGCAAATACTGCAGAAACGTGGGTCGCTAAAAACAATGAACCAATTAAATTAGTACAATTTACATATGAAGAAGTGGCCCCTTGAGTACAGTAGCGATACATTGCATTTTTGTGTACATACTTATCTTCAAGTAATGATCTAAATATATTATTTTTATTATATATTTTCATAGTTATGGAGTTAGTTATTTTAGGAAATAGCAGTCTCCAAAATAGACACTAATAATAATATTATTTTTTTCTTTATTTATGTATATTTTATACACAATAGTAAAATAAACGATTTGCAGTAATTAATTTGCTAGTTTAATTTTGGCGCTTAATGAGTAAAACTCATTACGTTTTTTTTTACACTGACTAGGTTGACGATTTCACCTGGTGGTAAGCAATGACGTGGCCAACGTAAAAACATATATAACGTACGCCGACAGCGACATGTGTGATTGTTTTTAGTTTTTGCCAAAGATTAACATTACAATGACCAAACAACAAATAAAGATTGTAAAGGGAGATATCTGTAAATAAGATATGAATCTCTATTAGCAACCGATATCACTAAACGATACATAGCTGATAGACATGTTTTGTTATTGATTCGAAAACCGATATAATTATTACTACACACATTAATTCCTCATTGCGTATGTACTGATTCTAATTGTTGTGTTAAGGACTTTAATATCTTGCGCTAAAGCAAAAAGTTGTTAGAGGCACACCATATTGCAAGTTACCAGTTTTGTAACTGATTTTATATCAATTTGAAGACATTGCATTTGTTTTGCGAACTATTTCTTTTTATTTACCTAACAAAATACTGTTTCGAATTTCTTTTATCGATGTTTAACTGTGATAAGGGGTGCTATTATTATCAATAGAATTTTTATATCTATATCGGCATTTTCATATCGTTAATATAGCTGAACAGTGGTTTCATACACGGCATGGAGCGAGACCCTAAAAACAAAGATGTTGTAGTGACAGGTGGAGTGGGAGGTATAGGGTACGAGATCGCTGCCAAGTTTCTAAGGAACGGAGCTAAAACTGTGATTATATTAGACCTTAACTAATCTCTTTGAACTGAAGCTGTGCAAAAACTAAATGGTAAGAACAGTGACAGTAAAGTCGTCTTCATAAAATGTGACGTCACAAAAGATCTGGATAAAGTATCGGATGAATATTATTTCAGTAATATGACGTCGACGTCCTTGTAAACTATGCTGGGGTAACAGACGAGACTATTGCAAGAAGGATACTTGAAGTTAATCTTATAGCATTAATTTACTGGAGTATGACTTTTTGGGAGCTTTAGAAAAACTGATAATGGAGGTCATAGAGGTCATAAATTAACTAAAAAGCCCCTCTGTCACTCGAAACTAGTAGAGCTTTTCTCAGTATATTTACATGATTTACTCAGCCGCGACTTTTAAATAATTTAGTAAGTATGTCTCACGATAGTAATTATTATAAAAGTTATGGAGGCACATTAAAATTTTGAAAATTTGCAAATTACAATGCATTATGTGACCTGAACATCGAATGGAATGACCATTGATTCTGTTAATCAACAGTCAGAGTTTATACATAATAATATGATGAATTTAAGACACAGTATTTGAAATAATTTCTTCTATAGTATTGTGACTTTGATGGTATCCATGGGCATGGGCGGCGCCGATTGCCAACTGCCGGATTTTGAAATGTTAGATGATGGATACATGTAACTCGTTAACTGTGAACAGTATAAACAAAACATTTATATAATACTCAAAATGATAAAAGAATATAAGATATGTTAATAAATAATACTAAATGGTGCTATGGGGTTTTTGCATCCCTTTGAAGCAGAATTACACACCCATATGATACATAATCCCACTTTTTATACCATTTAGTATGATTATAGTACCATTTAGTATGATTCTTTCATGCTTCATTAGCCGAGGATTGCAGTGATGGCTGTTGGTGTAATTCTTCATGAGGACCAAGTTGAGCAAAAATATGCTCGATCGTTCCATCCTTTTCTTCAGGACTCAGGTGTTCTTATGAACAAAGACCAGTATTTTCGTATTTTTATATCAAAAAAAATATTTAATTATTTCTTTATTTTCTTTTACTCTCTTCTTAGTCTTGCCTTTTAGAAAACCGCCAGAAATCTTTTTTATTTTAATTTTTTAAAACTTTGTTTATTGCTCTGGTCTGCATCGCTGAACGGACTACCATCAAACGTTATCATACCATTGTATATATATACGCCTACTACTATTTATCTACAGGAATCCGATTATATCATTGATAAACGTTATATTTATAATTCAACGTTCTTTCGCACTCATCACTTATGTAACACAATTACTTTTCATATTTACAGCTATTTCATAATTTAGTTCACAATTTCATAATACTTTTTTTAAATCCTTCCTGCCTGGCGAATGATCAATGGCACGACTGCCGAGAAAAATGTTGTGTACGAATTTTTTTTCCAGTTAAGCTAACTTAGTAAATGCTTAGATTAGAAGATATTAATGAAGTAAAACTAATGTTACCTATATACACTTTTTAAAAATATATATATAGAAGGTAGGTAAGTCTTATACTATTATATGTATAACATAACTTAGTGTGGAGGAGCCATGCTTCGGCACAAATAGGCCGCTTCGACCGGCCTCACAGAAAACCAACGTGAAGCAACGCTTGCGTTGTATTTCGTCCCGTGGGTGATGTTACCGGAGGCCCAATTATCCCCCTCCGCTTCCCCGATCTCCGCAATCCCTGAATCCCCAACGAACCTCAAACTCCTAATCCCCAAAATGCCGGTAATGCACTTATAACGCCTCTGGTGTCCTAGATATCCATGGGCGACGCCTATTGTTTTAGGTATTCCATTTATCAAGGAAAGCTATAGGCTATAAAACATCACGCTACGACCATTAAGCGCCGAGCAGTGCGGGCGAAACCGTAGGGAAGTATTCTTTAATAAATAAATAAATATTGCTTTCCCCTTTTCGCATCACTTGTATTATAGCTAGTTGGCTCCTTTTTAATAACTTGATTATTAAATTATTCACTTAATAAAAATCTATGTCCCTAAATCTTCCTTCTACAACCTTTTGAAGAAAGCTATTTAAATTTATTTCTAATAACTTTTTAAAATTTAATGTAGTTCAGCATTTCCAAGAATCTTTGTAACAACAATCAAAATATCAGACATGTTTCAAAATTTTCTCAGAAACTAGTGACTTATGATACTTACTAATTAAAGTTAATTCACATGACAACCATAATTGTCATTTTTGTAGTATCATTTAACCAAAATAAAAATTATGATTAGTAAACAAATGTTTGTAAGCATTTTCATATTTATCTTTGGCAGACTCCGTTCGAGGTCGAAATCAATCGAGTTCGTAAAGTTTCACAATATTACTCAATTCTTATCAAAATTACTGTATTGTGAATTTCATTTTTTTAATATGACTATGCAATTCCTGGAGTATATAAAAACGTTGTATATTTTTCCATGTCATAATTGACTTTATATTGACAAAAATGGAACAAGATCCTAAGAACAAAGTTATTGTTGTCACAGGAGCAGCAAGAGGTATAGGATACGAAATCGCTGACCAGTTTCTCAAGAACGAGGCCAAAACAGTGATTTTATTAGACCTCATTGAGACTTTAGGAGCTGAAGCTGCACAAACACTAAATGTTAAGTACGGAGAAGGAAAAGCAACCTTCATAAAATGTGACGTCACAAAAGATTTGGACAAAGTGTCTAGTGAAATATTTCAGAAGTATCACGTTGACGTTCTTATAAACAATGCAGGGATATTAGACGAGTATAATGCAAGACGGACACTTGAAGTCAACCTTATGGCTCTAGTTGATTGGAGTATGAAATTCTGGGATTATTGGAGGACAGACAAAGGTGGTCGTGGAGGCATAATATACAATGTAGCGTCTATTTATGGATATGAATACAATCCCTTTTCTGTTTTCTATAAAACATCTAAAAGTGCAGTGTTGGGTTTCACGAGGTCGTTAGGACATCCTGTCAACTACAAACAAACTGGTGTGAAGGTAATAGCAATCTGTCCTGGTTTCACTGACACTGTTATACATTCTGGTAACATGTGGGAGTGGCTGAAGGAAGAATTCCAAAAAGTAATGGAGACAGGAGTTGTCATGCAAACACCAGAGACTGTTGGTAAGGCTGCGGTGGAGGTATTCAAGATAGCAAATACAGGAGATGTGTGGGTTTCGGAAAATAATGAACCCGTCAAACTGGCTCCAATGTGTAAAGAAACGGCTTAAGTTTATTGAAGTTGCTACGATTGTAAATAGATTTAAGTTAATAGCATCTGTCTAACGTTGGTTTTCTTGTACAAATATGTGGTTTCTAGCTTATTATTATAAATTAAAAAAATCTATATAAACTAAGCATACTTCAGTTATTTTTTGTACAACCCACACTACAATGAGATAAAATACTGCTTCATGTGATATATGGTGCGACAACCACGTGAATAACAATTTCTTTCAAACTCTAAATTTGTCGAGCTAGATATTTATACAATGTTTTGAAATATTATGAAATGTTTATCTTAATTATTGTTTTGATTAAATATTAAAGATTCTTAGATAAAGCTATTCATATCCTAAAATGTAATATATAAAGCATTGTAATTAATTTTGATGCCATAAGTACAAAAGTAATTCTGTAGAACACTGTGCGTAACGCAGTTAAAATGGCAAACGATCCTAAAGATAAAGTAATCGTGATAACGGGAGGAGCAAGGGGCATAGGATACGAGATTGCTGACCAGTTCTTGACAAACGGTGCAAAAACTGTTATCATATTGGATCTTATCGATGCAGTTGGTGTTAAATCAGCCTTTGCACTAAACGCTAAACACGGTAAAGGCAAAGCTGTCTTCATAAAATGTGACATCACGAGAGATTTAGACAAAGTTTCCAGTGAAATATTCCAGAAATACGACGTAGATGTGCTTATTAACAATGCAGGAATTATAGATGAGTTTTCAATAAGGAAGACAATTGAAATTGATTGCATTGCATTAGTGGAATGGAGTATGAAATTCTGGGAGCATTGGAGAACGGATAGAGGCGGTCGAGGAGGCACAATATACAATGTAGCCTCAATATATTCATACGAATATGATCCATTCACAGTATTCTACAAAACTGCAAAGCATGCAGTTTTGGGCTTCACAAGATCTCTTGGTCATCCCTTCAACTACGAAAAAACTGGTGTCAGAGTTATTGCCATATGTCCAGGTTTTACTGACACAGTAATGCTTAACGTTAAAATATGGGACATACACAGAGAAGCATCTGATCAAAATGTATCAGAAATGAAAGTGCAAACACCAGAGACTGTTGGTAAAGCTGCTGTGGAGATCTTCAAGGTTGCAAAGACAGGAGACGCGTGGGTCGCAGCTAACGATGAACCTATTCATTTGGCTCCAATGTGTTAAATAAGTACCTAATAGAAAATGTTTTTAGTTAATTCATGAGTGTAAGCTTCTCCTTCTCGTACCTATATTATAATATAAACCAATAATAAATCATTATCTATAAGTTTAAATCTTGTTTTTATTCTATCTCTTTATAAAGAAGTATCTACATAAATCAAAAGTAGTACTGGAATTACCTATATAGAACATATCTCTGCAAACGTACAAGTCTCTTTGATAGTTGTTAAACTTTGATTGTTTCCTGATTATCCTCCCTTTAACTTAGCACTCTTTGTAAGTGTGAACAAACACTAGTCTAATTTGCAACATTAGCCACACAACTAACCACGTCCTCAAGACATTTTTCTAGAAGTTTCGAAACAGCCTTTTGTTATTTATGTGACGTGTAATGAGGGGCATTGTATGACGACAGGTGGTGGGAGGGGGGTTTAGCTAAAAGCTTTGCAACATTAGTTCCCATCAACTGCGCTACAGACTTAGCGGACCCTGTACAATACGGACAACTTTGTACTTCAGCAAATATATTGAATTATGTCCGTAAAGTTTGTGTTAAAAATTTAATTTAATTTAATAATCTTGATTTATTTTTGATACTTTGTTGTTGGTAAAGTAACACCTTTTTTAAACTACTTATAAGCAAATACTAAAGTTATAAATATCAACTTCTTTTTTATAAAAACATTTGTGTATGAATGTTTCTTCAGAATAAAGGGATGTAAACCAGGCTGATGATGGTAATAGACGAGGTTTATACACAAACATGCAGTACTGTTACAGCCTGTTATTCCTATTGATTACCAACAAATAATAAAAGATTTAAAATACTTCAGATGGGTCGAGTACTAAGCTAGTCATCCCTCAAGTCAGTCTGTATCCGACCGCGCATCGTAAAGCGGCTGTTTCCACAAAGTTGTTCGTACACTTTTATTATACCGTGTATGTGTGCCGCCGTGGGATTTCCACCGTAATACCAGAAGTTACACGAATTTAAAACAACGCCCGGCATTAACATCTTCCTGAGTATGCTTGTTACAATCTCAAATTGTTAAGATTTATGTAATGCTTTTGAAGAAGATACCTTAAAAATATTTTAGGAGATGTTGTTAACGTCTGCATACTTTAACCAAAATAAAGACAAACCAGTCTACTCAAAAGTCTTTTTGAATCAGAGATTACGGTTAAGAGGAATTGTAAGATACCTGCCACTTATTGAAATAAAACAAAATGAAATTTGATACAAGTTAATACGTATGCACAATAAAGCTTTGGCATCTGAATGTCTTACTTAATTTCAAATACTAGAACACTAGCAAAGAAATCAAATACTCGTCTAAAACTCCACACAAAACAATCTCTGCTAATAGGCAATCAGCAAAACAAAGAAGGGGGAATAAATAAAGTGGTCTTTAATCAAGGGACCGATATAGTAACTTTATCTTGGCAGTTTGCGAGCCAACTTCGTCTTTAATGAGCCGGCTGAGGGATGCTCATTGGAGCTGGCAACACTGCACACCGCGATTAAGAACGTTAGAACAATTCACGATGTCTTTAAGGTCGAAAGTGCTTCATTTGGTTTCATTGTCATGTGAACAAATAAAGGTGTAAGGATTTCAGGAGGTAAATGATCACCTAAATGGTCTGTTGACATCGAATTGACATTGAATAATGTAGCATCACGCCTCTTTTAGCCCCCGAGGTATGTAGAGCTACTTCTCTACGTATGCCTAGTGTATAACATTGACTCTAGATGTAATCTAGGCTCCATACTATAACGACTAGGAATTTCAAAAATCAAAAAATACTCATAAGTGTACTTACCCGGCCTAAAAATCAAACCCAAGAAGACGGGGTGAAACTGGTGATTTTATATATTTTGATAAAATTACATTTATTTTTGAAGTAAGTATTTGGGCTTCTGTTCCATTAACAATACACAATAGAAACTAATAATAGAAAAACTTCATTTTTCATAAATTCGATTACAAGGAAAAATAAGTATTTCCATGTATTATATAGCTGGTTTATTAGTCCAACCATCTCACATCTCTTTCCTTCTTGTGAGCATTATTATTGTTTCTCATTTCTTTCATGTTTGACATACAAACACGCGTAACTGGATAAACTTCGCTAGTGATGTGTCGTTACAGTTTAAATTAGTACAACATTATATAGAAATCGATTAATTGTTTTTAATATAATATTAGGTCGATTGATTCGATTGGCAATCGCTTTGGCGTAGTACCACTCACTGGATAAGACACTGGTTGCTGGTCAAAGCACCTGCACTTACGTTTACTGTGAAACCTTGTTTGGCACACCACATTAAACCCTGGATCTATTCAACTAATTTCCATAACACCATATTTCCTTTCTCATACAAAAATCACCCAATACAGAGAATTTGATTACAGACAGGTACCTGTATGATATTACCTGGGTGTGGATGAATTGATTGCTTACGAGCAGACGTGCTCCATCGTTGTCCACGCCATCGTTAATCACAAAGCAAGTCTGTGACCATATGCCAAAAACTTCAAGAAATGACAGGTGCAGAAAAATTAGTAGTTGATTTAAATATCATTGAATTGTAATCACAAATGTATCGAATATTTTCCATCACTAGTCCATAATTTTTGACATTTGTCTTTGTTTATATTTTGAAAGAATTGTTTCTTTAATATTTTTGTATCAAAAATCAGTATGAAGTGTCTTTATTTCAAAACTTTATTTACAAAAATCTTGAATCGCAAGAAATTATTAAATCGCAAATTAGGCAAATATTTTATTGGTGTTGTGGTTTTAAGTATCATTTATAACAACGTTGCCAAAGTTTTTATGGATTTATACAAATATCATTTAGAAAAACAGTTTAATTCATCATTAAAATATATATTGGTATGGACACCGCTTTCGGAAGAGCCAATTTGTTATTTAGGTGAAGGTAGAAAGGGGTTCATTGAGAAAGGTTGTCATCATACAAACTGTTATGTGACGGGGAACAGAACGTTGTTGCAAAACATAACAGAGTTTCATGCGATAGTATTTCATTTAAAAGATATAAGACCACCGACTTTTGTCCGCGTTTCATTCAAGCATTGGCCCTTTCCAAAGCTCCGTAAGCCACATCAGAAATATATATTCACTAGTAAGGAGTCCGAAAAGTACTATCCGCTATGTGACAAGAAATTCCAGAACTTTTTCAATTGGACTTGGACCTATAAATTGAATTCTGATCTAAGCTTTAATTACATATCTGTTTGGGATAAGTATGGCAATGTTATAGGACCGAAACAAGAAATGCATTGGATGAAGGTGGCGGACATGGATCCAATAAACGATACGTTAAAAAAAATATTGAGGACGAAGACGATAGCAGCTGCGTGGTTTGCATCGAATTGTAATGCTCCAAATGGAAGGTCTGAGATTGCCAGAACACTGCAAATTGAACTGAAAACGTATAATATGCGGTTGGACATATATGGTGACTGTGGAAAGATGAAGTGTCCAAGATCTAATATGGATAAGTGCCTGCGCAAACTACGAAATGATTACTATTTCTATCTGGCTTTTGAGAATTCGTTCTCAGTAGACTATGTGTCAGAAAAATTATTATGGGCTGTCAACAATTACGCAGTGCCGGTGGTGTACGGCGGCGCCAATTACACAAGGTGCCTAGCTTTCCACAGTTAATGTATTTATTGGTGCCACAAAACACAGATATGTGTTACGCAAAATCTTAATTTTATCTATTTGTCTTTTCAGGTTTATGCCAGATGGAATGTATTTATCAGCGGTTAACGTGCCAGTCAAGGTATTGGCAAAAAAAATGGCGAACATTATACGTCATAAAGAGGCATATTACGAATTCTTCAAATGGCATAATCACTATTCATTTCACACTGATGTTGATTCCGTGGAAAGTGACAGCTACTGCCGATTCTGTGAAGCAATTACCAATGAAGAAAAACTAAAAGAAACTAGTATTTATAAGGATATTGGCAAATGGTGGAGCCCACATGTATGTCGTTAGCTAATGTCATGGCTCAAAGTAATGGTTACACTACACGTTTGTCGTACCGACAAATATGATTACAACAAAACTGAAGAATTCCTTTGTATATTTACGAAATGCTACTACTAAAAAAGGTTTATTGTGTCGCATATTTTATTATTCGTTTACGTATTTTTTTCTCATTTTGTAAAGGGTTTTATAGAATATATTATTACTACAGAATATATATTATTTTAATTAATTTCAATATTTATTTAAATCAATTCGTTATAAAGTCGATAGTTGGACATCAACAGTGACGGCTGTGATAGGTGCTTATTATATTCAGAGTAGTTGTTCAATGATCATGCTACGAGTTTAGATCCAACTAATGTATGTAGGTCCACAGGGAACTGTAAATCATGTCAGTGAATCAAATATAGGTACTTTTTCATACCTTTCTATACATTTAACATTACTTAGTAGTACTTTTGTTATCATATTTAAGCATACTCTAAAGTCAAAACAAATCAAACAGAATACTCACTTGCACTATAGTCAGAATTTTAATTAGATTCCAGATTTGACAATAGCTACTGTCATTTTGTGAAATAATGATACCACATATAATAGTGTAGTGATGCACACAAAAATCGATGAACAATCAGTGTGTGTGTTTTATAATAAATGTTACAGAAAGTGACAGGATAGCGACAGCGATGACGGCGACAATTTATAAAATAACTTATTACCATAATACGTCTATCTGTTTTATTTGTCATGTTCCTTCATGATTACATTTTTTTATTTATAACACACATAATTATAAAAGAAACGTCTTAAATCTTTAATTAATCGTCAAAACTAAATTATCGGTTCAGAAATATTAAATTTCCTGATATACTTAGTTCACTAGAGTAAAATTATAATTATTATAAACGAGAAGAATCGATCCAGAAATATTGCATTTCCATATCGAATAATTTCGCAACGTCACTATTTAGTACTTGTCATAACGTTGCCACACTGAAATTGTCAAATCTGGAATCGAATTAAAATTCCGAGTATAGTACTTTTCAAGTGTTATCTACTTAATATAATATTAGAAGTCCTGAAGACAAACTAGTTGAATCTACATTCAAAAGCAAATGAAAATCCAATTATAGCTTACCTTTAAAGTCAAATAAGTTAAGACATAATACGATTACAAGCCAAAACTTATTTTTCTTAATATCCCAAAAGCCATTTGTAAGGCTGTCATCAAGAGGTCATTAGCGCAATGAAAACAAATGAATAATGTAAGCGAAAACAAAGAACCTACAGGATTAGCTGCAACAGTCGCCGCTAATTTACATAATAAATTCGAAAATATAGCAGACAGCCAGCCGCCAGAGGAAGTTTTAGCTTAATCGGTAACCAACGAAAAAGTAGAATTTGTTAAAGCATTTTGGTACACTCCAAACACTGGTTATGGGTTTAATATTTCAATGTCTGAACTTTTTCTAAATCTGATTTTTTTAGGGAAATATCAAAGTATAAACATATGGAAAATATTGAACAAACTACAAAAAATGAAATAGAACAAAACATACAATACAAAACATAAAAATAAAAAAAACATTCGGGCCGAGGATTGTACCAGAGTGTCCTGCCATGTACAGCACCCGATTTCCCGACTAAGCTATTGAAACATTATGTACGTCATTGCGTTTAACATCGCATTCTAATAAGGATTTTTATACAATGAACGCTCGGATTAAACGATATTCTCTGTAAATGAAACCTGATCAATTTGTCGACTCCGAAACCCTCTAAATACAAAATTTCAAGACAATCGTTAAGAGCCGTTTTCGTGATCGTTAATATAAAATAATTATACATATACAAGAATTGCTCGTTTAACACGTTAACCGCCGCATAGATCACCGATGATCTACGTTAGCGGAGGATTTGCCTTTAGCAGTTTTCTGTCGGCAGTCAAAGGCCTAAGTGTATTAGATGTAGGTACCATTTATATTGATTTGATTTTCATCATATTTTGCCAGGAGGTGCTAATGAGAGAAGGCACAGACGTAAAAAGCATAGCACAAAATGTTGTTTGACTTAAACGCAACTTATTGCATTAAGAAAACTGTCAGGCATCTCCGTCGATTACCTGTAAAATATGATATCATCACAAAAATATTTTTGCTCCAAAGTAGGTTTACATTAAAAATAACTTCAAACATTATAAAATAATACCAATCAAACGTAAAAACAATACGAAGTAGGCATTAAGCATTAATAACGAACTTGTCCATTTTGGAAAATACTTAAAAATATCCAATGGCTAGACTGGTGACGTAATTGGCCGGTATAATTCACGGTTGTAATTAACCCGGATAATTAATACGGTCCGGTACGGCACGGTCAACCGTAACGAACGTTGATATATTAATCTACCGTAAACAAACATGGATTTTTAATAACATCTGAAAACGCAGTTGAACTTTGATACGTACTATTTTAGCGTTCAGAGATACAGATTCTTAGTAATTGGTTTCAAAATTTTTAAATACGACTTACCAAGTAAACCAAATGCTTGAAATAAGAAAACGACAAATAACTTAAACGTACATAATAATATGTTTATTTCATAAATACGTTACTGAAAATATACAAGCCATAAAAATACCTAGATTAGACTTGCATCTCTTTAGTGTCTAGGCTTGAATCTTAGCCAATGACCTCCAACCAGCCTGTTGTTGAAACTCTTAGTGTCCAACTTTGCAGGGATGCAGGTCTTCTCACATGGAGACAGTTCCATCTCTCGAAGCAGCTGGTACAACATCACCTTCAATTCACAGAGCGCAAACCTTGATCCTGTTAAAAGAACTATTGTTAAGAGTTTGCGTTATCGTAACATGTGGGTGCATTTATCCCCACATAGAACATTATTTAAAGAAATGATCTTGAATCAGAATTTAGCAAATCAATGTTCTAATAATACATACTTCAAGCCCATAACAGAATTCAACCCGATTTTTGGTAACCGCTTAACAACCAAAGCTATATAAAGATTTATCTTTTCTGATCAATCGCCGGTGACCGTTCTTCACTGACTCCATTATAGAATTTAATTTAGAGACTACTTTTGTATGAACAAATTTTGGATATTTTCGGTACGAAATATCAAGACCTTAAGGTACTACGGCGTCAATAAATTAATTATTGTCACATTGCCTACCTATGCAATTCCTAGGACCAACCCCAAATGGCATATATGACATCGGATTAATCTTGTGTTTATTTTCTTCAGAAAAACGTTCAGGGTCAAACTTCTCTGGTTCAGGGAAGAATTCAGGGTCACGGTGGAAGGCATATGAAGGTATCATGATGGGGGAGCCTTTGCGAATCTGAAATATATGTAGAAAAATGTATTAGTCAAAACCAAATCTTTGAGTAGTAAACAGAAAAATATCCACTAAACATACCACATGTGAATTTGCAATATTCAGTCAGATGAAAGTACAAATGGGGAATATATAATAATTTATTATGATCTTGATACAAAAAAGTATCAAAAATATAACTTACGATAAAATCTTTCTCAGCGGCCAGATTTGGTTTACCCATGTTATAATCTTTGGTGCAAACTCTATCTAGCACAACATTTGGTGGCCAGAGCCTTAATACCTCTGGAAAAACAAAAAAGGATACCAAAATATGAAAATTATGTCATTGAAAACGGACGACATATACCGACCAGATTGACGATAAATTAAAAAAGGACAAAATTAATCCTTAACAGACGAGCATGCATGAAAGTCGATTAAGCGTAAGAGGTATGTGGGAATCGTACCTCCATGGGAGACAGGCGTGAAGTTATGTTTACAAACAAGCAGCTCATTTCAAGATTATATTGGATTTTATTTATGAAAGTGGTCGTTTCAAAATCTTACCAGACACCACCATATCCATATATTTCATATTCAGTATAGAATCGAAGGTGAATTTGCCACCGTTCTTGGCATCATGTTCCTTGATCTCCTGCACCAGACGGTCCTGCACGTCAGGGTGTACAGCCAACTCATGCATTATGAAGCACATACTGGATGAAACAGTTTCAAAGCCAGCGACGAAGAATAAGAATGCTTGAGCAACAAGATCCTCATCTTTCCACACTGAAACATAAAAAATATTTTATAACTATTTGTGGCAAATATAATAAGTTAAATTAGATGATAAAATCCAAAGAATAATGACACGACCAGTCCTACATCACAATTAGGCAGCAGCTTACTAGACATGCATGATCACCTAACCTGATTTAAGAATCTTCCCTTTTCATAACCATCATAACATCGCGCTTTTATACCCCTTGGTAGGCAGAGATGCACTTTACTGCACTTAATGCCACTGTCCCACCAATGTACAATGTAACACCCACTTTTCACTATTTATGTTATATTATGAGACTATTGGCATATACTGGGAACTATACCAGACTCGGTGCTACTGCTGAGGATTTTTTTAAACCCAGTAATACTTTGCCCGACCCGTATCGCAACCGAGAACCCTTGCCCAGCAGTCACACTTGCAACCACTCGACCACTCATCACTTTTCTTAACTAAATGAACATCACACTATTTCCTAATTACACGTATATTTTGTGACCTTAAAAAATCTTAATTTAAATGGACTATCACCTCTGTTCATAGATTTCTGGCCATACGATGATTCTTCGACAGTTGCAAATCCAGCTGCAGTGTCAGTAGACTTGACTTCTTCATGAGACAATTTTCCTGAAATTTTGAATGAATTTTCTTTTAATATCACTGTAAATATTATAAGAGGTTTTTACCAAATTGTTAACTTACCTTTATTAGCTTCCATAAGCAAGTGGATCATATCAGGTCGGACGATTTTCTTCAATTCTCGCTCCTTCATGGTGCTCATAAACAGATTTATAAAATAATCCTGGGTCTTCTTAGGTAAGACACTCCAGTCTAAGGCCTATAATGAAACCAAATATGTATTAATATTCGTTGGGCTTTTTTGATATTGATTTCTTCTTCTAACCAAAAGTATTTTAATGAAAATACACAAAATAAAAAGTGTTTCTTAATCATTATTTAATCATTCCCTCACCGGGAGCATTCTCGTGTAATGTAACATTATAGATTCGACTTTGAGTATTTCATAGCAAAATGTCAGACGAAGCAGGCGGGCGAGGGGCTGGAGGAAGAGGAACGCATTGATGTTACAAGTTGTATTAAGATATTACTCATTATATCATTACAAGGTGTGCTCTGTAATGCTCGGTTCTTCTCCTTCACTGCATGTTGCATTACACGTGAATGCTCCTGATGAGGCAGCACCTTTATGTAGTTACAGATAAGGGACACTTTTAAAATTAACATAGTTATTACTAATGATAGGTATTGTAACAAACTTTATATATCTCACCTGTTGCAGATAAGGAACTTTAGATATAAGAAAGAACACCAACAGCAGATGTAATTTAAACTCAAACGCGGACTTGCCAGTTGCGTAGAAGTCATTGTTCTTGTCAGTATGAGAGTCCACCTTCAGACCAAAGGCGCAGGTCGCTATCACATCATTGGCGTAACGTGTTGTGAGGTCCTTACAGTCCACGTCTATATAACCATCTAAAATATATAAATTTATTACATTGGTTAGTAATTTTTGACTTTATTCTGAAAAGCTATTTCTCCAATAATGAAAACCGAGTTCAACTCCTTCTTTTTGAGGTCGGTTTATTAATATATTAAGTCCTTCTCCTAAGTGTAACAAACACTATTCAAATATACTATCACTATACAAATTATGTTCAGCCAATTGCGATATAATCGCGCACAAGTATACATACATACATACCTACAGGTCAAACTGACACCCTACATCTCTTTTTGAAGTCGGTTAAAAACTAATCACAGTCTGTTCTTCTAAAGTACAAACCAACCTTTTGATTCATTTATCTGGTTCTTAAGAGAAGACATCATCTGGTCCCCGACCTCCACCATGAAAGGCACCATTAGACGTATCTTTGAGCTTGTGAACGCTGGACTCAACGTGGAGCGCATGTCCTTCCATTCTTGGCCTTTTTGGGAAGTTGAAAAGAAAATACATAATTATTATTATTTTGATGAGAGTATAATCTTACTCTATTATAAATGCAAAAAATTGTAACAAATTATTATACAGTAGCAGCGCGACAGTCGCCGCGTCGGGGATCGCGAAATGCTGCTCATGAATATGAGCCTCTAGCATGGCTTGAAACTAGTCGAGTTCCTCGTCAAATTATAACGTGAGTAAGCCGAAAACATAATAATTTAGATTGTAACAAGTTTTTGTACATGTATTCGGAATAAAATTCGGAACATGAGTAGATCATTGTCTAGAATAACACATAGGCTACTTTTTATCCCACGGGAACGAGGGAAAGCCGTAGAAAACCGGTAGCCGAAGCTAGTTATTTGAATAAAGTTGAATTGTTGAACGTCAGATATTGTAAGTAGTCACTAGTCTTGTTAAATACGACTTAAGTAGTACCTTGCATAAAAAACAGACTCCTCTCGAACAAGGACTCGAATCCATTGGAAGTGTGATCGAGGAAGTGTTCAGAGTCCTTGATTGTGATCTTCTTCAAGAGTTCAATGTCTCGAATCACGATGGAGTCCTTCATCAATTCGATTCGACCCAAAAACCTGAAATATTATTGCGAACACATTAAACAGTAAAAGAAATGGTTAAAAGAAATGGTTCAGACCTTCTAAAGCCTTGAGAACAAATTCACGGCTTCATAGAATAAGAAGATTTAAATAAAAATTATGAGAATGAAAACTGAATGAACTGTATAATACTAGTTTATTTGTTCACTATTTAGCCTCTATGAAGTCTCTATCTACAAACAAATTTAATTATATATATCTCACCTTTCTTCAGGATATTTGTCATATAAATTTTTGAGGTCTTGGCCTATATGTTCTTTGGCCTTCAGCAGTTTGATGATAGGACCAATCAATGGGATAGTAGCATCATGTTTGATGCCATATTGATTGAAGGTAGAGTTTACATAGTTCAAGTATAGTGCTAACACACACAGTAGAAATGCTATCAATACTAAGTAGAACATTATTACCTGTAAAAGAAGTAAAATTAAACCTTATTTTTATGAAACTGGTTACGACAATACCCAAAGATTCCTGCCAGTGCCTTTTTTTTCTCTGCTATCCTGGTTCCAATAGCGATATGCCACTTGCTTATGGATCATCTAATACTTGGATTAAAATATTATATTTTCGAGTCTTAATTTTGTTGATATTCGACTTGGCGTCACTACAAGGATCATAAACATTCTGCCAATTGAAGTTCGTTAACAAAATTTGGGGGACCATAACATTGTAATTAGACTCAAGGACGACACGTGTATGGTATCATGCAATATCTGCCTGCATTGCATGATTATTACATCATCAAGTTTACTAATAGCGATACTAATATTAGATTATACCACTTGGTAACTAATAGAATGATAGAATAGAATAGAATAGAATATAACTTTATTGTACACCATTAATAATACAGTACATACAGAAAAGGAAATGACAAATATAAATATAAAAAATAATAATGATTCTGATTAGTGAATGAATTTTTATCTGAATACTAAGTTCATTTTTTTAATGTTTATTGTATCCCAATCATCATCATATTTTTTGTGGTAAATGAATAGCAGAAATCCAATTACCAGAAGGAGATATGCCAAAAGTCCCTCTAAAACGATCGAACAACGTTCGATTGAAACAGAGAATTTAATATTATGCTGTCTACTTAACCCTAAGATTTAAAAGTAGCATTACTATGCGGTGGCACAGTTACATTAATTTGTTGAAGAACCTATGACTGCTAGGGTAGACGTGTGTTGAAAATGTATAGCAACAAAGTGCTTGGCAGCGGATAGATGCTAAGACCTTGATATATGAAGTATGTATCAGAGACATTGTACAACATACTTTCTTGCTCGTTATTTTCCATTCGAATCTACATTTTGGAATGAGCACCTAGCTTCACCTAGTTTCACTGACGGACTGACTGAAAGACTATTATTTATTTTATATTTGTTGACGTTTCAAAAGTACCAAACTATGGTTTAATTGAAATAAATGCTTTGACTTTGACTTTGAGCTGAAGATCGTGTTGTTGGAGAAGCCTATGTAGTCTGATGACGATAACTGTTAATGGGTAAATGTTTTATTGATTCTATTAATACCCAATAATAAAATGATGTCTGTTTGTATGTCTGGGTTACACTCAAAAAGTGCTGCATGAATTTCCTTCCTGCATGTATATTACTAACTATTACAATTACAAACTGATCGGTCAACATAATATATAATTAGGCTGTCACTTACAGTGGAGGAGCGGTGAATCTTTCATAGGATACTTTTTATCACGGGAAAACTATCATAAGTCACTATTCCACGCAAACAAAATCATGGGCACAGCTATTTGTTAATAATTTCGGGTATTGAAGCTTCAAGTAGGCGTGATGTTATGTGAAGCTTCAAGTTCAATTCTCCAGTCCAATTCTCACTGGTGTAAGCCAGAGCTTACACCAGTGTTACCCTGAGACGTCTTCGACTTCAGCTTCAGTTCGTTACATTAAATATTTAAATAAAATTTATAGGTACTCATTCTAAATAAAATAAACATAACTGAGTATTAAATAAAATATATTACAGTGCACGTATAAACCATCCAACCTCTTTGCTTCGGTTAAAATTAAAAGTATTTAATTAAAAAACCACTTTATTGGTTACAGTAACGTTACCTGTAATAAAATAAAAAAACCTAAAAATAATAAATAAAAGCGTTTTAACTCGTCGAGTACCGGTTTTATAGACACAATTAAAGAACAATAGGTCGCGGTCACCGGTGACCGCTTGGTGTTTGACAGTTTAACAGTAAAAATGTACCTAAATAAACCTATTGTTTTAAATGTCAAAAAATCTTATAACTATAATTTTTTCTCAACACTTAATCCTAAAAATAACTTACCTATAAATCGTATTTATCCACACAATAAAGGTATTTAATAATGTCACTCCACTCGTATCATTAGCAGCACTGATTACAACACAGTGACCTCAGGGACGAACAAATTCATCAAAATATAAAACTTGTATTCTCATTGGTAGCTAGTACATCACTCAACCAATCACAACGCCTGAATTACTAAATTGTTTAAAGATAAAAACTACGTGAATCGTATCTCTACGTTCTGTGTAGTAGGTATAAACAGTTCGCAGATTTGACAAAATAAATATTGTAATTACATGAATATCTCCATAACAATATCTCCTGCCAACCCGCCTTGAGCAAGTTTAGTGATTAATGCTCAAACCTTCTCCGTGTAAGAAGAGGCATTCGCTCAGCAGTGGGCATGTTGTTCATGTGATGTGTGTGATGTGATAATCTTCATATTTTAGTTTCCAAGACAGGTGCACTCGGTACACACGTACTCAAAATTGCCATATACACAATATCATTTTAATTCCTTTATGTTTCCAACCTGTTGATTTATATGGATGCAGATTACACCCAGGCTCCAACACTGGATGGGCACCAGCTTTTTCAAAATTTTCGATACAGATGTAATTTTAACTAACCAACACCTTCCATCGTGGTTTTCAAGTATCTTAAATTAAACTCTAACTCAAATAAATAATAAGTTAAAACCCATATATTTGTATTAAAAATATTTATTATAGTCTATTTCAGTACTATCTATACAAATAAAAATGAAATACCGTTTGTATTTTTAGGCGGTATGAAGTTTGCGGGTCAACTAATAACTACTTAAATATTCTAGATTAATGTTACAATTTAAATGCACATGAATTACCAAAGATATACGACACTTACATGAAACATTATATTTTAATAAAAAACTTTATAAATAAGTTATATTATGTCTATGCTAATAATGGTGTGCACAGAAAATTAATTCCAATTTTATCAGTTCTAAACTTGGTAATTCATTCAGAAGTAATCTTTAATCTTATCATCTACAGCTCTGAGTATCAAGCAAGAATAACTATCGCATTCGTAACGTATGTACATACATACGTCCAGTGAACCAACCAATCCTGGTCAGAACACATATATTAAGCACGAATTATGTAATCAAGCCTACTACACACTGACAGATTATCTTGAAGATAAGAATGCTTGTATTTTAATCTGTCAAACACCAAGCGGTCACCGGTGACCGCGACCTATTGTTCTTTAATTGTGTCTATAAATACGGTACTCGACGAGTTAATACATAATTTAACAATTTAATTCTAATGTAGACAATCTAGTTTCCTTATGGCATCGAGCATTTCTTTATTGAAACAAAGAGTTTCCTTTTCTTGTATAGAAGCACTAATTCTATGGATTGTCAGTATGCATATGTGAGCACCATGTTGGACTTTAAGTTAATTTTTATTTTATTTTATTTTTTTAATTTTAGTAAGTTATTAGTATAATGCCTCAAGCGTGTCTTTGCATTGTTCTTACATATGCGTACAGTATTGAAATATGTATCAGAGACATTGTAGAACATACTTTTTTAAAAAGAGTAACGAATGGAGTTTCTTGCTCGTTCTTCTCCATTCGAATCTACTTTTTGGAATGAGCACCTAGCTTCACCTAGTTTCACTGACGGACTGACTGACAGACTATTATTTATTTTGTATTTGTTGACGTTTTAAAAGCACCAAACTATGGTTTAATTGAAATAAATGCTTTGACTTTGACTTTGACTTTCAGTCCACTGCATGCGATAAAACACAGGTGAGAAAAAGTAGTGATGATAAATCTAGACTTTGCCATCACCACGACTGCAAACACATGATTTTAGGTTGAATGACACAATGACAGTTCTACTTTCTTAGTCTAAACCTTAACCAATGTCCACCTTCCAGCTTCAAGTTGAAACTGTCAGTGGAGAGCTTGGCAGGGATGCAGGTCTTCTCACAGGGTGACAGCTCCACATGACGCAGAAGCTGGTAGGCTATCACCTTTATCTCGCAGAGGGCAAATCTTGAACCTGGTGATAGGAACAATGAAAAGATTCTCAGAACTATTAGATTTTCAGTTATACGATACATCAAGTGTGTTAAGTGCTATCACTAATATGATAGAATTCCATTTTTGTATGGCAGTGCATTTAGTTCGCCGTGTTCTTGGCTTGTTACTTGAGCCATTTATTGCCCTTAAGGTTTTATATTCGAGCTCTTTGACTAAATTTTTCTATTAAATTGTTCTAGCACAATCAAACCAACAAACTATTATGTTATTATGTTAATAGAGAATAGTATTGTAAACCTACGGCACGCATGAAAAAAGTAACCTATGGAGTTTCTAGCTCGTTCTTCTCCATAGGAATCTACACCTTGGAATGAGCAAATAGCTTCACTTTTTATTGATGTTCAAAAGTGCCTTCCTGATCTTATTGAAATAAATAATTTTGACTGTGACTTTGAAAAGCTTTATAAGCATAATTTATAATGGACATAAATACTTACCAATACAGTTCCTAGGACCAGAACCAAAAGGCATGTATGTAAATGGTTTGATTTTGTGTTTGTTTTCATCGGAGAAACGCTCAGGATCGAACTTCTCAGGGTCCGGGAAGTACTGAGGGTCGCGGTGAAAGGCATACGTTGGAATCCACAATTCTGCACCTTTTTGTACCTGGGAAATAGGAAAATTCTTACTTATTTTATGCTTATGCTTACAAGTCTATGAACCCCTTATAATTTAAAAGAACAAGAAATAAAGATAAAAAATATATTGTATAGTGTAATAATATAGAAAACTTACAACGAATTCTCGTGAAGCTGAGTCGTTGGGCTTTCCCAAGTTGTAATCTTTGGTACATTCTCTGTCAATGATTACAAATGGAGGCCATTTTCTTAACACCTCTGTAAAGAAGAAACAGAATTATGATATACCCTGATATATAGGCCAGATTGAAAAAACTCGTCTTTCATTGCAGATAGTCCTACCTGAGACAACCATATCCATGTATTTCATGCTCTGTATAGAAGTGAAGTCCGCCTTTCCTCCATTCTTCTCATCATGTTCTCTAATCTCCTGTATTAAGCGTTCCTGCACGTCAGGGTTCAGTGCCAGCTCGTGCAGTAAGAATGACATACTTGATGAAACTGATTCGAAGCCAGCAACAAAGAAAATGAATGCTTGAGCCACCAAATCTTCATCAGTCCATACTATAATAGGAAAAATGGATATCAAATATAGTAATATGTAGAACAACAAAATATTTTTAGATGTTAGTACCATTATAATCGAATACCTTTATTTGTAATGGCTTTCTTTCCAACCAAAGACTCTTCAACAGTCGCGAACCCGGCTCCATCATCACTTGACTTATCATCCTCATGCTTTAATTTGCCTAGAAACAAATAAATAATAATAAAAATCAAAGTTCACAGACAGAAAAACAGAAATATAAAACTTGTTGACCAAAATTCTAATTGTAATGTTATTGTACATAACTAGAACTACCTTTCTTTGCTTCCATTAGAAGATGAATCATATCAGGTCTCACAATGCCCTGTAACTCACGGTTCTTCATCGTTTCTAATACCAGGCTTTTGAAATATCTCTGAGTTGACTTTGGGATGAAATCCCAGTCTAAAATCTGAAAATTCAAGAAACATTTATATTGAAAACATTTTTATAATAACTATCGTGAGACATACTAAATTAATTAAAATCACGGGTTACTTACTGAGAAAAGCTCTACTAGTTTCGAACCGCAGAGGGGTTCTTCCTCATGAGCAGCGTGTGCGGTCGCGGCGACGTCGCGTGAGTAACCCGTGATTTTATATTAATTGAAAATATTCCTATCAAACTAAAGAAGATAGATTTACAGTAAAAGAAAAGTCTACTGCATATTATGACATAGTAAAATAAAAAACTTGTAGGTTGTTATCGTGGAACTACATAAAACAATTACATACCTCCATGACATATGGTATATTGACAAGGATCATGTACAGCAGTATTTTAGCCAAACTGAATGAGCTAAGTATCTTTCCCATTGAGTAGAACTGGTTGTTCTCATCATTATGAGAGTCCACCTTCAGACCAAAGGCACAGGATGCTATCACATCATTAGCGTAACGTGTTGTGAGGTCCTTGCATTCAATATCTACGTAGCCATCTGAAAAGAAAGATAATCAAGGTATAACACTCAAAACCTCAATGTAAATGGAATAATTATTTAAGGTCGGCTGCCGATGTATGCTCCGATATTGAGAGATCGTTGGCATTTCTGAACCGAATAAGAGTTCGAAACTACCTCTACAATAAGGTTTCTAAAAAAAAACTACCATTGCGTGTTCCAGTATATCATAATGGTGCAAACATGGAACTGTGTGTGTGTTGCTACAAACCTTTTGAATTTTCGATCTTCTTCTTAAGGTTCAATATCATCTGATCTCCGACCTCCTCCATGAAAGGCACCATCAGGCGTATCTTAGAGCTTGTGAACGCTGGACTCAACGTAGAGCGCATTTCCTTCCACTCTTCACCTGTTATTGTTAAGTAAAACTTTATAATTAATAAGAAGTCAAACTACATACGACAAAAGCAAAAATATTAAAATGAGAAATACCTTTCATAAAGAACAAAAGTTTGCTAAAGAATGATTCAGGAGGTCCAGTGTTGGGATGGTTAAGGAAGTACTCATAGTCTTTGACTGTCATCTTCTTGATGAGTTCAGGGTCCCGTATTAATATCGCCTCTTTCAGAAACTGGAGTTTCCCCACGAACCTGGAACAGTTAGGATTTTAAGAAGCACAGTTAACCAGCATTTATTTCACTTTCCCATATTTTACACACTTTTTACAAGATTGTTGAAATAAATAAATAACTTTGACCTACCTCTCATTAGGAAAACTGTTGTAAGTTCTCGCGAGATCTAGACCAATGTGTTCCTTAGGTCTTACCATCGAGACTATGTCGGATAAAATGGGTACTGCCTTTAAATATTTAATTTCACATCGATCAAATGTTGCGTACGCCTGTCGAAGGAACAGCACGGCTGCAGCAATTATGACCACTACCCATATGAGCGTAAGGATCATTTTGGTGATTTCTGAAAAATATATGTATTTAGTTAGTACTTTTTATTTATGTTTGATGGGCCGACGTTTGACCACTATCTCGCCTGGTGGTAAGCGATGACTCTGGCAAAGAATTTTCACTCCTTAGCAGTACGCACAATGAAGTTTGATGCGAAATGCTTCATGCGTGTCATCTACAATGAGTATATAGATAAAAAAATGTCTAAAGGAAATAAGAAGTGGCCACTACTTTCAACGCATTCATTTATTTATTACCGGCTGTATAATTTTAGAACAATTTTGACTATTGATTTTTACTGTGACTACTACTAAAATATTTTGTAAATAATTCTATCCTTAACTTAGGGAATGAGCAGGATACAATTTTACTTATAAATAAGTTTATGTAGGTATTGCTGTATAAATAAATTATCAGTCTTCTATAATTAGACGTATGATTTCATTTCATTTGTTTGTAAATAAAGATGCACTGTTATCAAGTAATTTGTTGAATGATGTTAACTGTCGACTTATCTGGTAGTTTGTTTACGAGCAGTGAAAGGAATCTGGAATTTTCAATATCTTACAGGTGATATCATACTGTTTGAAAGAAGGAACACTTCTTAACCGAAATCATTCAATGAGTCGTTTATGTCGTACTTTTCATGACATTTTTTTGTTATTGGTCCAGACATAATACAGATAGATGTGTGTTTCGGAATTCAAATTAATACATTTCCAACTCTTCATAATTTTCATCTCGATTTTATACCAAAACACATAACAAACTATAAACTTTCATAGTAACACACAACTCTAACATATTTAATTTCCTCTTATGAAGAAAGAGGAAATTAATTTATATATATTATAGCGAAACGCTGTTACTTTATTCTGTTTCATAATAGAAAAATATGACATTATCGACCTAAATCAATAACCGACCTTTATACAAAATCTAATTATCTAAAATAGATCTATTTTTTTGACAAAAACTCCATAGCACTAATTTATTAAGGCCAAAAATTGATTTTAATTACCAGATTTTAAATTTTTGGTCGTCGTTGTAGGTACCTAAATATTGATCTAATATACGTATCCGACTGTTTTGTTTCATAACGCTATAACACGCACATTTTTCGTGGCTAGTAAACAATGTTTACGTCACTCAAGGTCAGCCGGCCGGCGTCGGCACTACCAACTGTCTGGCTTTAATACAATTTGTTTGCTGTTAATGTCTAAACAGAAAGGAATAGATAATAATGTACATACAGAGAGTATCATTTTGTTATCACTTTTGTATACATATATTTGTAATGTCGGTCGCCCAGTAACTTGTTTGTTTACACATTAAAGTTCCTTGACCCTTTTGTTATTATTCTACTAACAACAATTTAGTTGACCTTAATAATAGATATTGGAAAACTCAGCTCAACGCTTATCATTTATAAATTCTTACACGAAAAAGCCACTGAATGAATTTACGGAGTTTAGAGATAGATTGTAGTCTTAAATAACACGTTGGTCCTGAAGACGATGAAATTTACAAGACTATATAATAATTAAAATGAAAAACTTACATTAAATCCAACGTAATAACAATAATACAGTAGCAAAATAACGCCAGTATGTCCCGTACACACCCACACACGTGTGACTCGGTCCACAGTCCTACACTCTCTGAGTAGTCGGGAATATAATTTGTGAAGCTGCCACAGTGTAGAAGTTTATGTACCCAGGGGACACAGATAAGATTAAAGCAACATAAGCCTCCATTATTACATCAGCCCCTAACACTTTATCTTTAAAATCTGATTTGTTTATCCAACTTTCATTGTTTCGGATAAACAATAAATGTGGTTATTCCGAATGAGTATTTCGTTACGTATTTTCATCATTATTTTGAATTAAGTATCTTTGATTAATAATATAATTGATTTAATCTTTGACTTGATAAAAAGATTTTCGAAATAAATAGTTGCATACTATATTATAATCCTACTAGCTGTTTACCCGCGACTTCAACCGCGTAGAATTTAATTCCTATTTTATGTCATTTGAGTATCCAATCGCTAAGTCAGCCCATACCCTACCTGTATACCAAATTTCATCAAAATACGTTCTGTAGTTTCAACGTGATTGACGGACGAATATACAAACATTCAAACAATGATACTTTCAGATTTATACTATTAGTATGATTAATACTCTGTAGTGTTATTTTTATTCCCGGAAACTAGAGGTATAATAACCCGTCTTAAAAATTAACATTAACCTATTTGTACTTAAACTAAAAACATGACACTGACAAGGAATAACTAGAAATAAGACAAACATTTAAAAGCAATACTTTAATTGTGCAGAATACGTAAGTATAACAGTTAATAATGGATATTATTAAATGATTCCTCCTTAAGAGTAAATTACACAGTCACCATGAAGAAGTCTTCTATTTCCTAAGTTTGAACCTGAGCCAATGTCCTCCCTGTAGCCTTAAGTTTATGTTATCGGTAGCAAGCTTGGAAGGGATGCAGGTCTTCTCACAGGGAGACAGTTCCAAGTGCCTTAGAATCTGGTAGGTAATCACCTTCATCTCGCAGAGAGCAAATCTTGATCCTGTCAATTATAACAGTACATGTTTAACTTTTTCTACCATAGAAATAATCTAAAATGTCACTGAAGCACTATAATCATACCTATACAATTCCTAGGACCAACACCAAAAGGCATGTATGCATTTGGATTGATCTTGTGTTTATTTTCTTCAGAAAAACGGTCAGGGTCGAATTTTTCTGGCTCCGGGAAGTACTGAGGGTCGTGGTGGAAAGCAAAGGCTGACATCATGACACCAGTACCTTTACGGATCTGTAAAATTCAATTTTGTTTAATAGAATTGTAAATTTTAGTCAAATAATTACCGTTATTGTTAAACTTTCTTACTATGAAATCCTTTTCAGCCGTAGCATTTGGTTTTCCTATGTTGTAATCCTTGTGACAAATTCTATCAGTAGCTACAGCTGTGGGCCATCGTCTCAATAATTCTAAAAATAATGTGTTCTTTGAGAACATAAATCCCTATGTGACTTCTTCTATTCTTATACCTCTAGTCTTACCTGAGACAACCATGTCCATATACTTCATGCTCTGTATAGAGTTAAAGTCAAACTTGCCACCATTCTTAGCGTCATGTTCCCTTATCTCTTGTGCCAAGCGCTCCTGTACGTCAGGGTTTACAGCCAACTCGTGTAATAAGAAACACACACTTGAAGAAATTGATTCAAAACCAGCGACAAAGAACAGGAATGCTTGAGCGACCAGATCGTTGTCGCTCCATTCTGGAAAGTTTGAATTTGAATAAAGAACTTTTAGTAGTAAAATGCTTAAATATTAACAAGTTAGTTGTTACCTCGATTAATGACATTCCTTAGTCCAACTGAAGACTCTTCAACAGTAGCAAATCCAGTAGCATCATCATTAGATTTGACATCATCGTGAGATAATTTACCTGGACAGAACATAATATGATTCTCATATGATTTCATCATTAGTATTTTTTTTCATGGAATAGGAGGCAAACAACAACGTATGTAGTCATTTTAGTGGTTATAGGTACCTTTTTTAGCCTCCATAAGCAAATGGATCATATCAGGTCTGACAATATTTCGCATTTCTCGCTCTTTCATAGTATCCAGCACCAAATTTGTAAAAAACTTCTTCACGGAATTTGTCACTAAGTCCAATTTAAATATCTGCAAATGATCAATTACATACAATTCCTGTTTATTTAGTTAATATTATAATTTCCTAAAGGATAACACAAAATTAACCTTCGTAACTCTTGGAATATTCATGATGAGGAAGAACTTTAACATTTGAAGCGAATTGAAGTTTGTTGCTGTCTTGCCCATCTCGTAAAACTGATTGTTCTGTTCAGTCTGTGAGTCCACTTTCAGGCCAAAAGCACACGAGGCTATTACATCGTTAGCGTACCGGGTCGTGAGGTCCTTGCAGTCAATATCTATGTATCCACCTGATAACAGAAAAGTCGGTTATAAAGGTCATAACTTATAATTATAAACGACAATACATTATTTTATCAACCATATGAACAATGTTTTCTATTTTTAAAATATAAACTTAACCATTATATTTTTTATTTCAAAGATTTAATGACTACTAACTACGAATAGTATTACAGGTCTATTAGTCAACTGTTACACCTGTCGATCTGTATTTGCACTCTTACCCTTCGAATCCTCAATCTTCTTTTTAAGCGATACAATCATCTGGTCTCCGACGTCCACCATGAAAGGCACCATCAATCGTATCTTGGAACTTGTGAACGCTGGACTCAACGTAGACCGCATGTCCTTCCACTCTTGGCCTTTTGAAAATAAAAGGATAATTTAGATCACTGGTAATTTTTCTTTGGTTATTAATTCCATAAATATTTTAAGAAGTTAGAAAATCCTCTCTCTGAGATAAAATAAATTAGTCCTAATTCAGTTAACAGTCAAATATTAATTCCCGCTACATAATCACCACTCAGTAAAAACAACGTTCTTCCGAAAAACGAGTCATTTCCAAAGCTGCGGTGATCAATGAAGTACTCAAAGTCTTTCACACAAACTTTTTTCACCAGCTCCAGGTCTCTAATCAGCACTGCCTCATTCATGAACTCAAACCTTCCTACGAATCTGAAATGATTATAAAGTAGCCATTATTTGTTCACTAATAAGGTCAAAGGAAGCGACGAGGGAGTAATGACCTTCAATCTAGTTTACATTTATGATTGTTGTTGTTTTCGTATCTCTTTTGATAAAGAAAAATAACACAGGCATTGTATTGAAAATTTCCTATTATAACTGACCCTTTAACAACGCAAAAAATAATAGTGTACCTAATTTAATGTCATACATAATTATTACTTACTTTTCTTCAGGATAAGCGTTGTATAAATCTTGGAGATCAAATGCCATATGTTTCATACGAAAGATGATCTTGCTCATATTGCCTAGTAGTGGAACTGGCTTGAAGTGCTTGACGCCATGTGCGCTAAATCTGGAGTAGACCTGACGTAAATACAGCACCACCACGGCAATTAGAACCGCTACCCATATCAGCAATATTATCATCTTCTGTAATCAGTTATTGTTTGTGAGGTGTAACTTAATCTTAAGTTAAGCGACATCTATGTGTGTGATCAGATGTATTTTAGGCTTTTAGGATTACGAAGTGAAGGAAAACATTGTGGGGTATCGCCAACTCCCATTGATCAAGCGTGATCAATGTTCAAACTTCCTCCATGCGAGAATAGGCTTTTGGTCAGTAAATTCTCAATGTTAACATTAAGTTTTAAAATGTGCGAGACATTTGTCATCAGTAAACTTAGCACGTCGGTAACGTCGTCAATCCAATCATTTAATTAAATTCATAGTCACATGGAAGTCCATCAATTGAACTAGGTGTCATATGTGATCTCTGTCAATGTCAACTTGTTAAACGATGTCCGAGTATTTCTATTTTAACTGTTATCTAAGAAACCTTCTGATAATGATATTATATTTAAGATTTTCGTGTAAAATACTAACATTAATACGAATCTGGTTCAGACTCCGTAGCTAACCCAACCTTGATAAGGAAAGGCACAGGTAAAAGAATAAGTAATTACTTAGCCGTTCTACCACAGTGAAATGAGATCTAGGAAATCCTCTATTCAGTGTAACTCCTCACACAATTAAAGGCACACTAAATCATTAATACTAGTTTAAGCTGACGTATTCCACGCGCCTAAGCTCTAGTTGTTTTCTTTGCAAAGCCTATTATAGATATTGGTCAACAAAATCGAAAACTATATTTTAATCATATTGCTGCCAATATCATTTTGGTCAATAACTTCACATTGTGATTAAAATAGAGAATTTAACACTTAATATAATGGCGAGAGTAAACAAATTATCTTACATCAACAAACACGAATTCCGTAACAAAACAGAAAACTAAAAAAAAATAATGGGTTTGGCGTCTGACACTGTCTACAGTCTGATTCACTATGAATCAAAAGTAACTGCGATACATGCAGATACAGACATATGCATACACGAGACTGTATCAAGGAATGGATCTAATTCATTTAAGTATCTTGTTTTTTCCGAGTCTTCTGTAGCTATAGTCTTTTTATATAGGAGTTCCTCAGGGCACTATTCTTGGTCTCGTTACCAGTTTGACTGCCAGGATTATGAAACACAATAGAAAATACATAAAAATTAACGTATTTTGGATTTAGTAGTACGGATCTCAGATTTCGGATACAGGATTTGAAATTTCGGATTTCGTATTTCGATTTTTATTTTAATATTTATAATTTTATATTTGATTTGTATTTTTTTTTTATTAAGCTTGGTGTATAAAACTATCAATGTTGTGGAGTGTATAAACATGATTATCTATAAGAAGAATTAAAGAGAACCCCTTTTACATCCCTTGATGGTGGAACATGGTGAACTGCGCATTCATCTAACAGCTTGCAATGCATCTAAATGTACTGTGTTCAGCAATAAAGATATTTGAATTTGAATTTTTACTAACCGTACAACTGGGTTAACTTAAACAGAAATGGTGTGAGTGGATGCTATGAAAATTTCCTAATACTTAGTCACGCCTCGAATTTTATTCACCCCGTTTTACCGTAACGTATTTATTTGTGAAACATTAAAAGGATATTTTAATAAAACAACAATACAATTATGTATATTTAATATAATTTTAAATAATTTTTCATCAAGAAAATATTTTTCATTGCATTTATTCACCAGATATGGACGCGCCCTTATGTTTATTAATATCACCATCACTTTTGTTTCTGGTATAATCTACATTTATTATTCAGGTACTGTCTATTATTGATTGATTGAAGTTTAGGATGATTACATAGAGTAACGCAGGTAATTTATGTCCACGTCTATGTATGAAATACGACGAGTGATAATTTATCTTTTTGACTGGTATTTAATACTTCAAAGAAAAATACAAAAACTTGTTAAATGAAGCGTACATCAAAATGTAAAATCATTTATTTTTCATTACATAAGTCGGACAATCGAAAAAGTTACAAAAACATTACATTTTACTTTATTGTACAAAGTTAGTTGAGTTGCATAGTTTATAAGAAAGCGAATTGCATGAGAATAATGACGTAGTTGGTGACTTGTGCTACTAATGTGCTCGGTAGTAGAACACCAACTGAGAGCATTCCGAACGTTGTCATCTTACTGAACGCACATTTCTCCCACAATACTTTCCTACACAGCCGTCTTTTCTTCTCTAAAAGAAAAAATATCCACAGTGTAGCATCAGACGTACTAATAATGTCTTCAGAGGGCCTAGTACGAGTTTTGTTTTACGTTTAACGAGATGACAACGTCACCGCGTAAGACTGTCTGATTGGTCGTTTCATGAGAGCCTGCCAATTAGAGCGCAGAAAATAGTAACGTTTACGTTGTACCAATCTATTTCGATTTCTGTGGCCCGTCTATGTAACTTGACTGTTGACTCGCTGTTTTCTCTTTCATGATCCCATGGAACAAAACTCAAACTCGAGTTATATTCACTGATTTTATCACCTTTCAAAAACCCAATATTGTTTGACCAATCGACTGAACAATAAACAAGCCATTATACATAACTTTGCTTTAAAATTGTGTTTGTTTCTTCGTACTTCTTAAACTTAGTGATTCATTATTTTTTAATCTCAAATTATTAACTAAATCTGTGTTTATTTTATTTTCACTTATGTGTGCAATGTGTATTCTTCATGAGCAGTATGCATGTAGTCTCAGCCTTATTTACAGTCATGTAAAACTTCTCGCAAAAATAGTTTTGTAAAAACACAAGAACAATGTCATTTACAATTTAACAAAGACCTTAATAATATATAGTAATACTTTGCTCGACCCGGGAATCGAACCCGAGACTCATTCATCTAAAACGAGATCAATCAACGAGAAACTTCCACGTAACACAGAGTGCGTGTAAACACATTGATTGCACTGAATAATACCTGAAAATGTAAGCGTCCAAGTCAGAAAAGTAAATGAAGAATGGGCGTTTATCCGCCATGAGACGCCTGATCATACTAAAGTAGGCTTAGTGGAATAATCAATCATGATCGAACCTTTAGTGACTACTTTATAAATTCTAATTATTTATGACAATCTTGTTATATCTACTTATGTGTGTTAACAAAGTTTTAAAATATTTATGATATGAAATAAATTATGTGTCCTATTCTATCCGTGTTTGCGTGTAACTCATTTCGTAAAAGGAAAAGAAAAACTAATTTGCGTTATAGACTTACTTACTTATTTATTTGTTTGTTTCTATAATTAGATTACTGCTGCAATAAGTACAATGTAGTAAAAACGTTTTTATGAAAATTTATTACATTATATACAGGCGGAGCCGGTCAAGAGTATGGACGCTAAATGAAACGCAAGCGCGCCACCTAGGGGATTTCCGTTGCGCTTAGGCAGAGAAGTGGCGTCAGAGTCGCACTCGACGGAGCTCACTTTAGGTCGAGTCACCACCGTCTAAACGCGTTGTCACGGAACTGCCCTACGTTTCGCTTAGTGCCCAGTTACTGTACCTTGTGATTATAAGAAACTCGGTGATAATTTCTAAACGCTTTTCTATTTACATAATACTCATATTTCCCACATTATGTTTGAGCAACCGGAACATAATCATGCCTCCTCCGACATACACAACTATTCAATATTGGAGAACTATACCTACAAAATTATATCTTGAACTAAAAAATTACGAATTACTCACGTATTAAGAAAAGCTCTACTAGTGTGACTCGAAACTAGTATTGCGTTTCTATTTTTAAGTAATTCAGTATGTGTTACGATAGCTATTATAAAAATATTATATCAGTTAGTTCCTACTCAGAAGTCCAGACACCATTATTGTTTCTGAGATTTTATGTTGATGTCTGGAAAGAAAATAACTTTTCATCATTCACAAAAGCAACATGCGATCACTCAGAATAATTAAAATATGTTATAATACAAAACATGCACTTGACTTGGAAATAACAAAAGTATTATTTTCATTTAAAGAAACATACTTTCAATTAGACTAATGTAACAAGACATGTCAAAGTAGATACGATCAAAATAATAATAGTCGAAGGCGTCAGCAATATTATGGAATTAGATACACCATTACACTTTGAACCATAAAACAATGAAGGTGATAAAAATGATGCAAAGGCTTAAAATATTACCAAAACCAAATGTTCAAGTGTTTCTCAATAATAAACTAGAAAATGAAATCCAAAGAGTGGTGCATTCGTTTAATTTTGTTCTTAAATTATTCTGTGCTTCAAAGTATAGCATTCGACATAACCAGTTGTATCCGAAAGGATACAAGTATCAGTTCATGGCATTCTGTTTCACAGTGTTCATGAATTTGTTGTGCACCTACAGGATGTTCACCGTAGACATTACTGATAAAAATATGTCTGAATCAGAGAATGATGTGGTCACTCTCCTCAGTGCTCTTTATTACTTTCTTTATACCATTGGCTTTACTATTATGTTCATTCTCGATTTTTTACACAAACGTGCCCACGTGCTTATCATCATAGAAATTCAAGCTGTCTATCTGAGCATCGATTTCAGTAAACATATTCGAAGTTACATCATATGGAACTGGATTTCTCTATTTATGATCATGTTCGTTGATATATACATGTATAGTATTTTCTTTATCTTGTATGAAAATTCCACTTCGATAGAAATTCTGACTGACTACTTTTGTGACTGTGTGTTCATTATTTTTGATGTTAATTACGTTATAAGTATTCGTTTTATAATTTTGTTAAAAGCATATCTTGATGAATGGATACGTGAAATTATGGTAATGGAGGAGCAAGAAAATGAAGGGTGTTGTCTAAAGTTTTTTAGATCATACCAATATATTTTAAAAGCTTACAATTTGTACAAGACAATTTCTAGAGTGTTGGTAAGTATGTATAATGATTGATGGATTGGTTGAGATGGTTATTTTGGTATATTGAGATTTTTGGTTAAAATTATTAAACGTAATTACTTAATTAATTACCAGAAATATGCATTTCATTACATAGTTTTATTTTTGCAGGTATTATGTCATGTAGTGAACACATTCATCCGCAGTCTACTGTCTATCTATATCGTGCTCTTTACGTCAAAACGATTCAGTTTGTCTGGTAGTAATGTAAGTATTATGAAATTATTTCATTACTTTATATATAAATAATCGTCTAATAATCATTACTTTATATATAAAAAGTCGTGGTGGCCCGGAGGTTAAAGACGCTCGCTTCTCATGCATGAGGGTGCGAGTTCGAAACCTACCAACGGCAAGTACCACTGTGACTTTTTCCGAGTTATATGTACTTTCTAAGATTATTCAGACACGTTGCGGTTGCGGGGCTCCGGCTCGACGTGCAGGAGAAGGAACGGGGTGGTTTTTAGTCAGTAAGAGTCTGACACTCCCTTCCGCCTCACCCAGGCGGGAGCAGTCATTCGATGATTTTCCCCCCTTAGAAAAAAAAAGACATGCAAACAATAGCACGCACCGCGGATATAAAACGCGTTGTCAAATGTGCTTTAATATTTTACATAAATATTTATATTCTACAAAGGCTGCTGTGTTGAGTCCTTAGCTTAAGAGTGTGTACCAAATAACAAATCAATAAAATTCCAATTACTTTTGTCCCAAATTAACAAACGGGCACGCTAAATAAAACCGTTTTAGTAATACTTTTGAATAGAGAACAAGGGAGAGGTACTTATAATAAAACATGCATTCACCTAATTTCAGGCTTCACCATTTTATATTCTTGGTTCACTTCTGTGGGTGTCCAAGAATGCGATCCTGGTGATAATACACTGCGTCTGCTGCGAACGATTCTACATTACTGTTGAAGAAGCTAAGTCAGCATGTATACAACTTTTAAAGAATGGCGACTATAGTCGTAGGTATACTTTAAATACTTGGAAACGATAATGTATTTTTTTTTCTAAATTGAATCAAATTTTTTCTTTAAGTGAGTCAAGAGTGGCTGTACAAGAGTGTGACGCGGATGAACCGAACGTTCAGTAAGATGAACGCATGCGGACTGTTCTATGTGGACGCGACGCTGATCTTGTGTCTCACCGGAGTCATCACCAACTACGCTGTAGTAATGTTGCAGTTCACCTTCCTATAATATCGTCCAAGAAGTTAACAACATCCGCACAAGAACTTGAAGATGTTATTAAGTAGATATTTTCCTAGAAAGATTGACTGTAAATATTATAAAATATTTTAAGGAATGTTCCATGGACGTGGACCAACAGACTATATATTTGATAAATTTTACACTTCTTATTATTTTACCAACATTAGAAACATCATATTGTTGTCAAATGGGTCAAACTAAATAAAACCATTCGAAAAAACAATTTAAATTTAACTTACTTAACTTTATCCTAAACTAGAAGGCAGATTAATACACATTTTAAAATTATTGCTGCTATTTTCTAGTATTTCACCAAGCATCTTTATTTCCTCAGTCGAAATCTGAGCCAGTGTCCTCCATGTAACCGTAAATTCATATTGTCAGTGGCAAGCTTCGCAGGAATGCAGGTCTTCTCACATGGTGACAGCTCCATGTGCCTCAGAATCTGGTAGGTGATCACTTTTATCTCACAGAGAGCAAATCTTGACCCTGTCAATTATAACATTGATTAATTAATTCTAAGCTACTACAAAATTTAACCTAAAGGACCATAATCATACCTATACAATTCCTAGGACCAACACCAAAAGGCATGTATGCATTCGGATTGATCTTGTGTTTATTTTCTTCAGCGAAACGGTCAGGGTCGAACTTTTCTGGCTCCGGGAAGTACTGAGGGTCGTGGTGAAAAGTAAAGGCTGAAACCATTATCCCTGCACCTTTACGCACCTATAAAATTAAATTATGTTTGTATAAATTTGAATTGAATAGTGAATTACAATTTATCATAATAATGAATGTGTTTTACAATGAAATCCTTCTCAGCAGTGGCGTTTGGTTTACCCATATTGTAATCCTTTTCACAAATTCTGTCAGTAACTGCAGCTACAGGCCATCGTCGCAATAATTCTGAAAATAAAGATGCCATGTTAAACTAAACTAATACCTACACCGTATTCACTCTTTTTTATATCATCTTGGCATCCTTACCAGAGACAACGTTATCCATATACTTCATGCTCTGTATAGAGTTAAAATCAAACTTGCCACCGTTCTTAGCATCATATTCCCTAATCTCTTGTGCTAAGCGCTCCTGTACGTCAGGGTTTACAGCCAATTCGTGTAATAAGAAACACACACTTGACGAAATGGTCTCAAAACCAGCCACAAAGAACAGGAATGCTTGAGCAACAAGGTCGTTGTCGCTCCACTCTGCAAAGTATAAATAAGTAGTACTTAATCTTTTACTGCTTCAATTGTATTGTCTGTTACAATAAACGAGTTAATCGTTACCTCGATTGACTTTCCTTAGTCCAACCGAAGATTCTTCAACGTCGCAAATCCAGTTGCATCATCATTTGATTGGACATCATCGTGAGATAGTTTACCTGAATAAAAGTATTATTGATTTTGTGTATTAATTTGGTTTCCTTCTTCTTAGTATCTAAATCAAGTTTTAAAATTACCTTTTTTAGCTTCTTTAAGCAAATGAATCATATCAGGTCTTACAATGTTGTTCATTTCTCGTTCCTTCATAGTGTCCAACACTAAATTTTTGAAAAAGTTTTTGACTGAATCTGAGACTATATCCCATTTAAATATCTGCAAATGAATTTTATACTATTTATCCCATTTCTTATCAATTTAACATGCGCAAACTGTTTCTTCACTCATGTTTATATTTACCTTAGCAATTTTCGGAATATTCATCATCAAGAAGAACTTTATCAATTGAAACGAATTGAAATTTGTTACTGTCTTGCCCATCTCGTAAAACTGATTGTTCTGTTCAGTCTGTGAGTCCACTTTCAGGCCAAAAGCACACGAGGCTATTACATCGTTAGCGTACCGGGTCGTGAGGTCCTTGCAGTCAATATCTATGTAGCCACCTGATAACAAACTTGTAATTGAGTCTTATGTTCGTAACATTTCCCCCAAAAGCTTTAGCTTAACGGGAACTAACCAAGAACGTTGAAAAAAGGCAAACCAAATAAATTGTTGTCTCATCATTTGAAGAACAGATTACTATGCTGCGTTACTCACGTAACTCGACTACTTTCGACGACTTTGACGAGGAATTCGACTAGTTTCAAGTCATGCTAGAGGCTCATATCCATGAGCAGCATTTCGCGACACGCGGCGAGGCAACTGTAACGCTGCTACTGGCTTACTGGCTATTCAAGTCTCCTACGGTGCGGGCCCAGCGCCCAGATCTGAAGTGTGACACAGTGAGCGCAGTATGTAGGTAACAATGTTTTTTGCGTTGACCTGCGTCGCCGCCACAGATAGAGAAAAGTGCGCGTGAAAATATTCTGCTCGAGATTTGTTTATTACCATACCTTTTGAATCCTCAATCCTCTTTTTGAGTGAATCGATCATTTGGTCTCCGACCTCCACCATGAAAGGCACCATCAGCCGTATCTTGGAGCTCGTGAAAGCTGGACTCAACGTAGAGCGCATGTCTTTCCATTCTTGGCCTTTAAAAACAAATGTTTAAGAGTCAGTGGTTGTTTTTTCCTTATGTTCACTCTAAGTGACGCTTAAATTTTACAAGATTTGACAAATATGTAAGCGGCCCACAACTACGACAGATTTCTGTTATAGAACGCCTATTGTTACATATCCGGCAATTACTAAATAACTAGGGCTCCTCAATGGTCCCAAATAATCTAAAAAGATATGAGATTAATTTAACAAACCTCTCAATAAAAACAAAGTTCTTGCAAAAAACGAATCGATTCCAAAGCTGCGATGATCGACGAAGTACTCGAAGTCTTTAACACAAACTTTTTTTACCAGCTCCAAGTCTCTGAGCAGCACGGCCTCGTTCAGGAATTCAAATCTACCCACAAATCTGAAAATATAGAAAAATCTTAGGGACTACGTGAACGGTAAAATCTAGATCTACTTTATACAAAAATAATCATTTCTTCTAACGGGGTAAGTGTATAGATTTATTAAACTTAAATATAAACTTTATTCCAATAATCCTTTAACTCCTAATCCTCAAAAAGCCGGTAACGCACTTGTAACGCCTCTGGCGTTTTAATAATGAAGCTCTAATCACTTTTCAGTCAAAGCAAGCCACAAGAGAGCAGTGACCTCCGATATAATTGTTCACTGTCTCTCGTCTCTTTTAATAAGAATTAATCTGCCTTGTTGACCGGAGGGTCATAAGCGAGAGTCATGATCGATAATACCACGGATTGTTTAATTCTGCTCAACTTTTAGTAACAGGCGTCATCCAATTACAAAATGTAAGAAAATTCAAAGGCACTTATAAATTTTTTGTATAATTTTTATGGACTCACTTCTCTTCAGGGAAGGCATTGTATAATTCAACAATATTATTCGCCAAGTGTTGTCTTCGGAACAGAACTTTGCTCATATTGCCCAGCAGTGGGACAGGCTTGAAGTGCTTTATGCCATGTCTGCTGAATGTGGAGTAGAGCTGACGTAGATATAGCACCACCACAGCAATCAATACTGCCACCCATATCAGTAATATTATCATCATCTGGAAGTTGAAGATTATTTATGTCAGATAGGTCATTAGTACAGGACTTCGATTTACTGCAAAATCAAGTAATAATAATAAAAGGAATAAACATTATTAATTCAATATTTTTTGTGACGGCACGTCCGTGGAAGAGGAGGGCAGGTCCAGAAAAATATAAATATGAATGCCAACAGAGTCTGAAATTGCAACCTAGAACCGTAGTAGAATTCAATTCAGTCTTTAATCGAGTAAGAACAGGGGGCCAATTCTCGGCTTTAGAGATGATGTCGAACTCGACAAAAATGTCTAATGACGTCATTTTTTCGTCAAATTTTAAAAGTTGCTATTCTGGAGATGTCGAATGCGACATTTGTCGAAGGCTAACGTTAGAGTTCATGTCGAGTGCTTCTGAGCAGTAGAGATGGCATGTCGATTGTAGAGATACTGAGATACGCCATTTCTGTGAATTCGTTGAGTTTCGAATTGTACAGTGTTTTCTTTTCTTTCGTTTTAAAGTAAAATACGGCTTGGCATCTTATAAGTATGAACATTGGAAATTCAGTATAGATTCTTTAATTTGTGTATTGTGTTTTCTTGAAACGACGACCTTCGCGTAAATAACAGTCTTTAATTTGTGTACCCACGATTGGGCTTGAAACTTAAAACATGGACGAGTTTATTAATATTTTTATCTTGGAGATGTTGGAAAGTGGCGAGCGACTGGCCATTACACGGCGGCAACAGCGCACTTATCCCGTCGTCGATATTTACGACTTGAGCGATAGCGAAGTTATTAAAAACTTTAGATTAAATAAAAATTTAATAGACCTATTGGCTCCTGTAATTCAGGATACCACAAAAATAGACCTAAAAACGAAGGTAAATAATTCTGCTTCATAATTTTATTAGTCTAGGTATAAGTATTCCATAAAGTAACCTTACAGACCAAAAACTGCTTCCACAAGTTGGACTAGTAATAGTTTTTGTTGGGCACTAGGGTATTTTTTCTCTCCTTGCATATTAAAACAAAATTATAAAAATGTCCAACAGAATAGCCCACTAGTGAGTGATGATGAACTTATAAAAGTTTTGAAACAACCGCTTACAGATCCAAAAATTGTGACACTGACAGACAGTCAACTGGAACTGTCCTGACAAACTGAATATTTTTGCACTAAACGTTCCGTTTTAACTTAAATAATTAGGTTTAGTGAACGTTTTATGACAAAATCATTCATTCACTCACAACTACCTAAAATGGAACGTGCGATTCTGCATAATGGTAACATTATCTTCACTCGACTCGACATTTTCGTGACATTTGTTTCTATTTTGACTGAGAATACGGATTTCTGTGCAATTCGACATTTTTTGGTAGAGATAGAGATATTTTTGATAGACATAGAGATAGACTTACAATGTCGAACTCGAGATAAATGGCGAAAATCGAGAATTGGCCCCCAGAGCGTTAGTATCGTCAAGCCAATTATCTAATTTGAATCTATGATCTCAGTCAAGGTCTACATGTATGTATATGTCGCAGTAATGTTCTAGTGTAACGGGTAAGAACCTGTTATGTGATAATAGAAGCTTAATTGATTACAAAACACTCACATTCATTGTTTGTTTATGAGAAATTACATATCAGTGATATAGAGGTACAATAATACCACTTAATATAAGTGCCCTAATCTAACAAGCAATTGTAAGTAAAACAAGGTAATATTTCAATAGTCCTTCAATAGTCACACAGTTTTTGTAGTACATACCTACGTCCTACGTATGCACTTTTTTTTAAGGGGGGAAAATCATCGAATGACTGCTGCCGCCTGGGTGAGGCGGGAGGCAGTGTCAGACTCTTACTGTCTAAAAACCACCCCGTTCCTTCTACTGTACGTCGAACCGGAGCCCCGGTTACCCGTTAGGTTCTCCGCGACATCCTACATGCACTAGTTTTAACACCCCATATAATTTCTTTGGCAACAAACGCAAGCTCAATCTGTTACATCCTGTTCGCCAGCTCCATTATTTCTATATACACAAGTGTCCATCCTTCTAAATAACATAATTATGCTTGTCAATTATGTTTATTAGTTATACGAACATTATTACCCAAGCCAGATTTTTTTGGATTCTGGTGAATAAATGGTTAATAATAATAACTATCCAACGAATGTAGTAATAAGCTTAAATAGCAATGTAACTGAGATATTAAATAAATTGTCTTACATAAACAGACGCGAAATCCTCAACTAAACAGACACAATGACATAAAACAATAAAATATTAGATAAAAACGTGTGACTTTGTCGACAGACTGGTTCACTGTGAATGACAAGAAACCGTGTACATTGTACACACATGTATTTTCATCATTTGTTGATACAGCCAAGAGCTTGTGTTATGATATAGATAGGTTTTTACTATTTAGAGTCGTTGCTGGTACATTTCCTAAAGGCGTCCCACAAGGGATTACACTTGGTCCAATCAATAAACATATAAATTTTTCAACATAGTTAAATCATGACCAATGACCAGCTGTAAATAATTCTTTAGCTAGTGAAAAACATTGTTATGTTTTTGATAATAAAATCACAATACTTATCCGCCTAGCAATGACTATTGTTATGCCCGTCAATGACGTTATCTCCCTTGTAAACAATGGGAGGTCACAATTTATTGGATTAATTGACCTCACAATTCAGCTGACCGTTGCTATCAGTATTTTTAGTAAATACAACAATTAAGAGGATTGAAGATGAGGATTTTCTTTCACTAAACTATTGTTTTGAATCTTTCTTAACAATGGATGTTTGCAAACAAAGTAATAAAAATAAACAATTGCAGGTTTATAGACTATTAAGTTATAATTGTCCATTCCAAGGGTTTCCCTAACTTGCAATGACTATTTGGATATCCATGATAAAATGTAAGAGAGATAAAATAACGGGGTTAAAAAGACAAACAAATTGTTAATGCTTTATTTAAATATACCTAAATACAAAATTAGTTTTATGTAATCATTAAAACATAAATATAGGTACACAAGTCAATTACTCATAAGATTTTATTAAAACATAAATACTTTTCATAAGATACTTATTACTTTTTCCTTCGTCATATAATTAATGACAAAGAGTTTATTTTCTTTGTCTAAATCTGAGCCAGTGTCCTCCCTGCAACCTGATGTTGATGTTATCAGCAGCCAACCTGGCTGGTATTGGAGTCTTCTCACTTGGAGACAGCTCCATGTGTAGGAGTATCTGATAGGTCAGCACCTTCAGTTCGCAGAGAGCAAATCGCGACCCTGTCGATAAGGAAATATAAATGTTGATTAGACTAGTCACCGGATTAACCATCAAATATTTTTATAGAGGTGTGAATGTTACCTATACAATTTCTTGGACCGTTGCCAAAAGGCATGTAGGCGTTCAAATTGAGATTGTGACGGTTTTCTTCAGAAAATCGCTCTGGGTCGAACTTTTCAGGATTTGGGAAGTACTGAGGATCGCGGTGGAAGGCGAAGGCTGGAATAAACACCGTAGACCCCTTAGGCAACTGTAAATAGAAGCAATTAAAAAATATATATTAACGTTTAGTAAATATAAGGATGTTTTTATTTTTATCCTTATATCTGAAACTCACAATATAATCTTTTTCCACATCCTCACTCGGTCTACCCATATTGTAATCCCTGTTACTTTCTCTATCCATAACTGCGAGTGGTGGCCATAACCTGAGAAGCTCTAAAAATAACAAACATTTTTATTGCATTACTCCGTTGAAAAAGTAAAACATATTAAAATAATTGTAAATGTGTGAACGAGACAGCCTTTCATACCCGAGACAACCATATCCATATACTTCATGTTCTGTATGGAGTTAAAATCAAACTTGCCACCATTCTTAGCATCATGTTCCTTTATCTCCTGTGCTAACCGGTCTTGCACATCAGGGTTTACTGCCAGCTCGTACAGTAAGAAAGACATACTGGTCGAGACAGTTTCAAACCCAGCAACGAAGAACAAGAATGCTTGAGCACTTAGGTCATTGTCATTCCAAACTGTAAATTCAAATATGTTATTTATAGAGCTTCATTGTATTTTTCTCTACAAATTTTACATTGGGATATATTTTACCTCGATTGGCAGTCTTTTTAAGCCCAACTGATGATTCTGCAACAGTCGCAAATCCAGTAGCATCATTGTCAGACTTAGCATCTTCATGAGTCAATTGACCTAAAATAATAATAATCATGTAAATTTTATACGATTGTCTACACTGTAGACTATACAGGAAAGAATAAATAATAACTAATTACAATATCAAGTTGGTCTGTACTTGTATTGTTTGTTATCAAACACATTTTATAATTGCTACCTTTTTTAGCTTCCATAAGCAGATGAATCATATCTGGTCTAAAAATGTGTCGCAATTCACGATCCTTCATTGTGTCCAAGACCAAGTTTACAAAAAAATTCTTCATTGTATCTGGTACCAAGTTCCAGTTTAGCAACTGTAAGATAATAATATTATTTGTTTTATTGAGTCAAGTCAAAGTCAAAATCATTTATTTCAATTAGACCAGGATGGCACTTTTGAACGTCAAACAACAAAAATTTATAAGTGAAGCTAGTTGCTCATTCCAAGGCGTAGATTCCTATGGAGAAGAACGAGCAAGAAACTCCATAGGTTATTCTTTTTCAATCAGGTTTACAATACAATTCTCTAGTTACATAGTTTTATTGGTTCGATTATGTGAGAACAATGCAACACATAAATCCAGTCAGAAAGACTGAAAAAGAAAATAACCTTGAGGATAATAAAATAAAATAATACAGTCTAGAGCTGACCAGTTCCAATCGACGGCGTCCGTTCACGAACATTTGGCGTACCCCAGCACCGCCCAACTCAACCATTTTGTAGGGAATCGAGCGATCAAATGCACGTGCCACCGCCACGAGATCTTTGAGTGAGCATGACAACTCCAAGCTGACATAAATGCATTCTACTAGTCTAATTTGATTTAATTAATTACAGGGCTCTCACATTTACAATAAATTGTGCAACGTTTAAACTATACAAATATTTAAGCAACATGATTATATTTAATATATAAATAGAATTCATTGAACATCACTGTGTTTCATGTATTATCCTGCGGAGCCGGACCAGCCTGCCTCCAAGCACTTTTATCCTCTATATAATCACTTAGTTAGTAAGTATGCTTGTCTACATAACGTTTTTTTAATACATAGTTTAAATTTTCTTTCATTTAGATGCAGTATTTCTTGGGGGATTTTGTTATAACATTTAACACCGAATCCCATGAATCCCATTGAAATTTTATAAAGCAAAAATATTTTTAAAAAGGAATTCTTACCGCCGCTAGTTTTGGAGCAGCGACGATTAATATGAACATGAACATATCACGCAAAGTGAAATTTGCTGCTTTTCTACCCATCACGTAGAATTCATTATCTTTCTCTTCGTGAGAATTCACTTTCAGACCAAAAGCACAAGAAGCTATAACATCATTTGCGTAGCGAGTTGTAAGGTCCTTGCAATCGATATTTATGTACCCATCTAAAATAAAAAGAAAATCACCCAATTATGAAATGCTAATCAGACATAACTATTTTTCCGAAGATGTTCTACTTACCAGGTGAAGCCTCAATTTCTTTGTTCAGTGATCGTATCATCTGGTCTCCGACTTCCACCATAAAAGGCACCATCAGACGTATCTTGGAGCTTGTGAACGCTGGACTCAACGTAGACCGCATATCTTTCCATTCTTGGCCTTGGAGAATATTAAGAATAATAATTACTTTCATCTAATATATTTTATATTTTTATAAATAATCTTTAATCTACATTGAATTTTACCTTGCAATAATATTAAAGCTCTGCCGATAAACGCATCTCTACCGAAGTTGCGATGATCAAGGAACACCTCAAAGTCTTTGACTGTGATTTTCTTCACCAGGTCGAGGTCACGGAGTATTATCGTCTTATTTGTGAATTCATATCTTCCTACAAACCTGTGAAACACTACGTTTAAATATTTTATCTTCACATTATTATGTGACAACAATGCTATCTAACATTATTGGAGACTGAGATTATCAACATCCGTAAAGGGTATTATTGTATTTTAGCCTATTTATAGTTCCAGATATATATAATTTGAGTGAAGTAATGATAAGAAATATTGCGATTTGTGATTACGACAGAGTATCTCGTTCAAAGACCTTTGTGATTTCAGATGCTATAATAATCTGATTTACAAAAGTGGTTACTTTGTTAAACGATATCATTGCTTACTTGATACCATGTAACATGTAAATTGCTAATGTTTCTGTGATAGACCACATCCTCCGCATATCATTCACCTTTGTTTACATCAGTCTAAACTAGGCGGTTAATACATAATATATTCAGAAGTATAATATATTACAAACATTCCACAATTACATAAAAACCCTTACCTATCTTTTGGAAAGGTCTCGTACAATTTAAGAATATCATAAGCAAAGTGTTGGCGTAGAAATACTGTGTTGGACATGTTCCCTAACAATGGTGCTGGATTCAAGTACTTGATGCCATGTCTGTTGAATGCGGCGTGCATTTGCCGAAGATGCAACACCAGGGCCGCAATCAGCACCACCAACCAAATTAGAAAAATTATCATCGTCTGGAACAAGATGAGTAGAAATTAGCTTTGTATGGTCATTGATGCGTATAAACTTGAAACTCCAATAGCAATATCCTGTTGAAAATCATCTCCCAAATTTGTTCATACAAAAGTAGTCTCTAAACATTGGAAATGAGCGAGGGGGACTGGGATGCCGTCTCCTCGTTTTGCGAAGCAGTTATGCTAGCTAAGGAGGAGACGGGACGCGTGCGTCCTCGCAACTCAGCCATCGCGAATGACACACCGGGCGTCGGGGATCGCGGGACGATCTCCGGCCACCGTAAGCGCGGGCCTGCGGACGGCGAGCATGGGTGGCTCCCCGTCCGACTAAAAACACACCCGAGCGTACGGCGCGTCGCCTTCCGCACGCCTCACCTGACCCAGGCGGGAACAGTCATTCGATGATTTCCCCCCTTAAAAAAAACATTGGAAATAAGGTCTATAATGTAGATAGTGAAGAACGGACACCGATGACCGCTTGGGGATATATGGGAGGATATCATAACACTGCTTTATGGATAGATGATGGCAGTTCTTTTAGACGTTGTGTCAATTACCAATACAATTGAAATGCGTGGACTATCATTCAAATTGCTTTGATAACATTTATTAACCTTCTGTTCAAAAATAAAAGTGTTGAGAATTTTAGACTTGTTTATCATTCTTGACGTTTTTAAATATTACATTGAAGAAATAGAGTAGTCGAAGATAAGTGTGAAGACAGAATATTTCTTTATTTTGATACCTACTAATATCAATGTTTAAATACTAAGTCAATAGTTGACTAGCTAGCCCAATTAAAATATTTGCAGATTCCAGATGTACACGATGGTGGTTGAGTCACCTACATGTACTGTTTATTCATTTAACTTTAGCAAGTAATTCGTCATACATGTTATATATCCAACAAACTTTAGCACAATGTATAAACATAAAATTAGGTATTCCAATGTGAGGCTAATAACATGATATCAGATAAATTAAAAATATTTTGTATATTATCATCGAGTCTTTGTTTTTATTTCGTAGTCAAAATAAAACATCTGTTGTTATTATGCAGTGTGTTTGTAACATATTCATTATTTATTGTATTACTGATACAACTTATATCGTTCATCACCTTTATTTTAAGTAGTTTCTGTTTCTCACATGTGTCTTAAGCATGTCAACTTTTTTGTTATAATTCATATCAGATATTACCTAAGACAATGATATTAAACACATAGACATACAATGAATATAAAATTACCTTTATATCATGAAACTTAATACGTTATTCTTAAGAGGTAGATAATAATGGCCAAAATCTTCATCGATGTATTAGTTTGTTATGTGCACAAAGACTTAAATAAATATAATTATTATTTTTTTATTTTTTGAACGTATAGTAGGAATTTCTGTATGTGCCTTAAGGCATTAAGTCCGCCATTCACTGTTATGTTTTGTGAAGAAGAAATAAATAAATAAATTTAACCAGTGTCGTTGTGGGTGCGTTTACAAACATACGAGTTGATACCCACATAGAACCCAGATCCGAAGCAACAATTTGTCAATTTGTGAAACACACAAAGAATTGCTCCGTGCGCTGATCGACCCCGCTACACGTTGCCAGTTGGTCAATAAATAATATAAAAATAGGACTTACATTCAATAACAGTTGTCGGTTCGTGCACAAACATAAGCTGGATGTAAACAAATTGTTCTTTACGTACGTGTTCTTCAACGCTCTGTCTAGCAACGTATGGTAACTACTAACTAGGCGTACCAGACACTGTAATGCACATATGTATCTTCGTATGTATGTATAGTATATAATGCATCAGTAGGTACATCATAGTACTCATAGATTAGATAAGACCCTTGTTTAGAGTGTATTTTGGAATATATCAATAGTTTTATCGTTAATATTGGCTCTTCTGATAGGAGTGCCACAGGGGACTATTTTAGGACCCGGATCAGAACAATCTTTATGAGGTGATGATTTACGCATTTAAATATAGAGATTAATGTCTGGCTATTTTCAGTTGTTTTGGTAGGTAAAAAATATTATCTAACTCACACTTACTTGGTTGTACTTAGTAGAACGAAATAAAATATCTATATAGTTAATTGTTTGATTACCTCGCTTACCACCAGGCCAAATAGTGGCCAAATGTCGACTATAGCTCAAAGGCAAAAGAAAGAATTTAAATCGTATTGTAATAATTAAATGGTCCATATAAGCATTCACGTCTTTATTAAATTACTAGGAAAAGAAAGGTACTTTGGCTTAACTCACCTTATATTAATCTTCAACTTTGGGCAAAAATAATTTACTGTGCTAAATGTTTTCCTAGGCTTATTATGCGTCTAAGAAGGCTGAGGAATAGTAATTAAGTAAATAAAATTTCTATGCTCTCACGTATAATATCATTTATTAAACATTTTATAATTTAGTCACGTACATACATATTATTCTAAAATGATACTTAAAATTATGTTGAGTATACATCATAAACTTATGGCTTTTAAATTTAAGATTTTTGTTTAAATCTTATTACGTAGCTAGAAATACTTATGTACATAATAATACTAAACGTATCGTTTAACATTTTATTTTCTAGGTCTTATTCTAAGCCAGTGTCCTCCGTGCAGTCTGATGTTCAAGTTGTCAACAGCGAGCTTGGCAGGGATGCAGGTCTTTTCACATGGAGACACTTCCATGTGACGTAATAGTTGGTAGGCCATTACCTTCAACTCGCAGAGAGCAAATCTCGATCCTGTTGATAATAATGAATAGTCAATCGTCATAAATTTCGGTAAAATCGCCGTTGGTCTAAATTGTATTGTAGATTACATGCTTATTTCACTACTTATGTATCAACATAACATCATGGCTTTTTATCCCCGAAGGGCCAGGCAGAGGTGCACGTAACGGCACTTAATGCCACTATACAATGTAACACCCACTTTTCACTATTTATGTTATGAGTCCCCTGTAATAGGGGGTGAGCCTATTGCCATATACCGGGCACAAATCCAGACTCCGTGCTACTACTGAGAATTTTTAAAAAACCCATTAATACTTTGCCCGACCCGGTAATCTAACTTGATACCCCTTGCCCGGCAGTCACACTTACAATCACTCGGCCTAAGAGGCATTGATGAGTGAACCTTTTTCTAAATTAGAGTTCTTTCCAATGTTGGCACTAAAATTCATCATCGTTTACCTAAACAATTCCTAGGACCCATTCCGAAGGGGATGTAGGCATTCATATTAATGTTGTGACGGTTTTCTTCGGAGAAGCGCTCAGGGTCGAACTTTTCTGGCTGAGGGAAGTATTGAGGGTCGCGGTGAATGGCAATAGTTGGGATCATGACGCTAGTACCTTTACGAATCTGGAAATCAAATGTGTTAGTTAGTGTAATAATAATTAGACGTGTTGGTTTTTGGTCCAAAAAAGTAATACTTACAATGTAATCTTCTTTGGAGTTCTTATTTGGTTTGCCCATATTATAATCCTTGATACATTCCCTATCACCTGCAACAGCTGTAGGCCATCGTCGCAAGACCTCTGCAATGAAAGAATGTTGTGAATTCATCATCAACATCAGCTAGGAATTGGATGCCAAAGTAGGGTAATAAGTGAATTCCTACCCGACACAACCATGTCCATATACTTCATGCTCTGTATGGAGTTGAAGTCAAACTTGCCACCATTCTTAGCGTCATGTTCTCTTATCTCTTGTGCCAAGCGCTCCTGTACGTCAGGGTTTACAGCTAGCTCATACATCATGAAAGACATAGTGGTCGAAATAGTTTCGAAGCCAGCTATGAAGAAAAGAAATGCTTGGGAGACTATGTCGATGTCACTCCATTCTAAAAACAATATTATTATGTACTCATAATGAATGAAATTAGTTATAATGTCCTACTGGACACTTCATGATTATTTTGTATTTCGTTACCTCGATTCACCACTTTTTTTAATCCAATTGAGGATTCTTCGACAGTAGCAAAACCAGTAGAAGTATCGTTAGATTTCTCATCATGAGATAGTTGTCCTAAAATAAAATATTAACGTTATAGTACATACAAGGTAATAATAATATTATTTTATTCTACTAATTTTATTTAGGTACCTTTTTTAGCTTCCATTAACAAGTGGATCATGTCGGGTCTGATGATATTCCGTTGCTGTCGATCCTTCATTGTATCCAGCACTAAACTAGTAAAGAATTTCCTCACAGAGGCTGGTACAATATCCCAATTAAGTATCTGTAGAGTAAATAACATTTGTTTTATATTCATACATACATTCCTTTTCGTATCAATTTCTAATATTTACTTTAATTCCTTACCTTAGCTACTTTAGGAGCATTCAATAACACGAAAAACATTATCATTTGAACGAATTTGAAATCAAATAGAGTCTTCCCCATATTATAGAATTCATTGTTTGGATCAGCCTGAGAGTCCACTTTTAGACCATAAGCACAAGATGCTATCACGTCGTTAGCGTACCGTGTTGTGAGGTCCTTGAAATCAATGTCCACGTATTCATCTGGTGACGAAAAAGATTAAAATTTATAACTGACAACAGGATAATTTATTAGGTAAAATATTTTATGGAATAATTTATGAAACCTTTAGAATCCTCCAATTTTTTATTAAGCGAAAGCATCATCTGGTCTCCGACCTCCATCATGAAAGGCACCATATGTCGTATCTTTGAGCTCGTGAAGGCTGGACTCAACGTGGACCGCATGTCTTTCCATTCTTGACCTGCAAGCAGTAAAGGTTTTGTTTAGTATGGAACTTTTCTCAACTTTTTTTTTAAGTAAGAATATTATAGAAACCTTACCTTTCATTAGAAACAAAGTCTTTTTGAAGAAAGATTCGCCATCGAAACTGCGGTGGTCGGTGAAATGCTCAAAGTCTTTGATAGCGATCTTTTTGATCAGCTCAACGTCACGGACTAATATAAACTTCGTAATAAATTCAAATCTGCCCACAAACCTGGAAAAAAAATGAAAATAAAGTTACCCATTCTCACTTAACTCCTATTTTAAGGAAACCCTAAGCTAAGTTAGATGATATTTAGTATCACCTAACAGTACAAGTAAAGGGTAATTTAGGTGTTAGGATATGTTAAGAAACTTTTAGTTAAGCCATGTTCAAAACGACCATAAATTTGTCATGTCAATTATTTTTTTTGTAAGTGTTTCTTTTTGTAGATTTGATCCTTATTTTTTGGTGCACATTTTCCTGGTCTTTATTTACGCACTATCCCATCATAACATCCTTATTAACATCCGCCTCATGTATTGTTTCTCTGATACACTCATATTATGTTGTATCAGTGATAAACTAATTAAGTAATAACCAGAAAAATGGTAAACCAAAGTCATTGTTTACTAAAATGACATGATAGAGACACGTGCTTAGGCGATGATGGACGTAAATATTTTCTTTGTACAATATGAGGAACAAATAAATTTTATTACTAAATAAGGTCAAAAATATACCTAAGAACAATGACGTCACAAACAATAATAATATTTAAAAAGTGAAAAACTTGCAACAGTAACTATGTATGTAACTGGAGAAATGTATTGTGAACCTGATTGGAAAAGAGTAAGTTTCTTGCTAGTTCTTATCCATAGTATAATCTACACATTGGAATGAGCAAATAGCTTCACTTAAATTTCTATTGCTGACGTTCAAAAGTGCCTTCCTGGTCTAATTGAAATAAATGATTTTGACTTTGACTTTAACGATACAATAATTGTGATATATCAGACTAGCTGTTGCTTGCAACTTCGTCCGCGTGAGAATATGAATTTCAAATACATTTTACATAACTTTTTTTTGGTACAATTTTCCAAACTAAAAGTAGCTTATGTTACTCCCTAGTATATCAGCTACCTGTCAATAAAAGTCTTGCAAAATCGATCCAGCTATTCCAGAAGTTAGCCAATACAAACAGACAAAAATTGTTGTAATGTTATTTTGCTATGTGTATCATTAAGTCTATTCATATGCATGTGGTAAAAAGCGGTTATTTTAATGTTACAAACAGACACTATAATTTCATTTATGTGTATATATAAGTAAATGTAACAAAATGCTCTTTTTTGCATATATATACATATATATACTAGTAAAATAGCAAGTATCTTAAAAATGCCTTTGTGTATCGCTGGCAATAAATATTCCCACTTCCATTGCACTTTCAAAACCTATCATCTTACTTTTCTTCGGGAAAGCTGTTGTAATAATTCTCCAGATTATTCACGTAATGTTCCCGGCGTAATATTACAGAGGCCATGTTGCCCAGTAGTGGGACTGGCGTCTTGTACTTGATGCCATCCTTGTAGAAGAAGTAGAACTGTCTGATGTACAGCACCAGTAGTCCCACCGCCACACTCGCTAACAGCAGTGATATTATCATTTTCTGAAAGGGAACATCTTTATTACTGTGGATGGTAGACGATAGACATGTTTGCTATATATTGTGTTACAATATCAACTGCCTCGTTGGTCGAGCCGGGCAAAGTATGACTGAGTTTTTAAAAACATTCTCACTAGTAGCACAGTTTTTGGAATTGTGCACGGTATATGGCAATAGGTTCAACCCCTTATTACATGGGACTCATAACATTAATAGTGAATAGTTAGTGTTACTTTGTACAGTGGCATTAAGTTCCGTAACGTGCCTACTCCTTTTGGGATAAAAGGCGTGATGTTTTGTTATGTTCTATTCGTTCTTGGTTAACAACATAGGTCTGTATAAATATTGGTTTTAAAACAAAATATGAAAATAATTTCCATTGGAAGGTTCTTAAACAAACATTATTGAATACTAAAAAAACACCAAAACTTTGTTATCTTCTTTGTCAGAACCAGAGCGTAAATATTTATACTACACATAAACATACAGATAGTCGATTATTTAATATCGCGTCCACCAATTGGCGTTCATTAGATAACTGTAACCCGGCGCTATTTTCGAGTACAAGGCCAAGGCCAAACATGTTCTACTGTAGTAATGTACCGGCTTCATTCATGATTCACAAACAACATGCCATTTAAACTCTTCAATAATTATAATGTGGGACAGCCATGCTTCGGTACGAATGTACCGGGTAAACCGAAGTGATACCACGGCCTCACAAAAAACCGATGCGAAACAAGGCCTACGTCGTGATTTGTCGTGTAAATGAGGTCACCGGAGGCCTAATTACCCTCCCGAATCTCCCCAATCCCAGAAACCACAATAATCCTCAAATTCCTAATCCCCAAAAGACCGGTAACGCACTTGTAACACCTCTGGTTTTTCGTGTGTCCGTGGGCGGCGTGGATTGCTTTTCATTAGGTGATCCGTATGCTCGTTTACCGGCTTGTTCCACAAAAAAATCAATACAATTATTTAATGGAAAACAATTGGTTTTTCCAAATATATCTAACAATTCCTCCATTGTATGTTTAAGCTAAATTAACAAAGTGACTGTCAGATTATAAATGTAAATTAATACAATTTGTTTATGTCATAGCTCACTATCGAAGTTTGATCACGTTTATAAATGGCTTCTCCGTTTAACTACAGTAATAGAATATAAATAATTGAACAACACTATATTACATATGATATAAAACCTCTATTTACAAACAGTTATATTAAACATGATAAAAATTTAAAACACAGATAATAAAAACGCCAATAACTTACGTATAAAAAATATAGCAAAAACAAGATCGAGAACAACAAACAGCGAACCGGTTGTATGTAAACAAAGCAACTTCAGACACAACACTCCCAATACTATGCCGAATTCACACTGAACTTAGTACACATTTATATATATCGACATACCTGACGATGTAGCATTATATATGTTTCAGGACTAATCTAATCTACCCTGGCTTCGTTAGCTAAATTGTTATATCATTTCATCATCCGAAATCATGATATCAATATTAATATTGTTTCATAATGGACCCTCGATTGTTGGTTTCAAGGTCACCTTTTCTTCGCATTTAGAAGCTTCCTTTGTCCTTATAAAATTCCATACAAGTAGACACTAACGTCCAATTTCAATAACCTATCTATCTGTAGATTTGTTTACTAGAGATAGAATTTTGACATGAGCTCCATACAAAAAGTGTCAAAATTCTATCTCTAGTATGGAAATCTACAGATAGATAGGTTATAGAAACTGGCTGTAAAACTATATCTTATTGAAAATACGGATACTCTCTTTCTTTACAAAATTCTAACAATAGTTCTGTCTCTACAAATTCTTTGTAAAATGACAGAGAGGGCATGGATATTATGCATAAATATCATGATATTTATTTAAGTACAACTTATAATTGAGTAACCTTTCAGTACCTTTATCCAAACGCCACTTTAGCGCTTGTCTACAGAGAGAGTAGAAAACTAAATGTTTTGGGATAACACTGACAAGTGTCATAATTTACGTCTATCCAATATAATAATTTGGTTTTATAGTCTACATGTAGACAAGCGCTAAATGGCATTCGGCTACAGCTGCAGTATTCGGGCATAAAGTACTTTTAAACTCGAGTCATCAATACTTAACAAACTCCTTTGGGTTTTCAGATGTCATGGACTACTGTTTTTTTGTATGGCATAAGCCAATATAGTTTACCACTAGCAGACGCATCACCTGATGGTAAGCAATTGGCATCGCCCGGCGTACAAGTGCGTCAACGGCTTTTTGGGGATTAGGAGTTTGAGGATCGTTGGGGATTCAGGGATTGGGAAGATTAGGGAAGGGGAAGGTAATTGGGCCTCCAGTAACCTCACTCACACGACGAAGCACAACGCAAGCGTTCCTTCACGTCGGTTTTCTGTGAGGCCGTGGTATCACTCCGGTCGAGCCGGCCCATTCGTGCCGAAGCAGGGCTCTCCCACACTTTTACTGTAACTGTTTTCCACGAAGACAGGTACTTGTTTGAGTCTGTTTTTAATCGAGTTATGAGGAATTGGTGGTTTCAATATCCAGATCCAGTAAGGAGTTAAATAATAAGCTCTTTCTATAATTGATTTTTATAGTCAGCACTCAGTTGTTATCATAGAAAATTAGGAAAAATGGCATTAGGCTCACCCCCTATTACATGGGACTCATAACATAAATAGTGAAAAGTGGGTAACATTGTACAGTGGCATAGAATACACCTGTGCCTACCCCTTCGGGACTAAAAGGCGTGATATTATGTTATGTTATGTAGGAAAAATTGTTAGTACGTGATCTTTTCTGATTTATTTTATTGTGGGAACTACGACAATTATTCATGTCTCTGGGACGCGCCGAATTTCAGTGTTCCGGTGTTTTCATGGTTGTATGTATATACTCAGAGCCGGACCTCTGAGTTTGTTTCGGCATTTCTTCTCAGAGTAGTCAGTTAGGAAATGTCAACCTCATCGTTCGCTTAAAAATATGACGGGTAAAAGTTCACACGTAGATCCGGCCTTACAGAAGTTGCAGCAGTTTTAGGAGGTTACGGCGAGCTTGTTTTTGACTTAAAAAGTACACAATCTTCATCAGATTCCAAAAGCCAGAATCAGGTTTGTGTTATTTTACGTATGTTCACTTCACACATTACCGTTTAACTGTGCAGTTTTAACTATACAGTCGATCTGTATATATTAATCGTATGTTCATACAGCCTGTTATTGAAACTGTGTAGTTGAACTGTGTGCTCTACACGAGTTAACGGTGCACGACGATTTTTATAAGGATATAATATATAAGTAGTTTGATTAGATAAAACATAGAACATTGTTTTACAATAATTTATTTCAATATGTACAAAATTTAAAATGTATTTGTAATATTAAAACAGTCTTACACACTATAATTATTATTATTATTCAAATCTTAACATTAAGCGAACAATGTCATTCATAAACATATTAATCTTATCGAGGGTATTTCGTCATGTTGTCGAATTATGAATTGAGATTATACATAAATCGATTACATTACTAAAATAATCAGTTATTACTGAAAAGCCCTAGTCGACCGAGTATTTCTAATTATTTTTAATCTCATTATATTGAGTATTCTATTCAATCGGTCGATTAGCGCTTAATGATGCAATTTGGCATAAAGCACAAACATTAACTAACAAAAAACCCAAAAAAGGGGTCGAGCTAAATAAACCCGTTGGTAACAAAAATTAACCCGTACAATAACCACTTATGATAAAGAGTCGGGACGGAATTTCTGTAGTTTTATCATGGTCAGCATCCGTCTTCTAAGTCCTCGGTCTGAACTTGAGCCAGTGTCCTCCTTGTAGCCTGAGATTGAAAGTTTCGTTGGACAACTTCGCCGGTATGCAGGTCTTCTCACAAGGGGACACTTCCATTTCTCTGAGGATCTGATATGTCATCACCTTAATCTCACACAGCGCAAATCTTGATCCTGAGAAAAAAAATTAAGTTTAAGGAAGTTTTCCAAATTATTGAGGAGGTAGTTCTATTACAGTACTAATAAATATTTTCCAATTACTGATTTTATACCTTCAGACACACCAAACAAATCTATTGAAGGTAGATAAGTAGAAATATCTCTTATGGCAGATGACAGATACGTGCCATTTTTCTGATTATTCGCACATTAATTTCAAACTATTTATTCAATCAAGTACAATATAGGAAAAGAATACTACGACTAAATCTTTAATAGACTATTCTATTTGTATTTACCAATGCAATTCCTAGGTCCAACACCGAAGGGCATGTACGCGAGTGGATTGATGGTGTGTCTGTTTTCTTCTGAGAACCGCTCAGGGTCGAACTTCAAAGGGTTAGGGAAGTGCTCAGGATCGCGGTGAATGGTGAACGCTGGTATCCAGACTCCAGTTCCTTTGCGTATCTGTAACACAGTGTCTTTTTAATCGTTCCTAAATTTCGGTGTTATCTTACTAGTGTAGTTGGAATTCAAATATGCTGTTGATAAAAGCATTTTATTCATTAGCGTTACTTACAATGTAATCTTTCTCCGCTTTCGGGTTGGGTTTACCCATATTATAGTCTTTAGTACAAATTCTGTCAAGAGCAACAGCAGGTGGCCAAAGTCGAAGGACCTCTGAAAAACAAAATACAAACATTTGTACCATACAATGTCTGTAAGTGTCACACTTCTACCATCGCCGCAATTTTGACATGAAAATAGTGAATTTGAAAATGTTCACGATTATCTAATCAATTAATTGATATCATAGTATTGTCGTCTCACCTGACACCACCATATCCATATAGACCATGTTCTGTATGGAGTTGAAGTCGAACTTGCCGCCATTCTTAGCGTCATTTTCTTTTATCTCCTGTGCCAGCCGCTCCTGCACATCAGGATTCATGGCAAGCTCATGGAGTAGGAATGACATTCCTGATGAAACTGTTTCAAAACCGGCAATGAAGAATAGCACTGCTTGAGCCACGAGGTCCTCATCAGTCCATACTGAAATTAAAACATAACAATAGATTAAAATTGCTACAACGTTAGTGTTTCTGTGCGGACGAAACCAGTGTTGATCTACTATAGATTTATATTAGCTTGTGATATTTTTTATGATAATGACACCGCCGTCATAATATCCACTAGGATACCGTCCGTGTATTTAATAAATATATACCAGTATGAATGTTTAAATTAACATTAAATTGACTAGCATAATTCAAATTATCAACTTCTGTTTTCTCCAGCACTTTATCTCAGATGTAAGACAACTTTGTTTCTACCTCCATATATCGTGCGCTCGTACAAGGTTTTAAATTAGATTGAAGTATGTTCATCGATATATTTTTGAATTTTTATTCTGGAGCAACCTCTGTTAGATATATCAGAACCAGTTCTATTTGATATTCTGTGCCCTCTCCACCAGCGTCATCTTACATCAGATACTACTTTTATTTAATCAAAAGTTCCTGGTTTCTTTGATGGATTTCATTTCTATTTTCATTGAAAGCGTGGCCATTTTGGTCTCGTTTCATTCATCCATTAACACTGATAGTCTGATACAATAAGCAGCATACATACCTCTATTAATTTCTTTCTTTCCTACAGCGATCCGTAACAGTAGCAAATCCAGCAGCCACATCATTGGATTTGATATCTTCATGAGTTAGTTTGCCTGAAATGATATTTTCATTATTTTAATTGTGTTATATTTATTTTTTTATTATAATTTGTCTCGAGTAATGCTTTATTGTTTATGTATATACCTTTCTTTGCTTCCATCAACAAGTGAATCATGTCGGGTCTGATAATATTCTTCAACTCTCGGTTTTGCATCGTATCGAGCACCAGTCTTTTGAAAGCCTCTTTTGATGACTCCGATAAGAAATCCAACTTTAAAAACTAAAACATAGAGCAAAAATAGATTTAAGTACATAAAATAAGTATGTATGTAAAATCGTGATTAAGATACGGAAGTAACAATCTACGTATGAGATTGAGAGAGACTTGAGACAATAAATATTGACGTGTTACGTTGGTCTTATATTTTAATATAATTTCGTTGATAAACAGAATTTTTAAATCTATAATTCGAATCTGGCAGCTATCAAAAATTGCTATTCCACATTTGCACTGATATACCAGAATCGAGTCTTAACTAAAACTATTGAACCGTTAAGAATTGGCCTTCTTTCTAGAGCAAAAAGATAGGGAATGAGTTCCTCTATGACCCTGTTTCATTTGATCCATACTTCCAGGAACACCCTGCATGTACTTTATTCCGAGTTTCTCTTTTTTACAATGAAATCGAATTACATCTTACATCATAGACATAGGAACAAACAGCCAGATTGTCCAAATTAACGAATATATTTTGAATCAAGAGATAAGTGCTACACGAGACAGCATTATCAGATTTAGGCTTCATCGCGATAGTGCCAAGATTATTAGTATATTTTATCTTTCTGTAAATAAATTATACGTAATAATTTGTTCCGAAATGTAGATTACGCTAATCTTACGTTAAAGTCACGTGTTCAAGTTATATTAATAAAAACATGCACAAAAACAGCAATCATTACACATTCTTCACACAATACAAACTGTGACTTTGCAAATAGTTTTTCGTATAATTATTAAACGTGTATGTACATACGTACCTTAGCTATTTCTGGCGTGTTAGCCAGCATAAAGGCCTTGATTATCTGAGGAAAATTAAATGTGGAAGTCTCCTTCCCCAGCGCGTAGAAACTGTTGTTTTTGTCATTGTGTGAATCCACTTTCAGACCAAAGGCACAGGAGGCAATCACATCGTTAGCGTAGCGGGTCGTCAGGTCTTTGCATTCTAAGTCTACAGAGCCATCTGTAAAGAAATATTAGAATTCTTATATTTTCCATTGCACTGTTTTTGCTTATACTGTTACATCTCACAAACTAAATTACTCTGTCCAATTAAAAACTAGCCAAATTATTTGTAAGGAAATAGTGCTCGAAAACAGAAAATTAATTTAATTGGCGAACAAAAATTACAAAAAAAGCTAGGTAACTTACTCTTAGATTCTTTTATAATTTTATGAAGCGATTGCATCATCTGTTTGCCGACTTCCACCATGAAAGGCACCATTAGACGCATCTTAGAGCTTGTGAACGCTGGACTCAACGTGGAGCGCATATCCTTCCATTCTTGACCTGTAATTCAAACCGTAGAATAGGTATAGTTGGAAAATAATGTTTACAATATTTGTTTGTCAGTATTCAAATGGAGTTTCTTCTAGGTTAATAAGTAATCTAAGTTACTAATGCCTTATTTTGGCAAATAGGCTGAGTTTCTTACATTATACATACCTCTTAAAGAGAACAGGTTTCTAGAGAAGTAAGACTCGCTGTTGCCCAACAAGGGGCGGTGGTCGAGGAAGTATTCGAAGTCTTTCACAGTCATCTTCTTAACCAGCTCGAGGTCACGAACCACAATCAACTCCTTGATGAACTCATATCTGCCAACGAACCTGAAAAATAGTATATATTTTGTAATAATATTATTATGCTACTGAATTAATGTATGTCGCACCACCTTTACTTTCATTTTCCAAACAACCGTCTCCCAGAATTAGTTCTAGAAGTGGGGCATTAGTTTATGATCATCACCATTGTCTGGAAGACGGCTTGAATGTAACTCCTTAACAAAGGCTTTACCTAAGTTCTCCACGTTAAACGACAACTCACCACTTGAATCCAATTAGATCTTCGTGATTCTGACGATGTCGTTAGTTCACCTAGTAATAGTAGGGTGCATAGGTCACCCACCTTTTTTTTAAGGGGGGAAAATCATCTAATGACTGCTCCCGCCTGGGTGAGGCGGAAGGGAGTATCAGACTCTTACTGACTAAAAATCACCCCGTTCCCGGTAACCCGTTAGGTTCTCTGCGACTCCAAATCGGTATCGGCCCTGTTGGGCCCCATCCGTGGTGGTCTGATGGCTCTTAGAGGCGCGCGCGGTACGCGACGCACCGAGTACAAGGGTTTAGTTTAAGTGCTTCCTCACGCTAAGTAACTTTTAGTAGAATGACAGTTTAGCAGTGATTGGTAAACGGATATAAATTAAACACCCTTTTGTGTTACGTAGGTTAACAAAAATAGATTACCCTAGAGGTATAGATACCCGATAGAATACCCTACGTCTTATTAGAGAAAAACCATTATAATATTAAACTTCTCACCTTTCTTCAGGGAACATGTTGTAAACCGTTGTGAGTCCATCACTAACATGTTCTGCGCGTAACACGACCTTGGACATGTTGCCAAGGATCGGGACTGGCTTGATGTGCTTGATGCCATGGCGGCTGAAGGAGGAGTATAGTCTTCGGAAGTACAGCGTTATCACGGCGATGAGGACTGCCAACCAGACTAGGAGGATAATCATGATCTGTAAAAGCGTTTACACATTTCTTATTAGTCACATAGAACATTACATTCATAAATCTCATGGAGTCATGGAGTTTCTTGCTCTTTCCTTTTACAGGTGTAACTAGAGGTATATAAAAGCTGTAAAAAACAACATTATCTAAGTAGTTTGAGATATAATCGATTAAAAGTAGATTTTGTTGGTTTCTTTGTTTAGTCAATAACTTAGCTCTATCTACACATTATGTTTAAGTAGATAAGCATACGTAATTTTAATCTCATGTTAATCGGCCAGCCGACAAGAATTTAGTGACCGTGATAATATGAAAATATATGATTATATTATTATTTAATCAATATTTATCATAGAAAATATATTTATTATCTGTAAATAAAAAAAGTTTTAGTAAATATTCATAGCCTAATATGTTTTCAAGACGTGTGAAAATGTATGCTTATATTGTTTATATCTGACAAAGAAAATTATTTTAGTAAATACTTCTATAAGTACCAATGGCGCCACTTAGATACTCAAATAAACCGGTTATTGTCCACAAACTTCCGCAAATATGAATGAGCCTATAAGTGATTTATTTTGTAGGTAATAACGTATGTAAAATTATTATGTACAAAAAATATAACACTATTTCTTACTGTAAATTCTTAGTTAAATTGTGTTGCTGACTTACAATATTAACCAATCACACTAATATTATAGAGGTATTATAAATGTGGAAGTTTCATTGTTTGGATGTTTGATTCCGTCAATCACGCGAAATTAGTGAACGGATATTAATGAAATTTTGTATACCGGCAAAGTATGGGCTGACTTAGATGATAGGACTCTATAGGAGCAATTTATATTTTTTTCCCGGTTAAAATCCCCCATGAAATCATATTGAAGTCGCGGGCAACAGCTAGTTCAGCATTAGCATTAAAACAAAAAGTCAATATTAATTTACGTGGACATGCATACTAATTGATATATTTTTAATGAAATACGTGAAAAAATAATATTAGCGTCAAAACTTACTATTACGTCAAATCACTGGTGGAACCAAGTTGATCTCAAACGTGTTGCTTGTAAGACGATGGAGCTATATCTGAGAGTGGGTTATCAAGTCCGCTAGTATTGTACATATTTGTCAGCTGCGACTTGCGATTTGTTTTTAATAATTATACTTAGTAACATTCGTTTCTATCTTAGGCGGTGATACGAAATAAATAACATGTACGTATTGTTATTTGCTATAACTTTTTTGTAATAATAATGAGAGATAAATGATACAGAACAAATGCCATTAAGGTAAAGAAAAGAAACGAAAAACATTTATCCGGTACATTACATACACAGAGTAGAAAGCGGTGGAAGTTTTTTAACCCTTCAGCCATTCACATTTGCGTTGTCTCTCTGTTGCTATATCTAGCAACCATTCCCGGGGCCCGGTTGGTGAGTTAGCGAATCTCCGCCTGCCATTTTTACGTATAATAATTACGTTGTTTTAGCAGGTGCCATACTCATTAATAGTTCCCAATTTTCCCGTCCACAGCACCCCATCCATAGCCATAGCTTTTTTCTTTATATACAATAGTTCTACACTAACTGGGGACTGTCTAAAACTATTGTAGATAATGTAGTGATTGTCTGTTACTAAAATTAGCATGTTTTTTTCTGCGTATGCCTGCGAATCAACAGGCGTTCGATTTTTGAACGTTTTTGAGCATGATCAATAGAACACCTTTTGGCATGGTATTTTGTGTAACGGTACCTTAAGTCGAAAAAAAAATTTTGTCCATCACCTTGGATTCAGAATTTTCCCAAACTGTCCATTTCTAGAAAAACTTATTGCACTCAAATTCACATAGTGTATAATGTACTATAGGTGACCATAATAAGATAACTGGAAAATTTCTGATAACTCAGTGATCCGTAACTTACCACTCGATCTCGTTGAACTTATATAAATATGTAATCATTTTTGTTACTGTCTGTAATTATTATTAATATATAACGTATTATAATGTTAAGAATATTTTTAAACATTCGCAGACTCCGGCCAAGACGAGTCAAGTGAAGTGCAAGGACACAACTATACCTATGAAGAACGCAGTGCAGTCATCATTTTTGACCTTCTTGACAATTTAAATTTACATACCTAAGGATTTAGGTTTCTAACCCTATTTGCGAAGCCAATAAGCCCTAATTTTTCACTTTACTACAACCGTAGGTCGTTGTTCGTCGCGCGTAGCGTGTAGTTCGTACTACGTAGCAGCATTTTCACGCTATTAATCGCACAGGAATTTATATTTTCTACTTTTTATATTATTATGAATTCAGAATATATTGCATAAAGAAAAAATGTATACCTATTAAATATTTACAATATTATCTTAAATTATTTCGAAATTTTGGTTAATTAAATTTAAAATAAAAGCAAAAATAATAATTGTAATTTATATTTTTTTAAGCGTTTTACTATACATTGCAAAACTTATTTTTAAGGGTAGAATTAATTGATTAGACCTCCTGCCATCGTTTATCCATATTTTATATATTATATATTTATTATATCTATACATATTTTACAGCTACGGTATATACAAACTTTAGTTAGTTTAATTTAACATTAAGTAAGTAATTCACATATTTTACAAAAATCTATCACGATCTAACTCTAAGTCCTCGTTCTGAATTTGAGCCAGTGTCCTCCACGTAGTCTCAGATTAAAAGTTTCATTACACAACTTCGCCGGTATGCAGGTCTTCTCACAAGGGGATACTTCCATTTCTCTGAGGATCTGGTATGTCATCACCTTAACTTCACACAGCGCAAATCTTGACCCTGAGAAAAAATATTTTGTTATGAGGTAACTGTATCGCACCGAACGCACGCTACACCGCGTGGATTTTTTTAAAAAAAACGTTGCCCCAACTTAGGATTGTCTCCTGTGTCGTGTGTGCGTTTACAAATATACAAGTTCACTTACACATGACATCCAGACCCGAAACAATAATTTGTGGATCACACAAGGAGTAGCCCCGTGTGGGAATCGAACCAACGGCACTTTGCATAGAATTGTCCACGAATAAATTTATTCCGGTCACGGACTATAAATAATCGCAATTTTTTTTCGATGGGAATATACATCACTACGCATTTAGAGGTTGAGCTACTTATTAAGTATTTTAGAATATTTTTACTTATGTAGCTCCAAACAAAGCACGTAGGTGTTAAGAATATTTGACTTTTTTACATAAGCTTGTGATTGTCACAACTCTGCTGTCCCAACAGCTAAGTTTCGAACTAATTACTTTAATAGCTTATTAAGACTCACCAATACAATTCCTAGGTCCAACACCGAAGGGCATGTACGCGAGTGGATTGATAGTGTGTCTGTTTTCTTCTGAGAACCGCTCAGGGTCGAACTTCAAAGGATTAGGAAAGTATTCAGGATCGCGATGAATGGTGAAAACTGGTATCCACATCCCTGTTCCTTTGCGGATCTAGTACCGTAATAAGAAAACAATATTTATAGAACAAATAAATGAAAATTTTTGAAGCATCGAACGAAGGGAGAGCCCTTCGTCATCATCATTGTTAAGCAAACAAATTCAAAAGATTTTTTAAGGGGGGAAAACCATCGGATGACTGCTCCCGCCCGGGTGAGGCGGGAGGGAGTGTCAGACTCTTACTGACTAAAAACCACCCCGTTTCTTCTCCTGCACTTCGAGCCGGAGTCCCGGTAACCCGTTAGGTTCTCCGCGGCTCCGATTCGAAAAGGATAAATATCAAAACAAACACATAATTATTTATGCATGCTTAGGAATCGTGATACATTATAAGGGAAGGTACTACTTAGTATTGTAAATGTTTGATCAAATCAAACTATCGTTTAAAGGCATTAAAAAATGTTGATCATTGAATCATCATCTTTATTGTCTGAAAAAAACTTTACTTACAATGTAATCTTTCTCCGCTTTCGGGTTGGGTTTACCCATATTGTAGTCTTTAGTACAAATTCTGTCAAGAGCTCCAGCTGTTGGCCAAAGTCGGAGAACCTCTGTAATTATTAATTTTTTGACAATTCGCTATGTGGTTATTGAGTCAATCACCAGTAACAAATAAAAAATAAAATTATTTTTCACGCTTTGTCAAGCCTCACCTGACACCACCATATCCATGTAGACCATATTCTGTATGGAGTTGAAGTCGAACTTGCCGCCGTTCTTAACGTCGGTGACCTTGATCTCCTGCGCCAGCCGCTCCTGTACGTCAGGGTTCACAGCAAGCTCGTAGAGTAGGAACGACATTACTGATGAGACGGCCTCAAATCCGGCAATGAAGAACAGCACTGCTTGAGCCACGAGGTCTTCATCAGTCCATTCTGAAAATGCAACAATTAAATGATTTTCTGTTAGCCTTATTAAATTAACTGTATTGAATGTTTTATATTTTATTTTACTTGATTTTTTGTAAAATTAACATACGTGTTTTAGATTTCATTTTGGTCTACAGCATGGTCGTTTACGTTTCGATTCATTTAATGAACTGATTTACTTAAATACATACACACCTCTATTTACTTTTATCTTCCCTACAGCTGACTCAGTAACAGTAGCAAAACCAACAGCTAGATCCTTAGACTTCATATCTTCATGCGTCAATTTGCCTGAAACCAAGATTTGATGAGCCAAATTGGTAGAAAACTTCATTTCGATTTGAGTCAAATGTTAACGGCTTACTTACGAAACTAAAAATAACTAATAATCTTGACTCACAGATTATGTTTTATTTAATTTATTTAACTATTTCATGATTTCACGTGTACCTTTCTTGGCTTCCATCAACAAGTGAATCATGTCAGGTCTGATAATATTCTTCAACTCTCGGTTTTCCATTGTATCCAGCACCAGTCTCTTGAATGCGTTCTTTGATGACTCCGAGAGGAAATCCAATTTTAAAAACTGTGACATAAAGCAAAAGTAGACTTATGACCGACCAATTTAATTCAACACAAAATATGGACGGATATCTCATAACATTATCCATTCATAAGGAACTATACATATTGTTCTTATAATAACTATCGTAAGAAATCCTAAATAAACTAAATTTCGCGGGTTACTCACGTGAAAATACTAAGAAAAGCCAATAGTTTCCAGCCAAAGAGGAGCTCTTCCTCATTAGCAGCGTCGGCGTTCGCGGCGATATGACTACGTCCCTCTGTGGCTCGAAACTAGTAGAGCTTATCTCAATATTTCCACATAAATAACCCGAAATGTATAATCAAACTATACAATTATAATAATGCATTATTAAATAAGTATGTACCTTAGCTACTTCGGGCAAGTTAGCAAATAGAAAAGCCTTGAGCACTTGGCGGAAATTGAATGTGGAAGCCTCTTTCCCTAGTTCGTAGAAGTTGTTGTTTTTGTCATTGTGTGAGTCTACCTTCAGGCCAAAGGCACAGGAGGCAATCACATCGTTAGCATAGCGAGCAGTTAGGTCTTTGCAGTCTAGATCGACGGAGCCATCTGTAAAGATTTTCAATGTAATGACAAATCAAAGTGCCACTAGACTTTCGAAGATCTTTGTTATTTTTATAAATATTTTTACGTTCAAGAAAATATATTTTATTGTGTTTTATACTGTATTGCTTATGCAAAGCATTCAATCTTACTCTTAGATTCCTTTATAGTTCTATGAAGCGACCGCATCATCTGGTCTCCGACCTCCACCATGAAAGGCACCATCAAACGCATCTTGGAGCTCGTGAATGCTGGACTCAGCGTGGAGCGCATGTCCTTCCATTCCTGCCCTGTTATTGTGAGATAATTTTCAACAACAGAAAACGTTTTCCCAACGCTAGATTCGGTGAAGCAATAAGAAATTAGACGTATGCGTTACAGTGAAATTGAAATATTTAGTCTTTTGAAATGGATTGACTGTTTTAATGCTTTTTTTACTGTTTTAATGCTTACCCCTTAAAGAGAATAAATTCCTGGAGAAGTACGATTCGCCGTTGCCTAACAAGGGGCGGTGGTCGAGGAAATGCTCGAAGTCTTTCACAGTTATTTTCTTAACCAGCTCAAGGTCACGGACTACAATTAACTCCTTGGTGAATTCGTATCTTCCGATGAACCTGATAAATAATATATTTTTCAAATTCGCTACTAACTTTGGCAATATCATATTTCTAACATCGAAAAACAATTATTGTTCTATGACTTTCAAAATTCATCAGATTAAAAGCCGCGTTAAACAGTTACGTAAAAAATACTGACTAATCAAAATAATTATTACAATGATAGTAGGATACGATAAAATGTATAAACATCTTACCTTTCCTCAGGGAAGTCGTTGTAGACCTTTGTCAGTCCATCACTCACATGCTCAGCACGTAATACGACCTTCGCCATGTTGCCGAGGATCGGGACTGGCTTTATGTGCTTGATGCCATGGCGGGTAAAGGAGGAATACAGTCTTCGGAAGTACAGCGTTATCACGGCGATCAGGACCGCCGACCAAATAAGGAGGATAATCATGACCTGTAAAAGATATTTAAAAAATCACATTTATAATTATGTTTGTGATGAACCTTGAAAACCTTAAAAACAACAAGTAATTTATTACTTATACCGGTTTACTAAACTAGCTAAGTAGTTATCTTATTTATTTTATTTATTTATTTATTTATCATTTCATGTACCCACACCATACAGACAATATTACAAGAGACAACACATTATAAGCATGAGGTACATAGGTACTGCATATCCCTTAAGGGATTTCTTCCTGCAGACCTGCGACAGGAAAAGGAATATAAACATAAGACATAAGCTACAGTGTAAATACATGCAGCGAATACAAAACAAAATAAAATTAATGAAAGAACTTAAAACTAGAATGACCGTAGTATTAGAATAAAATATAAACTTAAGCAAATTATAACAAACATAATAAATAAAATAATTAGAAATATATAAATATGATTACATAAAAGCTTAGTTAAGTAGTTGTTGACAATATGCCGCAAAGATGAATGAGTAAACTAAAAATCGCGGGTTACTCACTCGAACCACAAAGGGGTTCTTCCTCATGAGCAGCGTGCGCGGTCGCGGCGATGTCGCATATGCCTACTGTAGCCTACAGTAGGCTGCGCGACATCGCCGCGACATTCGACATTCGAAACTAGTAGAGCTTTTTTCAGTATATTCACGTGAGTAACCAGTGGTTTTTAGTTAACTATGTCTAAGTGAGCTTTTATAAATAACAAGTAACTTATTATCTCACAAGAAGTATAAAAAGGATTATCCTTATCCTTACTAATATAAATCGGAAAATGAGTTTGTTTGTTTGTTTGTTTGTTCCGACTTCACGCCGTAACTACTAAACCGATTGCATTGAATTTTTGCAGACGTAAAGTTAGTATCCGGATTAAATAATAGGATACTTTTTATCCCGAAAAAATTTGATATTCCCGAGGGAAAACAAAAGTATTGGTATAGATAGCGCTGTATGTATTGGTATATGTCACATAGGCTACTTTTTATCCTTTTGTGACGCGAGCGAAGCCGCGGGTAAAAGCTAGTAAGAAATATAGCTGTAGAAGTTATCTACTGCTACTGCAACGGTTTAGTTACAGTTGTGTTACTGACGTGTATCTGTTAACAAAACAAATTGCTAACGACTGTTAATTGTGAACATAAAAATGGTATCACAAGAAAAAAAACAATGTTAATTGATGTGGAGATTACATTATTTACACACACACACACACATAACCTCACGCCCACGAGGGTAAACAGACACTATAAACCGCATTAATAATGTTATAATTCTTACATACTTCTTAAGCTTGTTCAACAGTCATAAGTCTTTTCATACACACTCGTCGGTTAAGGGTACTTTCACATTAATTAAGATAATAATTAAGATTGTTGTTAATGAGATAGATATGCCTATAAATAAATTGGGTGACATAACTTACTGTTTTGTCAAATGACTGATGGAACCGAGTTGATCTCAAACGTGTTGCTTGTAAGACGACGAAACGATGTCTGAGAGTGGAAGTTTTAAATATTAAATAAATAACATGAGTTTTATCTTAAACGATGACGTGACGTAAATGTACTTAATTGCTAATTTATTAGCATTGTTATTTCGATAAGAATTGTTTACATTTTTTTTTTTAAATAAAGCCTCTACAATATTCATAGAACAAGATAACTGGGTTGTTGTGATAAGTCAATGAACTGTATCTTACTACTTAACCTCATAACATTGGTTAAAATTAACGTTTACTACTATTCTATTAAGTCCTTAAGCTGGCATTAAAACACAAAAAATATAAAACTTGACATCTTTATTCCCGTCTTAAATTATATTTTAAAATTTGTAAGTACTTTCCAGATCTTTGTACTAAATAATAAAAATATAACAACACTTAATACATTATGTCCCTTAAGAAATATATAAAAGTATGGAAATATCACAAAAGATATTTCCATTTCCAAAATGTTGTCAAGACTAGAAAATGCCCTAATCTTTTTATAATAACTATCGTGAGACATACTAAATAAGTTAAATCGCAGGTTACTCACGTGAATATACTGAGAAAAGCTTTACTAGTTTCGAACAACAGACAGGTTCTTCCTCATGAGCAGCGTGCGCGGTCGCGGCGACGTCGCGCAGCTCACTGGCTGGCGTTGGCGCTCGCTTCGGTGTTGCTACATACGAGCGCCAACGCGCGATTTTACTTAATGCCCTAATCTTATTGAAATACTAAAGCCGTAGCCCGTAGTCCGTAGCCCGTAGCCCGTAGCCCTGGCTTGTAGCGTGTCGTTCGTAGCACGTAGTTCGTATAGCTCTGGATCGTGGCGCTTCGTTCATACCACGTAGTCCGCAGGTCGTAGCAGCAATTTCTCTCTATGAATCTCGTAACCGTTTATATATTCAAGTTGTTGGTATTAGTATTAACACAGTGTTTATAAACCTTTCCTTCGCTCATAATTAAATGGGTATGTATCATAAAAAAACCTTCTGCTGGTATTATGAGCCTGAGTATATGTGCACAAAAAAGAATATGCTGTATTCTCCAGGCTTTGCAAATATTTATTTTTTGTTTCAAAATATCATTTTTTGCGAACCAGTTAGTAAAAAAAAAAAAAAATCGTATTATTTTAAAGTAGTCATCGTGATTTGCAAGTTTAGTTTTTATGCACCACACAATTACGATTTGTCGAAAATACAAGGATCTTTCATGTTAAAAAAACTTGACAGTGTACATCTTTCAATGTTTATGTATAGTTGTACCTGTTTTTCTACTTCCTGAAACTGGAACATTATGGCATTCGAGGGGTATCGCTAAATCTATTAAAATCATACCTTCAGAATAGGCAACTCAAAGTACAAATAAACAAAATAAACTCACAGGGTGCTAGCATATCTATGGGTGTACCGCAGGGCTCGATACTGGGTCCATTCTTATTTTTAACATACATAAATGACTTACCCCATTTATTTAAAAATGAGCCACATATGGTTTTATTTGCTGATGACACTTCATTGGTTTTTAAAATGAATAGACGGACAAATAATTATGACGATGTAAATAACGCCTTAATGAAGGTTCAAAATTGGTTTACATTAAATAATTTAGTATTAAACGATAAAAAGACAAAATGTATTAGATTTGTTTTGCCAAATGTTAAAAGCGGCGAATGTGACATATTATTGAATGATGAGAAATTAGAATTTGTAAAAGAGACTACTTTTCTGGGGATTACTGTAGACGACAAACTGCAATGGGGTCCTCATATTACATCTTTAGCGGGACGATTGAGCTCTGCAGCTTATGCTGTCTGGAAGATCCGACAGTTGACCGACATAGGCACGGCAAGACTAGTGTACTTCGGTTACTTTCATAGCATTATGTCGTATGGCATTCTGCTGTGGGGACACGCTGCTGACATTGAGTCTATCTTTATCTTACAAAAGCGCGCCGTCAGAGCTATCTACAACCTAGGTCGTCGCGAATCTCTCAGAGAGAGGTTTAAAGAGATCAACATTATGACCGTTCCATGTCAATTTATCTATGAAAACATTATGTATGTTAGGAAAAATCTACAGTTATTTGGTAAAGTGTCGGACAGACACCACTATCAAACTAGACATAAGGATAGATTAAGTCAGCCAATTTGAGATTGGCGAAAGTGGGTAAATCGTTCATGGGATTCTGTGTTAAATGTTATAACAAGATACCAAGCGATATACAGCACCTAAATGAAATGAAGTTTAAATTATGTATAAAAAAAACTTTATGTAGACAAGCATATTACAAATAATGATTATATAGAAGATAAAAATGCTTGGATGCACCTGGTCCAGCTCCACGGGATAACGAAAAACATTGATGTGTCAATGAAATTCAACCTAAATATTACAACGTAGTTGCTTAAATGTATATGGTTTAACTTGCATAATCATTGTTAATGTGAGAGCCCTGTAATTAACTAAATATTAAATTGGACTAGTAGAATGCATTTATGTCAGCTTGGAGTTGTCATGTTCACTCAAAGATCGAATTGGCGGTGGCACGTGCATTGGGTCGCTAGATTCCCTGCAATATGGTTGAGTTGGGCGGTGCTGGTGTACGTGTCATGTTCGTGAACGGGCGCCGCCAACTGTGACTGGTCAGCTCCAGACTGTATTATTTATTGTCTTTAAGGGTTATTTTCTTTTTCGATCTCTTTGGCTAGATTTGGTGTTACATTGTTCTCGCACAATCAAACCAATAAAACTGTGTAACTGAAGAATTGCATTGTGAAACTGATTGGAAAAGAGTAACCTATGGAGTTTCTTGCTCGTTCTTCTCCATAGGAATCTACACCTTGGAATGAGCAAATAGCTTCATTTTTAAATTTCTATTGCTGACGTTCAAAAGTGCCTTCCTGGTCTAATTGAAATAAATGATTTTTGACTTTTTGACTTTTTTTTCCTGTCAGATGACTAATTTGGTATTTTTATGTTGCTAAAGGACCTTAAATTAATCTGCTATGCTTAGCCTCACAATCAAAACACAAAGAAAAGTTTTGTATAAAATTTATTTTTTAATCATAATAATAAACATCGATATCAGTAAGAAACCTATGTTACTTAACTATAAATTAATCATAAAGCTAAGATTAATATTTAACACTTTTGTGACAAAACCTAGGTTTAGGTTTTATGTTTAAGTTATTTTTTATTTATTTATTCAGCTTTGGCATCAATACAATCATATCAGCACACTTCAGTTTAAAATTAACATAATATTTTCTATAATTTGAACTGTTTCAATAAGTAACTAAACTGCAATTGAAATTTACGGTGCTTATTGTTTTGTTAAATAGACTGTAAGTACTTTTGTGGTGCTTGAAAGAGCCTTTACTTGGAACCTAATTGTTATTATATTACAATTGTAAACCTCCTTGGTCACTATAAATGTGAAACTAATTCACATAACGTATAATCCAAATCTTTACAGTTTAGTTGTGGCCACCATCCTCGTCTTCTAAGTTCTCGTTCTGAACCTGAGCCAGTGCCCTCCATGCAGTCTTGGTTGGAAACTCTTTTTGCATAACTTTGCTGGTATACAAGTCTTTTCACAAGGAGAGAGTTCCATTTCTTTGAGGATCTGGTACGTCATCACTTTTATCTCGCAAAGTGCAAATCTTGATCCTGAGAAAGTAGAAATAAGGTTTAATTTTACTTCTAACGTTTGAGTATCTACTCGTATATTTTTAGTGCACAGCGTCCTGTAGTTTTTTTTATTAGTTTAATATATATAATATAATAGAATAACCAATTTATACGCACCAATGCAATTCCTAGGTCCAACACCGAAGGGCATGTACGCGAGTGGATTGATGGTGTGCCTGTTTTCTTCTGAGAACCGCTCAGGGTCGAACTTGTCAGGATTAGGGTAGTACTGAGGATCATGATGGATAGGGTAAATCGGTACCCAAACTCCAGTACCTTTGCGGACCTGCAAATCAAAATTATATCAGATAAAGGAATTCATTATAATAATTTTACATGAAATTGTATGAATTCATAAACCATTACTCACAATATAATCTTTCTCGGCTTTCGCATTCGGTTTACCCACATTGTAGTCTTTAGTGCAAAGTCTGTCGAGAGCAAGTGCAGGTGGCCAAAATCGGAGGACTTCTACAAAAGAAAATATATATTTTTTTATAAAATACGAAGAAGTAATCGTGTTGCCAATAGGATAAAAAACGATAACATTCTGATAATACTGATTACTTTATTATTCGTTTCTGTAAATCACCAGTAGAGCAAAATATCCACATGTTTTTAATTTATGGCTTAAGTAATCTGACCTGACACCACCATATCCATGTAGACCATGTTCTGTATGGAGTTGAAGTCGAACTTGCCGCCGTTCTTAGCATCAGTCTCCTTGATCTCCTGCGCCAGCCGCTCCTGTACATCAGGATTCATAGCAAGTTCGTGGAGTAGGAACGACATTCCTGATGATACAGTTTCAAATCCAGCAATGAAGAATAGCACAGCTTGAGCCACAAGATCACCGTCACTCCATTCTAAAAAATTTACGAATCATAATAATTATGAAAAATTGGTTGCCTGTAAAGTCGGTATGCGGGCGAAAGTTTTACGTGACAACGACTTTGAGTGGTAAAATAATTTTAATGTGAATATTCATTCGTATAGTAGGAAGAAGGATGTATCTCTCTCACTCTCTCTCTCTCTCGCTCTGTCTCTCTCGCTCTTAGGCGGGCTAACTGTGCTCGAGTGGAAGGGACACGTGCCTTTCACTTTTTATGTCTGTCTCTCTCGCTCTTAGGCGTGCTAACCATGCCCGAGTGGAAGGGACGCATGCCTCTCACTCGCTCTCATTGTGAGCGCATAACGTGAGCGGAGCGTAACGCAGTTTCTTGAAGTGTCACCCGGCAAACCAATTTATAAGACGTTGTCACGTCAAAAACGATCTAAGTCAATATCAACAATTTCAAGCTGGATTTACATACCTCTGTTGACTGCTTTCTTTCCTACAGCTGATTCCGTAACAGTAGCAAATCCAGCAGCCACATCATTGGATTTAATATCTTCGTGAGTCAGTTTACCTATAATCAACAACTCATTGTTAAAATGTGAAAGGTGTGGGAAGGAAAGGAGGTTTGAATGCGCGAAAACTATAGTGAAAGGCACACAAACAGGGATTAACCTAAAATTAGTTAATAGGTAACCGGTGGCCTCGAGGAATAGCGGTTATGCGCTCTCGCGTCTAGTTGTCCACTGTCGTTGGCGGGGTTCACTTTTACTCCGTTAAGGGTGCGTCCGAGCAAGGACAAAAACAGACCCTTGCTCAACGTCTGGACCGCAGCTGGGCTGTGGCGTCTCTCGCCGCAGTCAGGTATGTGCCCGAACCTAATTATTAACCCTCGTGTTGCACTGTGTGTTTGAAATGTTCATGTATGTACCTTTCTTGGCTTCCATCAACAAGTGAATCATGTCGGGTCTGATAATATTCTTCAACTCTCGGTTTTCCATTGTATCCAAGACCAGAGATTTGAATGCCTTTTTTGAGTCTTCCGAGAGAATATCCAACTTAAAGAACTGTAACGTGAAGCAGATAATAAATCAATTTATGAATAACATGAAAATGCCATTATGATCACATTGACACAATCATTTTTATAACGCAAAGTATGGTCATATTAATATTGATTTACCTCACCAACAACTGGTGCTACAACGAGTACGAAGGAGTTGAGTACTTTACGGAAATTTAATGTGGAAGTCTCCTTCCCCAGCGCATAGAAACTGTTGTTTTTGTCATTGTGTGAGTCCACCTTCAGACCAAAGGCGCAGGAGGCAATCACATCGTTAGCGTAGCGGGTCGTCAGGTCTTTGCAATCTATATCTACAAAGCCATCTGTAAAGATTTAAAGGATACATATTATATTACTAGAAATATTTATGGTCTAATGTAAGAATGCGAACCTGTGTCATTGTGATTTTATGGAAAACAACTCATTCAATTACAAGTTCTTGTGTAACTCGTATGGAAATGGCATGAATTTTTTCCAAAATGTTCTTCTTGCCTTTCTATAGTTGAAAAAAAAGTTTAAATTATCGTCTTTACTACTTTCTGCCCAATTTGAAACAGTCAAGTTTTGAAAAACTACTGCACTGGATTTAATGTCGACTTAATACATCTCATTTATTTGAAATATCGAGCTATATTCACTGCTGGATATTCATATGGACTAATAATGAATTGAAATTATAATTTTAAGCTCTCTAAAAAAGGAACTTACTCTTGGATTCCTTTATAATTTTATTAAGCGAACGCATCATCTGGTCTCCGACCTCCACCATGAAAGGCACCATCAGACGCATTTTTGAACTCGTGAACGCTGGACTCAGCGTGGAGCGCATGTCCTTCCATTCTTGACCTATATCACACAATATTTTTGATTATTTAACAATATGAAAATTGAGTTCGACCTAAGGCAAATTAATTGTTTTAACTTAATAGTTACCTCTTAGAGACAGTAAGTTCCTGGAGAAGTAGGACTCGCTGTTGCCAAACACGAAGCGATGGTCGATGAAGTGCTCGAAATCTTTCACAGTTATCTTCTTTACTAGCTCTAGGTCGCGAACTAATATTATCTCCTTATTGAATTCATATCTCCCAACGAACCTGATGAATGAAGTTAAAAGATCAACAATATGTAAATCATAAAATTTCTTTCTTCAATGGAAATTAAAGTGTTTAAGCATCTCACCTTTCCTCAGGATATTCGTTGTAGAGATTTGTAAGCGCATCATTTATATGTTCTGTGCGAAAGATTATCTTGTGCATATTGCCGAAGATAGGGACTGGCGGTTTGTGCTTGATGCCATAGTCACTGAAGGTGGAGTACAGCTTGCGGAAGTATAGCGTTACCGCGGCGACCAGGACCGCCAACCAGATCAACAGGATCATCATGATCTATAAACAACAGTTCCCTATTTTCACTCACATAATTAACTTTTCATTATTTTACGGTGTATTCCCCTCAATCTGGCAAAAAGCACATATTATTCCACTTCCTAAAATCCCTAACCCCTATCTGGTCAAAGATTTCAGACCCATTTCGATTCTCCCTTACCAATCAAAGATCCTCGAAGCAGTTGTTCATAAGCAAATCTCTTCCTACATCTCAAAACACAAACTACTGTCTCCTTTCCAATCTGGTTTTCGGCCCGGCCATAGCACTTCTACCGCCTTGCTGAAAGTCACTGAGGATGCGAGGTATGGTATGGGGGACTCGAGGTTAACTGTGTTGGTTTTAATTGACTTCTCCAACGCTTTCAATACGGTCGACCACGATGTCCTCCTAGCTATATTAACTCAGTCTGGATTCTCGTTGTCGTCTCGGGAGTGGTTTTCGGCTTATCTTCGTGGTCGCCAGCAGGCGGTTCGCATTGGTCAGGAACACTCTGACTGGTGCGGGCTGACGGCTGGTGTACCGCAAGGCGGTATACTATCTCCTCTGTTGTTTTCTTTATTCATAAATTCTATCACTAGTCGTCTCACGTGCTCTTATCATCTGTATGCCGATGACTTGCAACTGTATGCTCAGGCTTGTGCTGCCGACTTGCGGATCTGTATTCAGCATCTTAATGCCAACTTGCTCAATATAGAAGAGTGGTCTAAGAAGTATGGGGTCACCGTTAATGCTGATAAGTGTCAGGCCATTGTGTTGGGTAGTTCCTCTTATTTAAACCGTTTGAATATTAATCACCTCGAACCAATAATATACAATAAAGTTGTCATACCGTTGTCTCCTTACGTAAAGAATTTGGGCCTATACCTGGATGGTAGCCTCAGCTGGAACCATCAGGTTGCGCAGGTTGGTAAGAGAGTTACTGCTACGCTGCGATCCCTCTATAGATTTAAAAACTTTCTGCCCCAAATACAAAACAGTTACTGGTCCGGTCCCTTGTGCTTCCTGTTATCGATTATGCTGATGTTTGTTACTCTGACCTATCCCAAGACCTTCTGAACAAATTGGATCGAATGCTCAATAACTGTATCCGTTTTATCTTCGGTCTTCGTAAATACGACCACATTTCTTCTTTTCGCGATCAGCTAAAATGGCTTCCTATCCGTGAGAGAAGATCTCTTAGATCCCTCTGCATGCTTTTCGCTATTCTGAATGATCCTTGTGCTCCTGAATACCTAAAGTCTTGCTTCCAGGTTCTGGGCAGTTCTCACAGCCGTAATCTCCGTTCTGCTGAAAATCTGCTTCTTGAGATTCCGTCCCACCGAACATCCTTCATTTCTAACTCTTTCACAGTTAGTGTAATTAAGTTATGGAACGCACTACCGCTTAACATAAAAAAGGCTCCAAATAAGATCACTTTCAAACGCGATGTTCACGATTTCTTTTTAAAGTCACTACAACGCTGAGTCTAGGTCTATTATTATTATATATGTATTATTATAGAATTTATTTATTTAGTATAGATATATATATATATATGAGCATGCATATATATACCTATATATTTATGTTGTATTTATATTGTAGTGTACATTTTAAATATTTTTTGTACCTATCTATATTTATTAAAGTCTATTTATGTTATTTGTTTCTTATAATTACACATGCCTATTTTTTCGCCGTTTTTCAATTTAACCCTAAGGTTGACTGGGAGAGAATGCCATATGGCATTAATGTCCGCCTTATGTACCATTACTTGATTCTGTGTACATTAAAGCTTAAATAAATAAATAAATAAATAAACAGTTGCATCTTGTTTAAGTCTAGCGCCACACCTACCTACTCTATTTCTGACGTGATACACAATACACCGGCTTTGTATAACGCTATAAAGATAAGAGTATCCATACCATAGCACCTTGCTTTTACGCTACTTCATAAGAACATACAATCCATAAAAAGAACCCAGCTATGGCAAAATATAATAGACACACTATTTTGAAATATCGAGTAATTCAAAAAAGCATTGACCGAAACCTAATAGAAATACTATCAGGAGAACATAAAAGAAACGACTGGACCTGATCACATAGTAAAGCTATTGGTGTTATTAAAAATGTACGCGACCAATATTACATAGGATGTGGACGCACTATACGCGATTGGTACTTACTATTTTTTTAAAACACACACGCGCCAAGTATTTACGTCCTCGCACATGTGACCAGAATGGCGAATGAAGTATCACTGAGCATGCGGTGTGATGTCTGAGTGAATTTTATTTATTGAGTGACCTCGAGCAGTTTGTTGTTGAATATTAAAAATAACAATACATAATTGTCTTATCTTTACGTCATCATTAATATAAACAAGATTGCAAACGATAAGTTACATGAATTAGATAAATTAATATTTATTATTTTATTTAGGACTAGCTACTTCCGGGCCGTTTCACTCGCTCTGCTCGGCGCCTATTAATCGTAGCGTGTTATATTATAGCCTATAGCCTTCCTCGATAAATGGGCTATCCAACACAGAAATAATTTTTTAAATCGGACCAGTAGTTTCGGAGATTAGCGCGTACAAAACTAATAACAAACAAAAAGTCAATACTAAAAAGCAAAAAATAACTATTATTAGTACTGATAGGTTACCCACCCACTGATAGGTAAGAAGTCGGTGCCATAAGTTCCATACAAAATTATTCATTAAAACCTTAATAGGTATCTAATTCACAATTTTGTGGACATTAAGTTATATCAATTATTATATGAGCTTATGGCACCGACTTCTAACCTAACAGTGGGTGGGTAACCTATCAGTACTAATAATAGTTATTTTTTGCTTTTTAGTATTGACTTTTTGTTTGTTATTAGTTTTTGGTTTTTGAAGTCGGTTTTTTAAACGCAGTTTTTATTTTATTATTTTACCATTTTCAGTGTAAAGCTACATATACCCGTTTTGTTACTTATAATATACATAGGTGCAAAGTCCTCATCAATACAAATTAATCAAGCCCAAACTCAAGGTAGTTACTGTGTACCGTTGAGGAGTTCCCTTAACAATTACACTTCTTCATCATCAGACCCTTAATGACAGCCCCACTCTATCTAGGTGTAAAGTCCTCATCAATACAAATTAATCAAGCCCAAACTCAAGGTAGTTACTGTATACCGTTGAGGAGTTCCCTTAACAATTACACTTCTTCATCATCAGACCCTTAATGACAGCCCCACTCTATCTAGGTGTAAAGTCCTCATCAATACAAATTAATTAAGCCCAAACACAAGGTAGTTAATATAAACCACTAAGGAGTTCCCTCGACTGTCTGTCGGCTCCATCATCAGGTCGACTCCAGACCCTTATTAAATTGTAGTGTTTAAAATTCGTAATTGAAAAACATAATAGACGCATTACTCCCCCATAGAATTTTCGAAAGTTCCCCTCGGTTTCCCTAGGATCCCATCATCAGATCCTGACTTCATGGAAATGGGACCATCTCGGGAGTATACCCTTTCAAACGAAACAAAAATTTTCGAAATCGGTCCACAAACGGCGGAGTACTGCGCGAACAAACAAAAAAAAAAAAAAAAAAAAAAAAAAACAATCAGCCGAACATAGTACCTCCTCCTTTTTTTGAAGTCGGTAAAAAAACAAACTCTTCACCTTTATAATATTAGTATAGATAATTACAATTTATAGCAAAATATAATTATCTTACATTATTTAGAAGTTAGAAACAAAACTCTCAATCAGTAGTTAAAATTAGAGTATTGAGTTAAATATTATGGTTCAAAATCATAGTATTATGATGTTTTTTAAATTGTCAATATTATTCTGTGTAATTAGAATTGAGTCTGAATGTATTAATGTAAATCCACTTCATCTCCTATTAATTAGGTCTACAAATTCATACACTTTGTATTTAATTTGTCTTCACTTATTTGTGAATTGTCATTAATTTCATTATTTTAATTTCACATTTACTATCTAAATTTATTGTATAATTAATATTTGTACACCAGTCATGGTTAAACATGTTGATACAATCAATAAGTACTGTCCCATCTATAGCAAACATCAATTTTTGCATATATTATTATGACCTACACATGTTTTGGCAAATAAAATAATCTTTATCTTTAAGTTAATACATAAACACATTAATTCAGACATAAATAAAATAAAATTTTGAGATAACAGTACGAAACATCCAAGAACAATAATATTTCCATTCATCATGAATTGTAATTTCGTTGCTAATGATATAAAAACTATCACGATATAATTTTTTACTAAAATGACTCTTATCTCTATAGCAACAAAGCCTAAACTTTACTATTACATATGTAATTTATTAAATACCTATCAGATTGATACCGGTGTTGTCTATATTATGATTGAGTACCTTCGTCACTTATTTGCAACCGATATCACAATAAAGGAGAATCTCAGTTTAACCTGTATGTATGTATGTTTGTGCGCGAATACCTCGCGATATGGTGAACCGATTTTGTTGGGATATTCAGAAGTGTTTATTACTCTTAGAAGAAGATTTCAGTATATCTATTAACTTCCTCATATCCTCTTATCATTTTATAACAAATTAATTATTATATTCTTTTCTGCTTACTGCTAATTAATTGGGCCTACAGCGCAGACTCGAGTAGTCAGACGCATCGCGATAATCGCAGCGTCGCAGGTCGTGGAATAGTGCTCATGAATATGAGATTCTAGCATGCCTTTAGCTAGAAACTAGATGAGTATCGTCAAAAATTCCATGAGTAAGTCGAAAAACATAATAATTAATCATGTAAATGCTATTTGGTCTAGGAGATGGCTGTGTTAACACGTTAAACGCCATGGGGGTCACCGGTGGCCGGCGTTAGCGGAGGATTTACCTTCAACAGTTTTTTATTGGCAGTCAAAGTCTCAAAGTAAGCTACAACTGATAAAAGAAAAAAATATTGTTGTTACAATGATTTATTAAAATTTAAAAGAAACAGTCTTATACAATATTAGTTCTAACAGTAAACGTAACAATGACATTAATGTAAATATGAAGTCATAAATTGATTTCAATTCAAACGCCTAACTCAACGTAAAGACGTTATGTTTTTATAATAACTATCGTGAGACATACTAATTTAACTAAAAATCGCGGGTTACTCACGTGAATGTACTGAGAAAAGCTGTACTAGTAGTAACACTAGTTTAGTAAGCTACGCAACATCGCCGCGACCGCGCACGCTGCTGATGAGGAAGAACCCCTCTGTGGTTCGAAACTAGTAGAGCTTTTCTCGATATAGTATATTCACGTGAATAATCCGCGATTTTTAGTTAATTAAGTAAAGATGTTATGCTGAAAATTATCACAATCACAATATTATAATAAGATTTTTGGTACCAACAACGTATTGCCAAGCTATAATTTATTTGAATGTAAAAAACTCAATAACTAAAATGCGTTTTAACCCACACCGAATATCAATCGTTTTGTCATCATAGGAATTCTTGTCTTCTAAGTCCTCGGCCTGAACTTGACCCAGTGTCCTCCTTCTAGCTTGAGATTGAAAGATTCGTTGGACAGCTTCGCCGGTATGCAGGTCTTCTCACAAGGGGATACTTCCATTTCTCTGAGGATCTGGTATATCATCACCTTAACCTCACACAGCGCAAATCTTGATCCTGAAGAATAAGGAATAATTTACTTTCTTAAAGGTCTGCAACTATTGCATGATTATGTATAAAGGATATTCTGTATGATTAGAAACATCTCACATCCCTCATGCCCATATTTTTTTTTCGTTACTTCTCAAATTGGTGGTTTTAGGAAAATCTGTCTACACTCACCAATGCAATTCCTAGGACCAATACCAAAAGGCATATACGTAAGTGGATTGATTGTGTGCCTGTTTTCTGCCGAGAAGCGCTCAGGGTCGAACTTTTCTGGATTGGGGAAGTACTTTGGGTCATGGTGGATACTATAAACTGGTATCAAGACACCAGTACCTTTGCGGACCTGTATAAAAAAAGTATTACTTACATTTTTTCTTTATCATAATCACGTATAAAATTATGATGTCGGGGCTTTTGTTAAAATATTATCTGTACCAAGTTCAAAATAAGCGGAACTTATTTATGAAATTGTTGGTGCAGCACTATCCCCCTCGCTTACACAGGAATAAGTAAGGTAAGTTAGGTATAAGTAGAGGTATATAATTATAATTAAATGTAGTTATTTAAGTTAGATTAGGGTATGATGAGGCTGACATACCTTTGTAAGGAAAAAGCCTCTAAATAAATAAACATTAAAAAAAACGTATAATATTGTACAGAACTTCACTTACAATATAATCTTTCTCCGCTTTCGGGTTCGGCTTGCCTAAATTATAATCTTTTTGGCAAAGTCTATCGAGGAAAGTTGCAGGTGGCCAAATTCGAAGGATTTCTACAAAAGAGAATCATACATTAGTTATAGGGATGACGAATGTAAAGGAATGTAGCACTGTTTTAATAGAATTTTGGTTAGAGATCGCTAATTAAAAGGTTTGGCTGAGTAACAAAGGGATGTTTAAAAGCAGATTGCCGTGTGGTGGCATGGCACGGCAATTTCGGCTTTGACACGATCAAAATTGATATTACTGTAATGATTTTACGTGTTAGTCATCATAATTGGGTAGCTTTCAGGTTATCAAAATTAAAAATCGAATTAGTCCGTCAATTAGATAATGAAAAAATATTAGACACGTATTTTTTTATTTTCTCGTATTTTCTCGTATTACTTAGATAAAATGGTGCTAAGTTTAAGAGTGGGAGGTCGTTACGTCATAACGTGCTTCAAAATATGGCACGCTTTGACGTCACACGATATTTCAAATTAATATATCGCCGAAAGTATTTAGTTTTGTGAGAAAAGAAAAAATACGTGTCTAGCGTTTTAAATTAATGTACCATACGGACATTTAAATAAAATTTAGGAAACTACCCTATTGAATATTTTAATTCTTCTACTACATCAATTTTACCTGACACCACCATATCCATGTAGACCATGTTCTGTATAGAGTTGAAGTCGAACTTGCCGCCGTTCTTAGCGTCAGTCTCCTTGATCTCCTGCGCCAGCCGCTCCTGTACGTCAGGGTGCAAAGCAAGCTCGTGCAATAGGAATGACGTTGTTGATGAAACGGTCTCAAATCCGGCTACGAAGAATACAACTGCTTGGGCAACGAGATCATTGTCACTCCAATCTGAAAATACAATTTAAAACGTGTCAATAATAATTTTAGTAATAAAATGTGTTTAAATGAAAAGTACCAATCATTTAAAACCAAATTATCACTCATACCTCTGTTGACTGCTTTCTTTCCTACAGCTGATTCCGTAACAGTAGCAAATCCAACAGCCCCATCATCGGGATTTACATCTTCATGCGTCAATTTGCCTAAAATCAAAATTCCATTATTGAACCTATCTTATTTGCCTGTACTATTCATTTCTCGGGTATTTGATATTATTTGTATGTACCTTTTTTGGCTTCCATTAACAAGTGAATCATGTCGGGTCTGATAATATTCTTCAACTCTCGGTTCCGCATTGCATCCAAGACCAACGATCTAAATGCATTTCTTGATGCTTCGCAGAGGATATCCAACTTCAAGTACTATAACAGTTTTAAGAAAGCAATAATTTAAAAAAACTTTTTCGTGAAATGTTTAGGCTACAATAATAAATTATAATGTAATGTTTAGTACCTCAGCTAACATTGGTGCGTTACTAAGTATAAAAATGGCGAGTGTCTGGCGGAAATTTATCGAGGACATCTCTTTTCCCAGTTCGTAGAAGCTGTTATTTTTGTCATTGTGGGAATCCACCTTCAGACCAAAAGCACAGGAGGCAATCACATCGTTAGCATAGCGACCGGTCAGGTCTTTGCATTCTAAGTCTACGGAGCCATCTGTGAAGAATTTTAGAATATCACTGTAAATATGAGGTTAGATCACACGATGAGAATGCGAACCTGTATTGGGTTGTACTACAGATTCACTTTCCAATACCTATTATACTTAAATGGCAGTTGTATTTTTCTTGTCTTTCGTATTTTTTATGAACAATACGAAAAGGTTCAATAATATCCAGCATTTAATTTTACTACTGATTTAACTCATTAAGAAAAAAGCTAAACTTACCCTTAGATTGTTTTATAAGTCTATGAAGTGAATGCATCATTTGCTCTCCGACCTCCACCATGAAGGGCACCATCAGACGCATTTTGGAGCTCGTGAAAGCCGGACTTAACGTGGAGCGCATATCCTTCCATTCTTGACCTGTGAATGACGTTGAATTATATGTCTTTGTTTTTATTACTCGTATAAACATTTTCATAAGTTAATACAAATAGAAAACCCGATTTTCAAAATGAAATCATTGATAGGTAACTACTACATTATTATATCTTTGAAAATCATTAAATTTCGAGCTTAATCTGAAACGTGCTATTATTAAATACCTCTTAGAGACAGCAAGGTCCTGGAGCTGTAGGACTCGCTGTTGCCAAACTCGAAGCGGTGGTCGATGAAGTGCTCGAAATCTTTCACAGTTATCTTCTTAATCAGCTCGAGGTCACGAACTACAATTAGTTCCCTCGTGAATTCATATCTTCCCACGAATCTGATGAATAAAACAAAAATCCAACATTTCTTTCCATAACATTTACAATGGAACATCGGACCGATGACGTTAACATTTTACAATTTTATTCGATGGATATTATAGTGTTCAACCGTCTCACCTTTCCTCGGGGAATTCGTTGTAAAGCCTTGAAAACTGGTCACTCACATGTTCTCTGCGTAAGATTATGTTAAGCATACTACCGAAAAGTGGTATAGGCTTTATGTGCTTGATGCCATGGCGGCTGAAGGAAGAGTACAGCCTGCGGAAATACAACGTTGTCACTGCGACCAGGATCGCCAAGAAGACCAAGACGAACATCACGATCTGTAAGAATAGTTACTTCTTCTTTATCATGGCTTATGTTAAAGTATGTAAATCGGTTTTTATGAAATTGACATAGAGATTCTTGTTCCTCTATCTTGGTTCTAAAGAATGACCTCTATTATAATTGCCGCTTGGACTCGAGTATGGAAAGAATTAATAATAATAATAAGCCCGCAGGGCTCCTTGAGGCGAGGGGACATGCATTAAAGACCCCGCGAGATACCACCAACTCGAGTGCTCCAGGGAGAAGTCACCGTTCCTTATTCTCCAGCTTGCCTTAATTGGCTGGCTGGAGTAAATTATAACGAGAAACAGGTCTCCCACATCTGGTTTGTCTTTATTGGCCGTCCAGAATCGAGTCCCGAAAGCAGAGATCCTGCTCGGAGTGAACAAGGCCAGTGATCCCCACGGAATCCCAGCCATGGTTTTAAAAACCTGTGCGCCTGAGTTGTCTTCAATCCTGACACAGCTGTTTCACCTTTCCTTGGAGACTGGTCTAGTGCCGGTTGCATGGAAGCAAGCCAAAGTACAGCCTGTGCCCAAAAAAGGTAGTCGTGTTGACCCTAACAATTACCGCCCTATCTTGGTCACGTCCATACTCTGCAAGAATATGGAACTTGTACTTAACAATAAACTCCTGGCATACCTTGAATTGAAGGTTACGATCTCCTCAGCGATCAGCGATATGGGTTTCGACGTAACCGATCTACTGGGGACCTTCTTGCGTATGCCACTCACATTTAGAGCAAGGCCATCGAGGGGCATGGGGGCATGACAGTCTTATCGGCAAGCTTCCTGCATATGGACTTCCTACTGATCTGTGCAAATAGATAGCAGACTTCCTGAGGGATCGGTCAACACGAGTAGTCATCGATGGCTACTCGTCTGACCAATTCTGTATTAACGCCAGAGGTCCTCAGGGGTCAGTACTTTCAGCGACGCTCTTTTTGCTGCACATAAACGACCTGCTTAAGCCCGGTATCTTTGGGTATGCAGATGACAGCACGGTTGTTGAAAGGCACGTGGCCGATGCGCGGACTAGCGGAACACAGATCCGGTCTCTAGAAGAATCCATAGTCGCACATTTGAACTCGTCCTTGAAGGCGGTCTCAAACCGCGGTGATGCCAATGCGATCAAATTCAACGCTAGCAAAACCCAGATGTGTCTATTCTCTGCCAAACAGAGTAAATTTCCGCTGACTCCTGCTTTCCGGAATGTATCCGTTCCGATAACTGATCATCTTGAGCGTCTTGACATAACTCTGACGCCCACACTCTACTTTTCCTATATAGAGTGAAAGGCGCAACTGGCTGGTAGGAAGTTGGGTATACTATGGAGAGTGAGACGATACTTCACGCTGAAACAATTGCTGAGCCTGTATCAAGTACAGGTTCGGTCCTATATGGAGTACTGTTCTCTTCTTTGGGACGGCTCGGTTAAATATTAGCTGGACGCGTTAGAGCACATTGAGAGGCTCGTCAACGATGATGCGCTTGTAGAGGCCCGGCTTCAAAGCCACAGGAAAGCCTTACGGTTTTCTACCGAATACATTTCGGTAAGTGTGCGGGGGAATTGCACAACTTGATTCCCTCTAGTTCTTTCCATCATTGTACCACAAGACAATCGTCTGAGCATCACCGATTCATGATTTCTCATCCACACGCACGATGCAATTCTTAATACGCCGACCTAACTACAACGACTCCTGCAGGCGCTGCCATGGTGCGTTACAGACAATACAATAGGTCAATACAGGTACACAAACAATTAGATACAGACAGATGTAATTATTTGGGAACCTTTATTAATAATTAATAGCAAAATTAAATGCGCATCGCGTGGCACATATACATCAATGTCTAAGCACAGTACGAAGCCTTTACTTACTATTTTGTTAAAATATTAATGTATTATATTAAGCTCGGTTGATTACACTGTGTACTGTTTACGTTCTCAAATGTATCACTTGAAATACAATTGACTTGTGACTGAGTACTATGCGCCATGTAGCGAGTATTTATTGGTTGACCGCGTGCCATTTGTTGATAATTACATAATGTTATGAAATATTTTTATGTTTTTAATGATGACACGTCAAAAATATGAACCAGATAACAAATTATAAGTGTCATGGTTTGGATCGTACATTACTATTAATTTTTATAATTAAGTTTGCTACTCAATATAGAAAGAAATGTAAGTTTAGAGAATAAATTCACATAATATAACATCGCGCCATTATCCCCGAAGGGGTAGGCAGAGGTGCACATTATGCCACTGTACAATGTAACACCCACTTTTCACTATTTATTTTACGAGTCCCATGTAATAGGGGTGGAGCCTATTGCCATATACCTCGCACAATTCCAGACTCCGTGATACTACTGAGATTTTTTTAAAACCCAGTATTACTTTGCCCGACCCGGGAATCGAACCCGAGGCCCCTTGCCCGGCAGTCGCACTTGAGACCACTCGGCCAACGAGGGAGTCAAGGCAGGCAGAATAAATTCATAATTTACATAATAATAATATATTGTGAGTACAATACACCAAAAAGCCAAATAATTAATCTTTAAGTTTACTCTGGGTTTACAGTAGTTAAAACACTATTTCAAGTTGTAAGTGTACATAAGTGTGTGTGTGTACCATGTATGAGACAGTCGTCTGCAGTTTTTTTTAAGATTAACACTGTATTATCGTTACGTTGTTCTCATCATTATAATGTACTAGCTTCTGCCCGCGACTTCGTACGCGTAATCCCATTTTTTCCCGTCCCCGTTCGTGATTTTCGGTAAAAAGTAAAAAAAAAGTATTGTTTAAAAAGTATCTTATGTCGGTCTCCTGGCTCTAAGCTACCTCCCTACCAATTTTCAGCCAAATCTATTCTGCCGTTCTTGAGTTATAAGTGGTGTAACTAACACGACTTTCTTTTATATATATAGATTTGTGAGATTATAATTTTAAAAAAATGTGACAAGAGTAACGAGTGGATTTTCTTGCTCGTTCTTCTCCATTCCAAACTACACTTTGAAACGAGCAGCTAGCAACATCAGTAATAATTGAATTTGACATTTCAAAAGCGACCTATCTAGGATTAATTGAAACAAATGTTCTAAGAATAATAAATATGATTACAGTGTACTTGGGTTTGTCACTAGCCTAATTCTTTTGTGATTTTTCAAGTGATCAGATTCACAGTATCTATCAATATGTAAACATAATATCTTAATCTTAAGTCCAGTTATGAATCTTAATAATATAATGTTGATCGTATCGGTTTGGACTAGTATACACAGGTGGGTCTGCGCGCATTTCAGGTTTTGAAAAATTTAAGTTCACATTCATTTAATAATTATGTAGAATTTTTGCCGTTTCGACATTTGAGTACTATTTTAGTTAATGGTGGAAGTGCTATCATACCAACATGCTCAAATTGAGTATTTTCTTTAATCAAAACTAAATTATTTCGACGGTTCAATACAATAAACTATTAAAAGAATAATCACACTTTGTTTAGTTTTTTCTGATCAACTTAGTTTTAGTATTATTCTAGCAAAGTTTTAACAAATAAGTTTGTTGTTTACGCAAAAAAAAACATGACGTCACAATACACAACCTCGTAAATTCATAGAAAATTATCGTTTTTGACTGTTTGAAAAAAGTATTGAATTTGACTAGATGGCAAGTACCCACTTCTTCATTTAAACGGTGATGTCTAAAGATTGCAACCTATTAAGGGCCAATTTTTCAGTGCTCAGATAAATTTTGACTGAGGGTTAACTTTAAATATTTGATAATTCTTCCACACAAAAAACTGTCAAAAGTCAATTCTATTCTACGGTTAAGAATTAACTGATGATAGAAAAATCGGCCCTAAATTGTCAATTTTATTCCCTATTAATTATTTATATCAACGAATACCAAGAACAATGTTTTATTAGTAAGTATAGATACTTCCCGTATTAGTCGGTACAATTTTGAGATATCTTTGTAAAATCTATATCCTAGTAGTATTATGCCAAAATTTGTATGTTTGTTTGTTTGATTGTTACTTCTTCACGTCAAAAGGGCTGAAGAGACAATAATGAAATTTGCCACTGGGTTCAATTACGGCCTGGAATAACACTTAAGGCGATGCTACTGGCAGAAACTAGTACCTATCTATAATCCTTACCAATATTATAAATCGGAAAGTGAGTTTGTTTGTTTGTTCCGCTTCCACGCCGTAACTACTAAACCGATTGCTTTGAATTTTTGCAGACATGAAGTTAGAAGTCTGGATTAAATAATAGGGTACTTTTTATCCCGGAAAAATTTGATATTCTTGAGGGAAAAGGAAATTATTGGTATAGATAGCGCTGTGCGTATTGGTATATGTCACATACGCTACTTTATATCCTTTTGTGACGCGAGCGAAGCCGCGGGTAAAATTATATATTATATTATAAATATAAAAGAAAGTCGTATTAGTTACACTATTTATAACTTAAGAGTAGCTAAATCGTTTAAACTGAAAATTGGTGGAAAGGTAGCTTAGAACCTAAAGATGGAACCAAGGATATTTCAAAAACCTACGGAAACGTGAAATAACAGAATTGCGCATACGCAGTCGTGGGAAGAAGACAGTATGTAATGAACGAAAATCTCTTTAAATTGTAACTCATCATGAATTGTAATTTTATTGATAATGATATACCACCACAATAAGTACTCTTATCTTCCTAGCAATACAGTCTAAAATTCAGAGCTTCAAAAGGATTACTTTATTGTAACAGTCTGTGGTGGTAGTTGGATTTTAGGTTCCGTGTTTTTGCAAATATGGACGTTCGGTGGATTACGTTGAAGTAAGAAACAAAGTGACAATGCCAAATAAAAGTTATATTAACTTTAATTTGTAACTGATCCGAGGTGGGAGCCTGGAGATCCGTCACACAGGTATGTATGTAGTAGTATGGACTCCAATCTCACAAAGGAGAATATTAAAGTAAAGGATATATTTTTAATAGTAAAGGAGTATATTTTTAATTCATTGGTATGGTGCACTTTTAAACTGTATTTCAAAGATATTTGACACAATGATGATACAATTTCATTTGCTGATAGACACCAAAGAATATAACCTGATGATTTAAGTAATGTCAGTTCGTCTCCTGTTGCATCAGCCGCGCATTTAGTCCAGTACCAACCAGTTACGTTTATTAATTATTTTTAAGCGCTTAATTTTGAAGGTCTTAACCATAGTGCGGCCGAAACTGCGGCAGCTCACAACCGCGTAGATTTGTGAAACAAGAAACCAAATTGACTCCTAGTTACATAATTTTGTTTTAACCGCAAACGCAGCTCCTTGGTCGCGCTAACGTCGCTTGGTAACCAAAAACATGACTAAATTAAAATGGGATAATCGGCTTAGGTGCTATTTCGAGGGTGGAAGTCACCCAATGACTTCTCAAATCTCAATGACTAAAAACCATCTCGTTTTCCTGCACTTCGAGCCGGTGCCCCGGCAACCCGTTAAGTCCTAAGCAAATTCATATTAAATAATATTATTGCTCCTGTTGCAATATAAAAGCAAACTATGTAAGTGCTAAAAATGGTTGTAAAATGAAAGTAATTAAATGTTCTAGATGTTATAAGATTCAAATTGGCATTCCATAAATTATATCTAAACGTATGTCAAATCCATACATAAATTATGTCGTGGAGAATCTAACGGGTTACCGGGGCTCGACGTGCAGGAGAAGGAACTGGGTGGTTTTTAGTCAGTAAGAGTCTGACACTTCCTCCCGCCTTACCCAGGCGGGAGCAGTCATTCGATGATTTTCCCGCCTGAAAAAAATAATATAAATTATACTGTGTCAGGTATTTAAGTGACATTTGTTCTAGGCGGGTAGTTGTTTCTAGAAATGTGCCGTAGCAGGCGTTGCACAGTAAAGACCCGGGTCTGATCTATTGAGAGAACCCGGTGTTCTTTATTGGTTGTGATGGGAAAGTTTTAGTGAAGTAAGAATACTACACCATTTGAAGGATTCTTCAGAACAAAAAGAGGGTAGAATTATGTTAAATTTAGCCGAACCGATTCAGTATACACTGACAAGGTGCAGTTGTAAGAAACAGTAAATATTTTGTATTTACATTTATTTATTAATTTAATATAATAAAATATTAAAAATAGACATATACCACATTAAATTCTAACTGTAAACGTAACAAAATTATTCTAAACAGTCTACCAATTTCAATGAAAAAGCCTATGTCAATTTTTGAACAACAGAGTTTTTTTCATAAATTTATCACAATCAAATCATAATACAATCATTTTTTCAATAACTTTGGTATTTGTATTGTAACTTTCGTGAGACATACTAAATAAATTATTATGTTTTTGGCTTACTCACGTAGTAATTTAACAAGGAACTCGACTAGTTTCAAGCCAGGCTAGAGGCTCATATTCATGAGCAGCATTTCGCGACCCGCGACGCGGCGACTAGTCGAGTTCCTCGTCAAATTATTACGTGAGTAAGCCGAAAACATAATAATTAACTTTGGTATTAACACAAAGAATTTTAAAACAATCAAACGTAACAAACACGTTGCCAAACTACAATTTGTTTTAACATATGAAACTCAATAACCAAAACGCGTTTTTAAAACCTACACAAAAGCCGAGTCTGAAGTTTTGCCATGGTCAGTATAAATTTGGCCTAAGAGCGAAGGTTCTCTTAATTTCTCGGCGTGAACTTAATCCAGTCTCCTCCTTCCAGCTTCAGGTTAAACGAACCTATGCTCAACTTCGCTGGTATGCAGGTCCTCTTAGAAGGCGAGAGCACCATTTCTTTAAGGATCTGGTACACCATAACTTTTATTTCGCATAGCGCAAATCTTGATCCTGAAACATTTGAATTAAGACTTAAAGCATAACACATAATATGTACTTTGGTGGCTGAAACAAATTTAGGTTCAAATGCAAAAGTAATTTGTTCTTTTGGCTCGACCAGAGTGATATAAGGGCCTTACAGAAAACCATCGTGACACACCTCTTGCGTTGTGTTTCGTCATGTGAGTGAGGTTACCGGAGGCATCCCTAATCCCCAAATCCTTCACAATCCTCAAATCCACAATTCCTAAAAGGCCGGTAACGCACTTGTAACGCCTTGGTGTTTCAAGTGTCCATAGGCGGCGCCGATTGCTTACCATCAGGTGATCCGACTGTTCGTTTTTCGGCTTTGTCTCTTTTTATCTAACTCTCTTAATATGAATAAGCTTGTGTTTTTTTTCTCTCATCACAAACTTACCAATGCAATTCCTAGGTCCCACTCCGAAAGGCATATAAGCAGACATATTGTTGGTGTGCCTGTTCTCTTCTGAGAAGCGCTCAGGGTCGAACTTGTCTGGGTTCGGGAAGTACTCGGGGTCACGGTGGAAGGCGTAAATGGGAATCCAAATCCCAGTACCTTTGCGGAGCTGTAACACAAATGTAATTTTAAAACCTTCCCCGAAACTAAAATTATCGAACCGATTGTAGCTCATTAGTATCATCTAATAAGCATAAAAATGAATGTCTTTACTGGAATAAATACTTTGGTTTTAGTCATTTGTGTTGTTGTAACTGTTAATAATGTGCTCATTTATTTTTACTTACAATGTAATCTTTCTCTGCTTGTGGGTTAGGTTTACCCATATTGTAGTCCTTGGTACATATTCTGTCCAGAACAATACCAGGTGGCCACAGACGGATGGTCTCTGTAGAATAAAATATAATTATTTGTGTAAATTAACACATCCCAATAGGTTATACCCATTGCGATAATGTTGTGCACTCGATATAAAAATTTATAATGACTATTGGTATAACACAGCAATATTGATTGCACTTATCCCTTAAATAGAACTAACAACATCAGCCGTTACCTTTATGAATTTAATTATTTTGTTTCTGAATTGTTTTCATAACCTAACTAGCTTCCGCCTGCGACTTCGTACGCGCAATCCTGTTTTCTCCCGATTCCGTACAATTTTCAGGATTTTTTCGGCATAAGAACATTCTCCTAACAATAACAAACACAACAAACAAAATATCAGCCAAATCGGTCTAGTCGTTTGCAAGTTACCTATAGCGTGACAACGGGAAACAGGTTTCATTTTTATACATATACCTCTAGATTTATGTTTACTACTAGTAAATGATTATTTATAATACTAATTTTTAAGTTCACCAGTCTCACCTGACACCACCATATCCATGTAGACCATGTTCTGTATGGAGTTGAAGTCGAACTTGCCGCCGTTCTTAGCGTCAGTCTCCTTGATCTCCTGCGCCAGCCGCTCCTGTACGTCAGGGTTTGTAGCCAGCTCGTAGAGTAGGAACACCATCCCAGTTGAAATAGACTCAAATCCAGCAATGAAGAACACCACCGCTTGAGCAACGAGCTCATCGTCGGTCCATACTGGAAGAGGTATTTTTTTATATCATTAATTTAACTACTCACATCTAGACATGTATTCCCTTTTACTTATTGTATACCTCTAATATCTGGTTCTTCGCACAACTTATATGAGGTGCCCGATCGGCGTTTGTTTGCTACTAACTATTGTACATCCAATGCTGGCTCACGTTCGCCTCTTCATCGCATGGTTGAAACTTACAACGGTGAGTTCAACGGAATTTACATCCTTTTTTAAGTGAAGACTTTTTTAGAAGCAAATTCGGACATCTCTTATGGATCGACAGTCTGTCTGTGACGCAGTGTGTGTACGGAATTGTAAGAATTGTAAAAATTTTTAAAAAATGTAAGTGACCATTTTAACACTGCACGGTTGGTGCGGTGGCTGGGTAACCGGCAGCTGTGCAACGTGTCGCGGGTTCGATTCCCGCATGGAACAACACTTTGTGAGATCCACAAATTGTTGTTTCAGGTCTGGGTGTCATGTGTATGTGAACTTGTATGTTTGTAAACGGACTCACGACACAGGAGATAATCTTAGTGTGGGGCAACATTAATTAAAAAATTATAAAAAAAAAATATTCGCGTACATGGTGCATCGTGAATCTATGAAAGCTGTTGTTTCACATTAGTTTATTCTATTAGAAAAATGTACCTATGTTTGTGTCACTCTAGATCTAATATTACAAGTAATTTGTGGAGAACGTAGTGTGTAAAATATTTGCCAAGTATAATGTGTAAGCTGAATTGTGTATATTTTGTAATATATTACTGTTTGTTTTTCCTTAATAAATAATTATATATGTACCTTTATCAATTACTTTCTTCCCTACAGCTGATTCTTCAACAGTAGCAAATCCAGCAGCCACATCATTTGTTTTAACATCTTCGTGAGTCAGTTTGCCTGAAATCGTAATTACGTTATTAATTTTTATTTTTATTTTTTTATTTTTATTTATTTAGAAAACCAACAGCGTTACATATAATTTACAATAGTTTGCGTGAATTACAGATATTAAGGCTAATAATAGGCTTCCCTTATTTTCTAGATTTTGTAAACATGCGAACGGACTTAATTAGTTAATTAATTAATTAACTTAACAAAATAAGATTAATAACAAAAAAAATAACAAAAAATGATTAACTTAATCGGTTAGTCAATTACAAAGACTTAGATTTTGAAATAATGATTCAAGATACGGAGTCGGTGTCCTGGGTGCTTTTATTAATGCATTTAATGATGTGTTCTTTAAATTTAGGTTTAGCACAACTGAATAGATCTATTTCGGCGAAGTTATTATTGTGTGTTCGGGCAATGCGAGTCAGTACACAATTTTTTGCATATTTAGTCGAGCGCCGAGGTACATGTATCATCGGCGTATGGCGAGTGCGTCTTCTGGGAACGTTAAACGTTATCTGCTGGACCAACTCGGGGCAATCCAAGCGGCCATTAATTATATCGTATAGTAAACACATATCCATTACTCTACGTCTTTCCTCGAGTGTTAGCAGTCCATACGATCGACAGCTGTCTTCGTAGGACATCGGAGCTTTACGAAGGCGATAATTGAGGTGGTTGACAAATATACTTTGAATACGTTCTAATTGTTTAATATAAGTGGCATATTGCGGGGACCATATTGGGCACGCATATTCTAGGACACTGCGGACATATGCAAAATATACCAATTTAATAGTTTCAATGTTTTTAAAATCTTTACAAGACCTAATAACAAATCCCAAGTTCTTATAAGCCTTTGTGGCAATGTAATCAATATGATTAGAGAAAGTCAACTTGTCGTCAAACAAGACTCCTAGATCTCGTACTGCTACGGCTTTACTAATAACGATACCATTAAAGTGATAGTCGTAGGTTACAGGGATTTTCTTACGTGTATAACAAATATATTGACACTTTGTTACGTTAACAGTTATTTTGTTTAAAATGTAATAATCATGCAAATTACAAAGGTCTTCTTGAAGCGCACTACAATCTTCAATTGACCTTATTTTATAGAAAATTTTCTTGTCGTCTGCATACATTAAGTGTTCCGAATATTTAAAGCAGTTAGTAATATCGAACAAATACGCGTTGTAGAAAAGAGGCCCCAAGTGAGAACCCTGTGGAACGCCACTAGGTATATCGACAAAGTTTGAACGGTACCCACCCATCACCACAGCTTGCGACCTTTTAAATAAATATGATTGAACCCACCTTAAAAGGTCCCCCCTTATGCCCAGTCTATACAATTTGCTCAGCAGTATATCGTGATCTACACGATCGAAGGCTTTTTCAAAATCCGTATAAATAACATCCACCTGTCCTCCTCCATCTGTGTTCTTAAAAACAAAATTTGAGAAACTTGCTAAGTTCGAGACAGTGGATCGCCTTTTTAAGAAACCGTGCTGCTTGTCAGATATGCCTCTGAGTATATAGGGATAAATTGCTTTATAGACCAGCTTCTCAAATACTTTGCCCAAGGTGTTAAGTATAGAAATACCCCTATAATTCTCAATAACCGTTCGCGAGCCCTTTTTATGTATTGGAACAATGTGTGCCTTTTTCCATTCCTCAGGAAAAACACCTTCTTTTAATGATGTATTAAATATTAAGGTAATCGGTAGTGCTAACGTTTTTGAACAGTGTTTCCAGAATAGTGGAGGCACTCCGTCACAACCAGGTCCTTTATCAACGCTTAACCCCCTCAACGCCCCCTCCACTCTAGACGAGGTAAATTGTAAATCACAAATTATGTTCGAACAATCTTCATTCTCTTTAAAAATAATCGGAGAACTACAATCAGTCGCTTTGCTAAATACACCATGGAAAAATTCATTGAAAGCTTGTGTGATTTCATGTCCCTCAGTATAATTTACATTATTATGAGACATTATTTTTGGGTAATTCGAGCCACCACGCATACTCTTGATATAGGTCCAAAACATTTTAGGATTCTTTATCACAGCTTGTTCGGTCTTTTGCATATACTCACTAAAGCAAATTCTCTGAACTCGCCGCTGTCGCGCCCGTAACATAACAAATTCGTCGTAGTACATTAGTAGTATAATTACATTAACACACATTTATTGAGTATTGTATCTATAGGTAGTTTTTTACCTTTTCTAGCTTCCATTAACAAATGAATCATGTCGGGTCTGATAATATTATTCATTTCTCGATTCTCCATCGTACTGAGTACTATATTTCTTAATGCTTCCTTACACGACTCCGGGATGATATCCAACTTCAGTAACTGTAACATAAAGTCGGAATTACATTTAGTTTCATGATTCCATAATTTGTTTCTTCAAGCGACCAGTATATTTGAACAAGTTTATTGCTAAACCCACAATCAATTGAATCAATAGTATTATTGTTTATCTGCAACTATTACATATTTACAGTGACTATCTGTGCCCCTCAAACATACAATACTAAGACGCAACTAATGTTATTCTCAAGCCAAAGAAACGTACTGACGACGCCTGGTAATATAGAGAGGAGTACCCCTTAAATAATATTAATATTTATTTACCTTAGCTATTACTGGTGCGTTGGAAATGATCATCATCTTAAACAATTTAAGTTTATCGAAATTTGAGACCTCCTTCCCTATAAGGTAGAAGCTGTTGTCTCGGTCCTTCTGGGAGTCCACCTTCAAACCAAAGGCACAGGTCGCAATCACATCGTTAGCGTAACGAGTCGTCAGGTCTTTGCAATCCAATTCTATGGATCCATCTGTAAAAACACCAAATAAGGCATATCATCTGATACACTCATTCTTAGTATTCATCATCTTAATAGAAGTATCTTACCTTTAGATTCATTTATTTTTTGACGAATCATCCGCATCATGTGGTCTCCGGCCTCCTCCATGAAAGGCACCATCAGGCGTATCTTGGAGCTCGTGAACGCTGGACTCAACGTGGAGCGCATATCTTTCCATTCTTCACCTGATTTTTTCAAATGTTTTAAATAAAAATATCGTCTTATGTTGTATACTGTATCTCCATGTTTTACTTAATTTTACTTTTTGTATTGTTTAATACTTGATATTATTATACAGTATTTAATTTCAACCAAATATGTTACTGATTTTACAATTATGGGATAACATGAACAGTCATCTAAGTTGTTTGGCATACAGGTAAGATAGTAAAGACCGATTCACTACAGCCAACCAACCAATCAATAGTTAATTAGTTACCTTTTAAAGAAAACAGATTTTTGGAAAAGAAAGAATCTTCGGGGGCCAATACGGACTGGTGGTCGAGGAAATGTTCAAAGTCCTTGATGGCGATCTTCTTGACGAGCTCGAGATCACGAATTATAATCAACTCCTTTATGAAATCGTATTTCCCGATGAACCTGAAAAATGGTAGGAATGTTTATATTATACAAGAAATAAGTAATATACTAAAGCTCAACAATAATATAGAAAATAAAAATTGTAAAAAAATTAAATGCACAAGCGAATTTTAATATAACCAAAGATTCAACTGATTCTAATGAATGGTATTGTGGCTAAAACATCTTACCTTTCTTCGGGGAAGCTCCCGTACAGTTCGAGGATATGGTCAAAGACATGTTGTCTACCCGACATCAATTTGGCATTATTGCCGATGATAAGGGCCGGTTTCCAGTGCTTTACACCATGACGACTGAAGCTGGAGTATAGGCGTCGAAGGTACAGAATTACAGCAGTCACGAGGACTGCTAACCAAGCCAGAAGCATCATCATGATCTGAAGCAATACGCACACATTTTTCATAAGATATTGATTTATAATAAAAGAAAAATAATAATAAAAGTAAAAAACTCACTGTTTCGTTTCGTAAATACAATATCTGAAAGAGTAAATATACAAGTAGTATTAAATATATCGAAAGTGTTATCTGTACGGCGGTAGAACTGTCTCTGAGCGTCAGGTGTAACGGTTATCGAATATAAACTATATATGTAGATACCCATCACCCACCCACGCGCGTTTGTTATTGTAACTTATCTTATATGATGACATAAAAATAAATATTTCAAATAAAGACAATAAATATATCAATCCAAATTTAGATATTACCTACACATGACGCATTGCCGTGTGGTATAGACAGTAATGAATACCTTCATTCGTCACCTGTCCCCATTCCTAATCTTCCCGCAGGTATCCTAAGAGTACTACTCAACTAAGCGACTAAATATTCAACAGTGACCGGGCAGTAGTTCTGATATACCTAATCTTCAACCTATCTGCCAAGCGTGTAGGTTATCTATAGGAAACTCTTCTGTTGTAGAGAAGATTCATAGTCCCACAGCGGACTGTGAAGTGCAAGTCAAATAATTTAAATTGGCTCACAATCGGGGGACGGTGGAAAGATTTGATTGGCTGTATCTTATTGAGACAATTCTTTGTGTGATCTACAAATTGTTGTGTGTATGTGAATTTGTATATTTGTTATGCTTTTCCGCACTGTGTCGTGGTATCGCTCCGGTCGAACCGCCCCATTTGTGCTGCAGCATGGCTCTTTCACGCTTTCTCACGGCCTTACAGAAAACTGATGTGAATCAACGCTTACGTTGTGTTTCGTCATGTGAGTGAGGTTGCGGGAGTTCCAATTATCCCTCCCACCCTTCCCCAATCTTTGAATGCCCAACAATCCTCTAATTTCTAATTCCCAAAGGGCAGGTAACGCACTCGCAAAGCCTCTGGTGTTTCGGCTGTCCATAGGCGACGCCGTTTGCTTACCATCAGGTGATCCGTCTGTTCGTTTACCAACTTATTCCATTATATAACCCACGATACAGGAGAAAGTTCTAGATGCTCGACGCATTTCTGTAATTAAAATAAAAAAGTATTTAATTGCTTTTTGCACTTATTTTCGCAGTCAAGTAAAACAAAGAGAATATTATATTTAAGTATTGAACACGATTTGCAAATTCATTGATTACGATATCGAAATTATCTTTGAGAAAAATATACGTATTCAACATCTATTTATAACTAAAACGTAAATTGTCCAACTACAACGTACTTACTCACTTTATCTTAATGACTACAATTATGACGTACATACGTATTGTCGGTAGGGACTTAAGGACTCATATCTAAGCTCATATTTAAGCATTTTCTGATGCAATTTTAAACCGACTTAAAAAAAAGAAGGGGTTGCAGTGTTTTACCCGTTGTTTATAAAAGAATTATCTATGCTTACGTCATGTGTTCCACAAAGGTTAAGGTATACTTCGGTACGACTGTCGGCTCGACCGTGGTAATACCACGGCCTCACAGAAAACCGACGTAGAACAGCACTTCCATTATGTTCGCAGCGAAGTGAGGTTGCTCCTAACTTTAATCGTCCCTACCATCCTAAATCCCCAAATCCCAAAAGGCCGACCACAAAGCTGTAACTCATCTGGTGTTACGGGTGTCCATGAGCGGTACAGATTGCCTACCATCAGGTGACCCGATTGCTTCTTGACCCAATCATGATGCTATTCCAATAAAAAAATAAAAAGGTGGTTAGAAATATGTATCTAATTGGGTTCTTTCCAATTACCCAAATTCAATTCAAATTAGTCAGTCAATTTCAAAGTGTTAATGTTCTATGAGAATTTTGTACGAGAATGTTTGTTATGAGTATGACGTCTCATTTTTGGCAACAAAAGGGATTTCACAATTTGCTTAAAAAATAAATGAAAAAATCAAACACGCTTTCATATAGTGTCAGTTTAAGTCTGACAGAAGGAAAAAATTGTTTTGATTTACTGAAAATATCATTGTCTTCTAAATTATTTCACGCGGGGGTGCATCGCTTTGGCACATATGGACCGGCTCGACACTCTTTTCGAGCTGATATCGTGATCTCACAGGATCCATCAGATCATCAAACAACACTTGAGTTGTGTTTCTCGGTGTGAGTAAGTTTACCGGAGCGCGGATGTCCAGTCCTACCCTTGTACCCCATCCAGAAATCCTTAGGCTAAGAAAGTAGTTTTACTGCCCTATTTCTAAAACAAAAATGTCATCATAAATCTACATCATATTTATTGAGAGAATAGCAATAAACCCAAAGTCAATTTACTTTACTGATAAAAAAGTGTTAATTGGTGTTGTTGTCCAGATTCCAGATAACATTGCAGGATCGATTAAACCGATGAGGAAGTCGGAGATGGTGTCCTATATGTTTATTTCAGACACAGTCAGACACAGACCTAGTAAGTTCTGTGACTGAATAATAATCTGATATACTATATAGAGGTATATAAAAAACTAATATACAGTAGTATATTAGTAATTATTGAGGTATTGTATCAATCAGACCAGTGGAAGTTCCCTTCATTATTTTTGCAACTAAAAAAGGCCGAGTCCAGGGTTCGATTCCCAGGCCGGGCAAAGTATGACATAGTTTTAAAAAAATCTCAGTAGTAGCACGGAGTCTGGAATTGCGTCCGGTATATGGCAATAGGCTTACCCCTATTGCATGAGACTGATAATATAAAATAGGTGTTACATGGTACAGTGGCATTAAGTAACGTGATGCGCACCTCTGCCTCCCCTTTGGCGATAAAAGGCGTGATGTTATGAAGTTATGAAAAAGCCGAATACTCTTCTAACAGTTTAATTTTCTTAAACTTATATATCGGTCAAGCAGCTGTAGCCAAATGCCATTTAGCGCTTGTCTACATGTCGAATAGAAAACCAAATTATATGGAATTGAGGTAAATTTTGACACTTGTCAGTGTCATCCCCATACATTTTGATGTCTACTCTCTCTGTAGGCAAGCGCTAAAGTGGCGTTTGGCTAAAGGCCCAGTTCCCTTTCAACCAAAAATAGGTTTCATCAGTTTGAGTGATATGCCAAAGTCACAAATAGACTGATAAAGCAAGAAGAACGGTCTTTTCCTAGCACTGACACTGCTTGCACTGGCAAGCAATATTTTCTGTAACAAAAACCTTGTTTAGTTAGCTAGACGAATGTCTTTTGAACACCAGTCGAATGGGTGAATAGGAAGGAGATACTGATAGAGAATACTTATTGTATGCTGGTATAGAATAACAAATTATCTCGAAACGTGATGTCGCTTCCAAACCGGCCTATCTGGAAGTCATTGGGGGAGGCCTAGGTTCAGCAGTGGACGTCCTATGTCTGATATGATGGACAAGGATTATTATGTGAAGCCATTTGCCATTGTCATTTACCATCTGACCCAAAGGCGATAGATTGAGGTTGACTTAAAAGTCGTTGTTATAAAATAAACAATAGTATTAGAGTATTTATTTGCATTAAAAACAGTCTTAATCTTACTTAAACTACATTCTAATGTTAAGCGTAATTATTTTATTCACAAAAATATAAACCGAATTACAAAATAATTACATATAATATATATAATTATTGTAATTACATTTTTAAATTATTGTAATTACATATATTATATGTAAAATAATTACATACATATATTAATGTAATTATTTTGTAAATACACTTACAGATTATATAATTTATTAATAGGTTTATATTTGAACGAATATGGTCCAATAATAATATTAATAGATTTCAGTTTGTTAAACAACTTCAAGTTAAGGTTATTCCCAAAATTATCACAATACATTTTATTAGCTTTGGCATCAATGGATACAAACCTACCTAATTATTTTGAAACAATCAAACGTATCGTATTGCCAAACTACAATTTATTTGAACATTGCGTTTCAAACCTACACCATTATCTATAGTTTTATCATGGTCAGTATAATTTTCCTCTAATTCCTTGGGGAGAACTTCAGCCAGTGACCTCCTTCCAGCCTCATGCTGAATGTGTCTTTTGACAACTTAGCTGGTATGCAGGTCGTCTCTGATGGGGAGAGCACCATCTCTTTGAGGATCTGGTACACCATAACCTTTATCTCGCAAAGCGCAAATCTTGATCCTGAGAAAAAAGAATTAACATTACACTATTATCCAACTGTTGATACTCTTTGACACACAGATTAAATAAAGTAAGATTTCTATTTTTTTATAGTATTATAGTTTAATTTATACACACCAATGCAATTCCTAGGTCCAACACCGAAGGGCATGTAAGCGAACGGGTTGATGGTGTGCCTGTTTTCTTCTGAAAAGCGCTCAGGGTCGAACTTGTCTGGGTTGGGGAAGTATTGAGGATCGCGGTGGAAGGCATATGCCGGGATCCAAACCCCAGTGCCTTTGCGGAGCTGCAAAATAAATATATCCTTAACACTTTCCTTTAACTTGCATTTAGAGCAGAATAATTTATAAATGATATGCAGGACAATGCCACAAATTGTGCAAACATGTCTCACTTTATTCTTCTATAGTGTACATTTGTCCAAAACCCAATTGGGTTCGTTCAATATCCTATATTTGTACTAAGTTGCTTCGTGGATACAGGCCATTGGAATTGGTCAGTTCAAGATATATTTAAAAGTATTTGAAGGTTTTACTTACAATGACATCTTTCTCAGCTTTCGGGTTAGGTTTGCCCATGTTGTAGTCCTTGGTGCACATTCTGTCTAGAATGACTGCAGGTGGCCACAGACGGAGAGCCTCTGCGAAATAGATTGAAATAATTTTATTAGTTATTGAATTGGTTTCATAATTTATGTTTCATGTTAATGAATCATTATTTTTATTTATCAAGTTCACCAGTCTCACCTGACACCACCATATCCATGTAGACCATGTTCTGTATGGAGTTGAAGTCGAACTTGCCGCCGTTCTTAGCGTCAACCTCCTTGATTTCCTGCGCCAACCGCTCCTGTACATCAGGATTTACAGCTAGCTCGTAGAGTAGGAAGATCATTCCAGTTGAAACAGTTTCAAATCCAGCAATGAAGAAGAGGACTGCTTGAGCAACAAGATCTTCATCGCTCCATACTGAAAGAGATATAATAGTTGAGTAATTTCTTTTCTATTTTTTTTTTGAACCTTGCCACGTTCTAATTACTAAGAACATCATCAGCATCAGTCGGAAAACGTCGACTGCCCTAATTAATGAGATACAATTTTTTCCTAAAGTCTACACTACATGCCATCTATACTTTGAAACGATCAAATAGCTTTACTAAAAAACTGCACAACAGACACTTTTTTTTTTTTTTGTTGACTTTAAATACAGTATGCCTCAATTTTTTGCGTTTTTAAATGTAGGCTATGAATCAGTTTGTTCAAAAAATACAGCAAACAAGACAAGGTCACCTAGGGTAACATAAATGATTTTGGTTTAGCCAAAGGTATTAAGTGATTTTGTTACGTTCATATTGCGATTAACTTCAGTTACCATATTAAATTACTAAAATCAACATCCGGGACCAGGTATGAATATATTTTTTTATCAAACGTTTTTGTGATCGCACGAGGATTTAATAACATTAATATTTTGATTGTCAATCATTGTGACTGTGGTTGGACCTTTTTGCATAGTAATCTCAGGTTGTTATCTGACGGCTAGATCGTATTAAATAGCTGTTTGATTTACACATGTGTCTATGTTTCGTTTAGTATGCTTACCTCTATCTGCTGATTTCTTCCCTACAGCTGATTCTTCAACAGTAGCAAATCCAGCAGCGACATCATTTGTTTTAACATCATCGTGGGTCAGTTTACCTAAAATCATAGTTTCATTATTAATATCACATTTAATGAACGTAAGTTCATTCATTATTGGTTATTTTTGATTTTTCTTTACCTTTTTTAGCTTCCATTAACAAATGAATCATGTCTGGTCTGATAATGTTCTTCATTTCTCGATCCTCCATCGTACCGAGCACAATTTTTTTGAACCCTTGCTTGCATGCCTCCGAGAGGAAATCCAACTTCAATAGCTAGAACAAGAAGTAGAAATTACGCTTATATAAATTCATACAACCTACTTTTTTTAAGGGGGGGGGGGCACCCCGTTCCGTCTCCTGCACGTCGAGCCGGAGCCCCGGTAACCCGTTAGGTTCTCCGCGACACGTTATATACATAACTACTACAGTATTTACATCTGTCATACCTTCATTTGTTTTATCATTTTAGGAGTTTTTATCATAATCGTCCACATCTCGTATCGCATCATATAGTCAAACATTAAAACCTCGTTATCTTTTGACAATTGTATTATTACATCGCAGCGCAGTATTTGATTGGCAATTGTTATGATTGTGTCTCTCGAGCACACATCCGCTGTATGATAGCTGCGCTAGACGTTGACCTTGATCTTCAAGTGTTGATATTGAATACAAACGACAACATGACTCAATGCTCACATGGCGCTAATAAAATTAGCATTAATTATAGTAATCTTCGACTTCTACTTCGAATTCTGCTACTAAGATAGACACAAAAATTAATTGGTACCTACGCTTTTTCAACTGTCTCTTTTCCACGTATGCTATTGAATTCAAGTCCTCCACCCTTATAGGGTTAATAGATAATCTGGACAGAATTGTAGGTTTAAAAAAGGGTTATTTGATATTATTTTCCGGATAACAACAACTATTGTCGCCAAAACAACTGACGAAACTATCAAAATTATTGAGGATGCTATAAAGTAAAAAATGATAGATATTAGCAGGAGACAATATTATCAGTTATCAGGTTTAAGCGGTACCGTCATAATTCTAAACTTGTTTATCTTTTTGCACCTAAATACAATTTGTTGATAGGTCATTTTTATCGTTTTAATAATGATTAATCATATTATTTTTGTCTACAAAAAAATATCTGCATCTAATTCCTCTTACTTACTTATTTGTAATATTATGGCATTCTTTATTTTTAAGACGTAACTTATTTATAAATGAAATAATAATAATTTGTAATTCTGATAAAAACTACGTCTAAAGAAACTGACTACAATCCTACAATTTTAATTAATACACTAAAACCGTTTCCTAGGTGTAACAAACACTTTTCTGAAAACCACATCAAAATCGGTACAAACATACATACAGGTAAAACTTATAACTTCCTTCTTTTTCTTAGGTCAGTTAAAAATATAGATTTACCCTTGCTAAAGCCGGTGCATTGGAAACGATGAGGAAGGACATCATTTTGCGGAATCCGAAATCAGAAGACTCCTTGCCAAGCATATAGAAGCTGTTGGTCTTGTCTATCTGAGAGTCCACCTTCAGACCAAAGGCACAGGTTGCAATGACGTCATTAGCGTAGCGGCTAGTTAGGTCTTTGCAGTCCACAGTTATGGAGCCATCTGTAAAGGATTTCAAGTTATATCACATGATCCTTACTAATCAACATATGTATTATTCATTTAAAAAAACACACTTTTGGATTCCCTGATATTCCGGTGAAGCATTTGCATCATCTGATCTCCAACTTCCACCATGAAGGGCAACATCAGACGCATTTTGGAGCTTGTGAACGCTGGACTCAGTGTGGAGCGCATGTCCTTCCATTCCTGACCTATTAAAACATTATTAGATTATTGTATTATATTTAATTTTATTTTTTCTAGACAACGTTGTTATTTCTAATCTGCGCTTGGTCGTAAAAATAATATTATCATACTTTTAGCAATTTACTTTTACGCAAAGACACAATTTTATTACTAGCTAACTAGTCGTCTATTTATCTTGAATACCTTGCAAAGAGAGGAGGTTCCTGGAGAAGTAAGAATCGCTGGTGCTGAATATAGACCGGTGGTCGAGGAAATGCTCGAAGTCTTTCACCGTCATCTTCTTAATCAGTTCGAGGTCGCGAACGAAAATTATCTCCTTCACAAATTCGTATCTTCCAACAAACCTGACGAAAAAGAATAATAAAATACACTAAAGCCACTTATGTCGGAATACTGAAAAGCTACTCAATTTTAAGCTCGTGCTTAAGTACAGTTCTATCTCTACAAATTTTTTGTAAAATGACAGAGATGGCACGATATTTAAGCACGTCTTAAAATTGAGTAACGTTTCAGTATTCCGGCATTAGTTATGTTAAAATTACTTGTTCATTAAACTATATTTGTATTTCTAACTATAGTATCAATTTTTTTAAAAGTCTTACCGTTCCTCAGGGAAGCTTTGGTAGAGGTTGACAATATGGTCGCAGAAATGTTCGGTGCGCATTAGCATTTTGGCCATATTACCGAACAAAGGCACTGGCTTGAGGTGTTTGATGCCTTGTCGGCTGAAGCTGGAGTACAGTCGGCGGAAGTACAGCGCTACCACACCGATCAAGACGGCCAACCAAATCAGTGGGATGATCATCATCTGAAACAACATTAACATTTCCAATTAATTAAACTCAAACTCATCCCTACCTCGAGAAACATTTTAAAAAATCATACAATGAGTATCTGATGTATTTGTACTTGTTGCGTAGTTGTATCCATTATTCCTGTGTGCCAAATTATATTTTCCGTTTACTTAGTACATACCTACATAACATCAGTATCATCAATCAAACAATCATCAAGGACATACATGATGATTAAAAAGTAATTAAAATAATCTTATCAATATTAATCGTACAATCGCAGAATAGTACTTGTCATGCGTAAACAGGTGCTAAAATAAATTACATGATTCGCATATAATATTTCACTAGTTTTTACCCATTGCTTCACACACCTGACTTTCTTATGGTGTCAACAAAATCTAAGATCTGTTTACATGACTTCTTTATCTAAATTGTGTATTTCTCTAAAGCCAATGTTGCTGAAAAGCATTTTATGTAAAAAGTAATATTCTAAACCGTATTTATAATTCTGAAGTTTACCCATCATCCAGACAAACGTATCATGTTTTTATTAATATATGTACATATATTGACTTGCTAAACAATGACTCATCATATTTGAGGTCATTGACATTTACAATATATGCTGGTATATGGAGGTAATTATAATTAAAATAATTCTAATACATTTGTAACAAAGCAAAATTAAATTAATAAGGATGCTAATTGGTTCCTCTGCGAACTACCGATGACACACGGAGCTCTTTAGGTGCCTTCTACGCTTAGCTAAATTATTTGATAGACATTTAATGAGATGTCAATTTAGCAAAGGTCATGGTCTTCGCAATTTATGTTAGCCTAGTACATGGGGTCTAATGGTTCTTGACCACGGGCAAGAAACGTGAATATATTTGACAGTCATTATTGATGTGTCGCTGTTACAGTAAGCACTATTTACTTTCCAAAATAGTCACAAATACTACCTGACTAAATGATTATTTAATTTCAAAACATTAATAGAAGAGAAAAAATTGTACCACCAAAGAAAGAATACCTGTGGGAGCCGGCACAGTGCACATAATAATGAAACAGACTTTGAACTGTTTTAATGAGTCCTATGAAATAAGTAGTGAACCTATTACCATACACTGCATGCCACCTCAGACTATGTTACTACTCAGAGTGGGTGTAAATGCAAAAATATACATAGATAATAAAGTCACGAGGACGGATGCACTTAAAGTACTTGAGTACACAAGTTCTTACAATGAGTGATCTACTGACCTGGTGTAACAGGTTCCTTAGCATAACCTGTTATGTCAGGTCCTGCTTAACCTGTCATACCCAAAACTAAATAACTTTTACTTTTGTCAAAAATGAATTTATTGTCACGATTTCAATTACTTTACGTGCACTAGTACTTATCAGATAATAAAAAAGAGACCAAATAAAGACAATCCAACAAGTTCTTGTTGGAAAAATTGTTATCACAAAAAGGAAAATGAAGATAATAATAAAAACAATGACATAACTTACCTTAATAGTATAATAGTATAATCTTCGAAGTAAATAAACAAAATTATTTAAAAGGTTAATCTCCAAGTCACAAACGTGTTGCGTGTAAGACGTCGCAAGTATATCTGAGTGTACGATGTCTGGCTCGACAGTATTATAGGTACTATTTATCAGCCGACCACGTGCGATTTGTTTTTAAAGATTACACGTACATCATTATATTTATCTTTGCCAAAGATTTAACGTAAAAATATACTAGAATAGAAACTATAAGTACCTAAGTAATATTGTATGTAAGTAAAAACCTATATATTTATGTAATAAGGCTGCATACCTACAATATAAAAAAGTACCTAGTACTAAAACTGTTGACAAAATACAAATAATACGAGAGAGATACCCTCTTAATCCTCTTTTTTTTAATATGTAGAGTAAATTATTAGCCCAGTAGTCAACTGTTTCAAGCTGTTGATGATCATCAAAAGCATGATAATGATGGGTACATTGTCGTGGTAAAAAGTTAAATAAATTTCGTTGCATCCCTGCATGACTTGAGAAAAAATCCGTACAATATTATTCTTCAATTGTGTGTAATGTTCAACCTATATTCAGCTGTTGCCATCTTGTATGATATAATATGATGACAATGTATTCCTTGGTGGAATTGTTGTGGCTAGATGACCGTAATTGCTCCTTGTACAATATTGATTCAAATTCTATTCAATAAGTTAGTAAAAGATAACAGTGTTTTTTACATCCTTTAAAACGTTGTTTTTTCTGAAAAAGGGACAGCTTATGAAACATTGCTTTATTAAATTCTAAAAAAACATTTAGCAACATTATTACTGTTTACACAACACGCAGTTCATTCAAATAAATATGATAGATCAGTGAACCGTAACTAACCACTCGATCTCACATAACTGGTAATAACAAATAGCTACTGTTTGTAAATATTATGTTTGGTCTTATTATTATTTAACTTATCAATGAAGTTTGATGTTGTTATGTAGTACCTTTTTTGTTATATTTGGTTGATTTATCAAAATATACAACTCAATTACTTTTGAAAACAAACATGTTTTTCTTTATTATGTACTGCATAATTAATTGATATAAAGTACCTACGCATATTTTGAAGCCTGACTCATTAGTTCGGTTCAATTCACGGATAAGTACAGTTTTCAATTTTCCAAAATTGTTAGCATATTAATGACTCATACATAAAAATTTCGCCAGCTGCCATAGTACTTTAAAACTTAATTAAAATAATATGCTTTGATTATAGTAACTCTGTTATGCGTACAACGAGGAGTTCATAATTATATTTTTATCTTACATATACTTATTTCTCTTTAACTCTTTACCAAAATAAAAAGGCTCAGTTTTCTGCTAGGAAACTTTAAACTTTAGCTCAAATACTTTGGAGTACAGATTTACCCCAAACTACATACGTTATTTTCAGAACTGTAACTATCTTAGCACTAATTAAGCTAGACCTTGTATTTCAAGTTCAGACTTCAAGACCCGAATGAACATTTTTCTTTGTTTTTATATTTCATGTGGCGACGTTTGACCACTACGTTTGACCGCTAGTCCACCGGACACATACCTTCCAACAACTGTGCTGTCATCGGCATACCCAAAGATACCGAGCCTAAGCAGGTCGTTTATGTGCAGCAAAAAGAGCGTCGCTGAAAGTACTGACCCCTGAGGGACGCCGGCATTAATACCGATTTTAACGAAAAGAGCGTATTCCTTTTTATAAGGCTGGCCCATCTGTAAGCTCTCTGGTGTTGCGGGTGTCCATGGGCAGCGCTGATCGCTAACCATCAGGTTATCCGTATGCTCGTTTACCTTCTATTCCATAAAAAAATTAATTACATAAGGGTAGGCGTGCTCTATCGTAGGTCGCATCAAAGCTTACCACCAAGCGAGATATTAGTCAAATGAAACATTGTGTTAGTTAAGTAAGTGGCCAGTGGGCAAACTATACTATACTAGATAAATATCTAAACCTTATTATAAAAAGATTTAAAATTTATATTTTTTCGCATTTATAACAGTACCTAGAGTTCCGGTATTTTATTTATTGTCCGTTTTCAGATAACATAATCACGGGATCCAATAAATAATTTCTTATATTCAAGCAATCATCGTGATTTGCAAATTGCTGCGGTATTATCGTACTTATTTTGTTTATTCAATAGTATCTCTAACCAGAACCTTACAGCCTTAAGTGATAGATAGTGTGAAAAGTACTTTTGTTTGATATCAAATGAATAATTTTAGTTATTAAGGACTTTAATTATTTAGAACGCAATTTATTCTGTTTTATTTTAGCTTATGTAAGGGGCGATTTTTTAATGATCAGTTAATTCTTAACTGTAGAAAATTTATATATTTTTTTTTATAGTATTGCCCATTTTTCATATCATTTTAGTAGTCATATTATACATATGTAGTCTGTAAGTTTTATTGATTGTTTAATTTGTTTTTGTTTTGTTTTCTTCTATTTTGATTTTCTTTTATTGTGCATCTACTACTCATTACCAGATTCTTTTCAAAAATTCCATACAAAGGCGGTCTGGAAGAAATCGCCGCGTGTGATAAGACCACCCATTGTACTCAAATTATTATTGCAATGTTTACAATTATTTTCTTTGTGTGCATTAAAGTAGTAATAAATAAATAAATAAAATTGACATATGATAGTATTTGATGTATGGAAGAATTGTCAGATATTCAAAGTTATTCTTCAGTTAACAATTAATTGATGATCTAAATATGGCCCTAAGTCATATTATTTGTCGCGGAGAACCTAACAGGTAACCGGGGCTCCGGCTCGACGTGCAGGAGAAGGAACGGAGTGGTTTTTAGTCAGTAAGAGTCTGACACTCCCTCCCGCCTCACCCAGGCATTCGATAATTTACCTCCTTAAAAAAATGTCATATTATTTCAAAGCCATACCTTAAAATTAAAGGTTTAACTCAAAATCCTCCTAAAGAGTAATTTTTAATAAATATTATGTAATAGACAATTTTTTGGTTGAACAAGACTTGTTAGTACAGAGCTTTGGGACGTCTACGGCCAGCATGCAACCAATTTATACCCCTCGCCAAAAACGTTTTCTCTCCTTTGGAGTAACTACCTGATATTGTAGGATCTGAAACCACACAAACTAGCTGAGCATGCTTCCTTAAGTTCCGTCCTTTTCTTATTTATAATTCAGCCTTTAATGAAGCCAAGTGAAATGAAAAATTTGAACAACTGTAAAAACACAAAACAAGTGCACAATCGACTGCACGGTTGGCGCAGTGGCTGGGCAACTGACAACTCCTTGTGTCTGGGTATCTGTTACGGGTTTGGGTATCATGTGCATAAAATTGTATGTTTGTAAAAGCATCGCACAATACAGGTGAAAATCCTAGTCCACACTATGCAATTTTTTTTGTAACAAAAATAAATATTATTTATTTTTTCAAATATTCTATAACAATTTTCAACCTATTTATTC